GAGGCGATGCCTTTAGAGCGAGTCTTACGAGAGGAGGAGGTAGGCTTAGAGATAGGACTAGTATTAGATATCTATATATACACGTTAGCTAGAGATCTAAGGAAGGAATATTTATCTACCCTTAACGGCGATTAACGAAGCTAAATTAGTAACCGTAATAACGCGAATAGGTTATATAGGACCGGTTCTAATAAGAATAGACTACTATAGACCCTTCTAAACCTAAACTAGGGAAGATAGTATATGAATTAACGACTTACCTTAAGAGCGAGGTAGATATACTAGAGAATAAAATTAAAGGCGAGCGAAGCTAAATATATGCTCGACTAAAGTAGTAATTATATATCCTAGGTAGTAGCCACGAAGTAAGGGATAAGCGCGTGCATGAACTAATAAAAGTAAACTAGAATCTCGAGTTCACCTATATTAAGGATGGTTATAACGTTATAGGAACTTAGTCACGGATATATAGGTATACGATAGATTATAGAGACTTAGAATTATATATACTTAAGTACTTTAGGGCGAAGCATAAAAAGAAGAAGGATATTATTAGGACGGGAACCATAACGGACCTATATAGACTATTCTAATCCATGTAGCCACGTAGTGGCTAGAGCTGGGTTAAGTTAGCTAAGTTAAGTAAGGTCACTATATAAGTGGACCGCATAAACCGATTCCTACTCGTTAGGAATCAACCTCGTATAAGAGTAAGATTACTCTATAAATACATTCCTATGTCTCTCTATGAACTGTTAGACTACTATCCCACGTCTTCACTCTTTATACTTATATAGTTTACCTTATTAAACGCCCCTACTATATCTAGGGAGAGTAGCGTAACGACTCGTCCTTATTTCTATATAGTCTAGATAACCTTAAGGATATATTAAATAGCTATAATTAGGGAGCTTTCTACCTTCGCCTTCTGGTTTACTAGGAGAAGGCCGTATACCTATACTACTATACTTATCTTCTTAGTAATCGTAGCTTCTAGTACCTTACTAAGGTAGAAGAGGAGGGCGATCGGCCTCTATCCCTTCGGCGTGTTTAGGCTCTTCTCTAGTTTTAGGAGTATAACCGTATATATAGTTTAGAAGCTCTATGGGTAGTATCCTATACGGGCGTATACTTAGAATATATAGCCTATAATTAGTAAGGTCGCCTATATGGTTCTCTTAAGGCATCAATTCGGAATTCTATCTAGCCCGGGCGCTTTATCGTTCGGGAGTATCTTAATGGCGCTAAGTATATCGTCGTCCGTGATTTCCCTAGGGATACTTATAGTTTCCGGGTATTCCGTGCCGTTAATATCTAATAGGTCTATAGGTTCTAGGAGAGGGAATATAACCTCTTATAGGATCTCTATTTTCTCGAGGCTTATAGAGTATGTCTTTTCTTAATATATAAGGGGAGGTATAAGTGGTGTAGGTGTCGGGGAGGCGGTACTTTTAGCCTATTTTACTATATACCATAGTCTAGTAGTATTACGTGTGTGTCTATCCGTAACTATACGCTACTATTTACGTCGCTTATTACGGAGGACCTTATCTCGTTATCTTCTCGTCTCTCTCTATTTATCCTATACTTTAGGTATGCGGTTATAGTATACGTATATATATAATCTCCGGACTTCTCGCCTATACTCTCGTACTTAAGGTATACTTTTTAGGTCTAGGGGTCTATATATTTAGTACGGCACGTGTTTATCTCTTACTCCCTAGTATACCTATAGAAGTATATTTACGGCCTAGTCGATGGCCGGGCCATTAGATATGTCGACTATAGACGGGTCTAGGATCGTTAATTCTAGGTTCTTTAGGTACTTTTCCTAGTTAGTATCCTTCTATAGCTATCGCCCTCGTTAGTCTTAAGGGGTAGATACGTCTATTACGGTCTCTATATATTTATAGTCGGAGTCTATCTATATAAGGCTTAGGCGGTAGTATTAAGTCCTATTATAAATGTGTTTAGTAGCTAGGGTAAGGTCGAGTATAGATCCGCCCTTATCTTATTTATATTTTCGCTAGGTAATCTATTCTACTAGTATAAGAAGGTAAAGGAAGTAGTGGTATTAGGTGTATAGTTCTCTAGCTCGAAGCTCTTCGCGGGTGACGGTTAGTCTATCCTACTAGCTATAATAGAGGTTAAAGTCTTCTAGAAGGATATGTTATCCTAGCTTAGTAGTACCCTTAAGCATATTATCTACCTAAAGCGATCGGTTCTAATTATATATATTATATATATAGAGGGGTCCGATATTCGTCTAGAGGTGTAGTATTATCTAGAGGTTATCCTATTTAGTATATAACTATAATAAGAGTAGGATAGACTTATAGATATGGAAGAGGACTCTCCTCTCCGGTCCTAGGGGGTATATTATATAATATTCTAGGTGTGTTATTGGTTTGTTCGTCTGGTAGTATTTATATAGCTTCTATATAGTAAGTATTATAGCTCCGGTCTCCTTAAGGAGTATCGCCTGGTTCTTACGTTTATACTATACGTTTACCTATATAATTAGGAGTATATCTTAGTCTCTTATTAGGTGCTAGGGAATATATAGACCTATATATTTATTCCTCTAAGATGCGACTATCCTCATACGGCGGCGGCCTTAGTAATTCCTTAGGGCTATTCTATTATTAGCTTTCTTAGGATGGTTTACTATTCCTAACCGCTTCCTCGTAAGGAGGTAGTCTATAGTAGTAGTATTATAGTAAAGAGAGGAACGGTAGTAGATCGCATCGTTTATAGCTACCTTACTCCCTTTATCCGGATTAAGTAGATATATTTAGTAACCTATTTACGTTTCGCGTACGTAGTCGACTATAACGGGTACTTACTATCGTAGTTAGAGTACTTCGCCGTATCCCTATCTCTCTAGCCCTCTCCTTATATCCCGTAGAGGCACTCCTAGGTACTATATTCTTATCGATACTACCTATACCTAGTCTTTTAGGAGTACCGCTATGCCGTATACCTATATCTCTAATAGTTAAAGCACTATATTATCGCCTATACTCTATCCCATGGTTCCGCTATAAGAAGCTCCCCTTCTACTAGGAATCCCTCTTACGTAATTTAATACGCGAGGGCGGGGTCCTTAAGCTCTACTATTATAGTAGAGTATACCTTTAATCTAGTTTTAATCCCTTATATATTCTTCTACCATACTCTTACGATCTTAATCCCTAGGTATTTTCGCTTATTTAACTATTCTATCCGCGTAATATCCTCTTCTCCGATAACCTATCCGCTTACGGGTATAGAGTATACCTATATTAGGTATATGGCCGCCCTAATAGAGGCGCCTAGGAAGATACTACTAATCGCGTTCGGATCGCGCGAGATAGTCTACTACACGATATTCGTTATTATGGTAAGTACTACTCCTTCTAGTATAAGTTTAGTAGTAATAATATTTAACTATATTCCCTTTTATTCGTTAATCTTACTTACTATATCCTTTAGGGATGCTTACTAGACCTATACTAGGGTGTCCTTATTCTAGATTATAACGCGTATACTATACGCCGCGTCGCCGGTCCGGGGGGCCCGTAGTATAGCCTCCGGTGTTACTACTATTTATACCTATATACTAGGGCGCTTACCTTAAGTAAGTTCCTCCTAGATTCTATATAGGCTAGCCTCTATTCGGTTAAGCCTACCCTCCGGTTCTCCTAGTTATATCTTCTTCTCCTCCTCTATAATTCTCTTTAGGTTCCGGATAAGGTCCTAGAATATATATAGGAGGGTCTTCTAGCCCTCTCCGGCTTCCTTCTCTATATATACTACCTAGTAGTTAATATAATCTAGAAGGGTTTCCCCTCTTAGGGTCCCCTTTATTCCGTCTATCTATAGCGGCGTGCGCCTTTAGGTATATTCTACGTTTTAGATAGGTATATAGCTACCCTTAGTAATATCGCTATATAGCCTTTTCTATTATACCGGTGGGGGTATATCCGGTATATACTAGGGTATATCGGTGCCTAAGGCCACTATATTTATTAGTTAAGGGCTACCCTTAACTAATAAAAGGGGGTCGGCGTATTGGCGTTCTAGTAGTGTAGTCCGTGCCTCTATCTCCGTAAGGATTTTAAGAGGGTATATATATATCTTTATACGGCGATAACGTCTTAGTTTCGACGCTATATGTACGTACGTGTGGTAGTAGTTAGTGTACTTAGTATACTCTATTGATTAAGGTATGTATCTCGCTGTATTACCCCGAATGGACTAAGTTGGCCTCTTGGGGATGTAAAAGAAGTTTTTTATCTATAATATATCCATTAGATTCTATATGAATACTTTATATAAGAATATGTTGTAGAATAGCTCTATTACTATCATTCTCAAGATAATTTATAAGAGAATGAATCTCTGATAGATATATTGGAAGGCTTGTAGACATATTTCGAGCAGCGAGTGAGAAACAGCCGACAGAAGCCACGCAACAGGAGGTCTCAATACTCACTAACTGTTTTGACTTCATTTTTGTGACGCGGCCTTTGCGCAGGAACACATCAGCGATCGGTGAGTATTGAGACACCCGGTTGTGCTGAAGCGGTCACGCATCAGCATGTAAGATGTCTAATTCGTAACGCCCGCTTGCACCACCTGGTCAACGATAACTAGACATTGAACAGGTAACAGCATCGAGGCTTTGTGGTATGTCTCGCAAAGGGGCGCGTCCTACACGCTCCAACCTGGCATTGACAGAGAACTTTCGTTGGGATGTGGCTGTGACTGTTTTACTCAGACCCTGCTACTATCTTACAAGTGGAGAGGCAGGTTAGACAGCTTGCAGCCCTCCTCATCAGGGGATTTATGATAAATGAGCGTGAATTCCGACTATTTACTCTACTTGATAGAACAAACTTCACCTTCTGCCTTTGGTCTTCGCGTGTATTCTAGGAGAACGCAATATACGAAAAGCCCCTGACTCAACCAAAGTCTGGTACATTACAGAAGGAACTCGTCTCACGGAAACTAGCACGATGCCATCTGATAAGAAACGGTTATACATAGCTCTCTATGCTCGAGGGGGTACTCCTCAGATGCCACGCGGTGAAGACAAGTAAGTACTCGGAACGTGAATCCCGACTACACTCTAATATCTATACTTAAGGTATCACTGGGCATTCATAATCGGTCCAAAAGTTGAAACGGACACTACGAAAGGGAGACGCTGTCATGTGAAGGAGTCTGTGCAATTTATTGAAGGCACTCCATATACTACGTGGGCGTTTGAGGACCGCGAGATCTCTACCATGCCCACGGCGATGATACTTGTTCGAGTATTGATAGGAAAAGTTGAAAATCTTGACCGGCTGAGACGCGTTTTTGCCGCCACACCTATTCGTGCCGGACAAGACGGCTTCCAAGCTTGGAACTGTGTTTGGTGGATTCAAGAAGCCTTTAATGCTGCGATGGCAGACAGAGCGGCACTAGGAACTCGCCTCGCCGACTGGGAGAGAGCAAGGAGCATTAGTATGTGGTATGTGACCAAAAAGACTATGGAGCATCGCTTCGACGGACAAGGAGACTTTAACAATGATAAGATAGCAACCTGGGACGCGATTGAAAACAAGGAGATAGTTGCTTAAGGATAGTTTCGGACAACTATAGTTCCCCAAAATATTGACGCCTCAGGCTGTCCATTGCATATTCCGATTCGTATGGTTGCAAAAATTTATGCACTTCGCGATGCCACCAAGTATTCCGCATCACATCCTGTCGTATCGTGGTATACTCCCAATAGTAGGGCATCCACGCAGCAGTCTCCCAGTCTATGATTGCAACTATCTTGCCGTCGCGAACAAGTATATTGCGGGGATTGAGATCTCCATGTGTGAAGACCGGTCGATGAACGACTGAGTCGTGAAACGCGATTATTCGTTTTACATCTGCGATACAGACGGGGTCAAGCGAGCACGCTTCATGATCTAGTGCAGCAGAAGTCACATCATTCCGGAGTGTAAGATGGAAGTCGGAGACGGTATCGAATGGGCCCCAGGATGGCTTGAACGGCAGCCGGCAGTCGTGCAGCGGCCCACCGTCTACATTCGCGATGCCCTCGGATGGGGGAACGAGGCCCCGCAGCTCCTCAAGCATGCATTTCAACTGCAGTAAGATTGCTGATCGCGATGCCTCTGACAACGACGTCCATTTCGAACCTAGGGTGTCGCCATGGATTCTCTCCATGAGAATGTATGTCTTGCCGCCATGTGCGAACGCGTGATGGACTGCCGGGACGGGAATGGACGTGTGCTTGGCAATGAATCGCTGGGTGTTTGCTTCCGTGTTCGAGCGCAGTTCTCCAGATTTGATGCAGATGTTGTGACAGAATAGTACGCTGTTGGGGCTGTTGATGACCTTTCTGTAGAGTTGATGACTTCCTAGTTTCACGATTGCTCGGGTGAAGTATTCTAGAGCGATTCGTCGTCGTCGAGAAAGTTAGTTGGGGTGTTTAGTCTCGGCCATGCCCGACTATCAAGACGTTGTGACGCGTTCCATTATCGAACGTGACTATCGATCATTCTTCGATGTTGGTTGCACGCGCATCCATGGATCGGAAAAACCTTGTTTCCTCCGTCTAAAGCTTTTGTCAGCGCGACTGGCCCGCCTATACATAGTCCCTCTATTTCTATAGCGATTGAGTGTTTTGGTTATCATTGAACATAGTCGCTCTGATACAAAGAGATATATCTATAGTATGCTATAGTGGTAAGAGAGCTTGATTTAGTAGACTACTACTTTAGATATCTAATCACGATAGAAAAACGACGTGTCGCGCACGGACGTACATCTATGGATGCTAAGCCGGATGGGATGAGTCGATTCTATACATCTCTTCAATTTTGGAAAAGTGGCCTCATAATCCCAAGTTGCGCTCTGCGAGTCCTGCATGACGGTCTGTATTCTGCGCTCGCCTAACCTTATACCTCTGAGTTGGCGGCCATAACAGAGACTGCGAAAGCAAGTGTGTTTGCAGTAGTATCAAGTCCCATAAAGTCTATTGCGAATATCTTGCCAATCACTTCGCTCAGCATCAAGCCTTTCGAGGATAGTTCCGGCAGGATCCTTCGAACCATTGGTTTGCGTGGTCTCTGCTTCGATGCGCCCCGGTACGGAAGAGCTCATGAGATCACCCGTGCCAGGCTTGCCAGCGTAGTTCGGATTGTGTGTGACACATGTCCATCATGTAATCCCTGAAATTTTGAGTCGCTTGGGCCTAGGAGATGTAGCTTCTTGGAGAGAAAGAGAAGAACAACACTTCCGTGGGAAAGAACATCAAGGTCAGGGCCTTAATCATAACCGCCTTCAGATCCTCTCTATAATCCTTTGCCTCAGGAGTACCGTCTCTCATGTTGTGAGATGGTCGAAACTTGTAAGATCTTATGAAGCCGGTTTCAGCCAGGACATTCAGGGGTAGTGTTTGTATATCTCGCGCTATTCCAGAAGCACCAGATTCAATATACGACAGCCACGCTGTGAGCATGTCGGTGCATTGTGTCAGCATCGCGGCCTAAACAAGCTTCATTGTGCCTTCAGTGAAAGGCGCCACGAGAAGCTTTCGTTGTAAGCACAAGCCAAAACTGATTTATCGCGTCTACTTAGATGCGTACAGCCGATACTCCGAGGACTTTGGCGCGCTCGACATTCCTTTCTAGAGCGGCCATGCTCGACACCAAGTACCAAGATGTCAGCGCAAGGAGAACAGCCAGTAAAACTCTCTTGTGACCATCTCGACATTGAAGATGGAGGTTTCGTGAGCGGGTTTTAGCACGGACGTGGCTTGGTAGCGATCAGTGAATACCTGCGTACCGAAAAGCGAGAGTTGTGCTGTGTGGCGTAGTTCTTGATTCACTAGGATCAGGCTCACTTTAGGGCTAGTGAGCTGGCGGCTTGGGCGTTTCTAGGATCAAGCGTGTGCCACGACAGAGTCACGACTACATTGTTTTGCATTAAATCTCTGGGTCCGTTGTGAGGCTCGCTGCAGCGACGTGCAGTAGAAAGCTCAACCAACGACCTCTTTCCTCGTTCACAGCAACACTCTCTACTACCCATTCGCGATCAAAATCGCTGATGGCAGCTGAGCCTAAGATGGAAACACAATATATCGCGGGCGCGGTCGTCGGGGTGAGCAGAAGAAAGAAATACAATGGCTGCCAGCTGATATCAGTTATTAGCACTTGACGGCAGATTCCATCAACGGCACCGATTCAGGGCTTCACTCCATTGCATCTGTTTCACAGATTGGGGCCATTGTTCCCGTCACCCTGTTCTCCTCAGAAGACACGGTCTTAAACCCCTCAGGCATTATCAACACCATACAGAAGTTTCGCACCACAGATGACGTATTCTCTGATTACTTTTTGACTGGTCACGTATTGGTTCAGAGTGCTGAGCTTGTGACTCGAGAGCAGGTCTTTAGAGAGTTCATTGGGACTATCTCAGGCGGGTCTGATCAGTGGCTCGTCCAGCGGGTCGATCTTGTGGCATATGACAGTGTCAAGAGTAGCTTGCCAAGTGGACCTTATTTCCTGGAAGGTCCTTTGGTCAGAAAGGCGTACAGACTATATGGTGATTCACTTGAATCATTCCAGGCTGCGGTCCTGCCTGCAGAGGACGGGGGAGATTACAGGTTGGTAGGCATGAGTTTCGGAGAAGCAATAACTTGCTAATCTAGGATAGCTTTGTTGAGCTTCATAAACCTATAAGAAAAAACAATGGCGCCTGGATTCAGTCAATTGCCGTACCCAGCCGCTGCTACAGCAAGCCAACCAAAGACAAGCCACTCTCTGGAGTTCGAGTCTCAGTCAAAGACAACTACGCACTAGCAGGATTGAAGACAGGGAATCAGAACAAGGCCTTTTTCGCGACTTATGAGCCCGAGCAGGAGTCGGCTGAATATGTCAAGCGCCTAATCGACCTTGGCGCCGTGATTGTCGGAAAGACCAAATTGTCGTCTTTCGCATCTAGTGAGAAGCCTTGCGACTGGTGGGAGTTTCAGTGCCCGTTCAACGCTCGAGGCGACGGCCAGTTAAACCCAGGTCAAAGCACGACCGGAGGAGCGACTGCAGCGGGTGGATATGACTGGCTCGACATTTCCATCGGCAGTGATAGTAAGTATGCATATCTACTGCGTGGTGATATGACTGATCTGAGAATGAAAGCATTTGGCAGTGTCCGAGAGCCAGCCGCCCAGAATGCTGTCTATGGTATCCGATTCAGTACGGATGTGGCTGTGCCGATGGGGGGCGTGTACCCAAGTTCACCGTTCGTCATCTTGTCTGTATACAATCTGCCCAACTAAATTGAGAAGTGTCTTTGACGTCATTGGAATCCTCGGTCGCGATCTTGCTGCATTCAGTACTTTCGCTAAAAGTACGGTGAATTCAGTTATAAGGACTTACGACAAGGTACATCGAAGTTGAAACATTAAGTCTAAGGCATACTCACTCGTGACACAGTGGCCTCAACGGATATTGTACCCTACAGACTTCTTCCCGAGTGGTGAGAAAGCCCAGCAACAGTTCTGGGATGGGTTCGTGACAGTACTCGAGGATTTCCTTGGCGTCAAGAAGGAGTCAATAAGTATTGAGCAGACTTGGAATGATGAGCCTCCTGCAGCGGCTGCAGGCAGGGACTACAAAACTTTCACGAAATATGTGAGCTAGAAGAGTCTCAGGTATCGAACGACCAACACTGAAATCCCAATAGCTTGCTGCCAACCCGTTCTACTACGATGGTTACCACGAGTACGAATACTTCCGCGCGGATCATCTAGCAAAATTTGGGACGAAGGCATATGTTTCGCCGCATATGCAATGGAAATGGTAAAGCCAGTCGATGACTCGCTGGAGGCTCCTAGTTAACTCGAAGGCAGGGATATAGGCGCAAACTTATCAAAATCAGATTACGAACAGTCAAAGAAGGACATCGTCCTGTTTAGAAAATGGTTCGACACAAAGATAATGGGCAAATCGTCCGGATCAGGAACAGACGCTATCCTGGTTCTACCAGTCGGACCAGGCGCTCCAGTGTACCGTGATCAGTTCGTAGTACCGACGCCACGTCTCGGGCTAGATGCTCTGAACCTTGCGGCGGCTCTTGCATTGCCACATGCGGTATTTCCTAGTAAGCTTTAATAGAGTTATTGTGCTTCGACGTCTCTAACTGAAAGCAGTTGGCCAGGTCCCGTACGACTCGCCTAAGAGCGGCCGCAAAGAGTATCTTCCGATTGCAGGATCTATAGCTGGAGCAAGCGGTATGTGTATAAGGTTCTTCACAGATACCATACCTAATGTGCTGAATGCAGGAAGCGACCTGGTCCTTATCGACCTAGTCCATCGAGCTTTGATGAAGGCAGTATGGCCTACCACCATCAAGGCTGGACGGACTGCTTTCGATGACGATCGAACCCTCGACATGTCGGTCACAGCGCAAGTAGCAATGCTTGGGGTGGTAGGAAGCGAGGATCTAACCGACACAAAGCTTGTACAACAGCAGAAGAACTGATACGTAAAGTTGTGAACAAAAGAGCTGAGGGCTAGAGCTGAAATCTGTGTGATACAAACTACAGTAATCGCCATATAATGCAAACGAGCTCATTAAAAGACGTATCACGCCGACCACCTTGCGATCCATACGTTGCCTGCAAATCGTGCAACGTAACGAAAGTCTCCTTTTCTGGAATAGTCGCCTCCACCTGGCATCCAGGACTCTTACACGAACTTTGCGATTGCTTCCATTTCACGCGCACATAGTCTTCCGGCATAGTCCTGCGGCAAAACCCGGTCCTAGGGCGCAATTCTTCTCCATGAAATCATCATGTTTATAACTATCTAGATTACATCGAGTAATGCGGGGCTCGAACGATTAGTGGACGACTCTTTACTACAAGTTTCGCTTTCCGCGTAGACGATATCGTAGACATCAATTGCGCTGTCTAGCAATTTTCCAAGTTTAGGTCGAATGTTTCGCGATCGAGTAAGAAATGACACCCGGAAATATCCAAAAATACGGCCGGACCTCTCACGAGCTCCACACAAGGGTCCGTTTATATATAGTAAAGGAAGCACTAACGCGTCGCTAGGTCCTAACCCCTTCCTGACAGACTTGCAGAAGGTGGGTCTTTCCCCACCGATCCTAACAGGGTGGGTACGCGCAGGATCCACCCGAATTAGACATAAGATGTAGAGTTGGATGCTCAGCTGGCCAGGGTTGATAAGTGACAAGCCGGCGCGGTCAAAAGACGGGCAGCTTGTTTCATATGCGCTCTAAAGGTTCATCGGTCGTCGTAAACGGGATCAAATACAAGTCCTCGCGCTCGAGACCTGCCTCCTGGATCTGGCTCCTGTGAAGGCGCTGGGGAGTTGATTTTGTTCTGCTCCGGAGCGTGCTCGGGTTCTGGCTTCGGGGTTGACATCGATTCTAATGTAAGCCCAGGAGAGTCACTGACTCGATCTACTGCTAGGTAAGGAAGATTCCATTAGGAGTCTCTGCAGTCACTTACCCACGGCCTTTCTTTCCTTAAAAATACGCTTCATACGCCATGCTAATCCAGGCATTTCGACCGGGGGAATACCATGTTTGGCCAGATCAACATTAACTTTACGTAGCTCTTCCTCCTGAACAAGTAGATTAATCTCCCTCCACCTTACACCTCTCTGAGGATATTTCGTTCTTATGCGCACACTAGCATCTAGGGTAACAATCTAGGAGGTTAGCATCTGAAGTCGTTTAGTGTAGGGAAAGGAATGACGAACAAGGAATTTGTGCCATTGAGCTAGGTTGAAGCCTATAAGCTCACGGACTTGTTCTGCTGTAGCGTTTGCTGGTACATTATCGCTCATTTTGTGCGCTGCTTGTTGTGCGGCGTGCCGGGCGGCAAGCCCGGCGGGCAACGATGCAGCGGCCGGGGAACTTTTCGAACTGCTGACTAATTTAGTATAGACCCATTGCCCTAAATGGCTACTGTAATACCTAGCATACCCTTGTTGGACTCTTCCCAATCGAAGTTACGCTATCTCGACTTGAAGATTCGTGCAAGCTCCGATCGTAACGATATACCTCCTCTCTAAACATTTTTATGCCAAGCCGATACAAGGTATCTTACGGCACTGAGAGATTTGACCATCTGAAGGTATGTCGGCTCCTCCACTCACTATCAATCGATCGACCTCTTGGGTAGACTTAGTGAGAGTTGATTTCGCTTGGCCGTGTCGTTAGCCACGGTTGCACACCACAAGACAGACCATTTCCTATACAATTCTGCGGTTAGAACGAGTCTCTATAAGGGCATATCTAAACAAGATGTACGGCAACGTGGTCCGTCAGGAACTGCTCGATCCCCCACAGCGCAAAACAACTCAGCACTGCTAAAACCCCAAACGGAATCGAGACGTAGTAGATCAACGGGAAAGCTTTGCCATACAAGACTCTCCCAGCCTGCACCAGGACCTCCATCTTCGCATCATCTACAATCTCGGGAAACGCACTCCTGTAATGACTGAGAGGCCCCGCTGCCATGACCGTAACAACCTCCTCGATGCGTGGAATGCTCTGGAAGCCTGCATTGATAGCCGGTATACCGATGATAGGAGGCGCCAGCGTGCGGACATGCTCGCGAAAGATGTTATAGAACATAGACTTGCCGACGATCTGGCCGACCATGCGGATGACGAGGGAAAACGCGACGGAAGTGCCGATGAGATGGTCGGGTGATATCACCGAGAAGACGACTTGGGATGGAAGAAGCACGGCGCCGATTCCGAACAGGCCGACGACCATAGGGCCCCAAACGGTGCGGATGTCGGTAGGATCCACGATGGCCATGCAGGCCATGCCGACTGTCTGCATGATACAGAAGCCGAGCAGGACCCAGTGCACGCGGCGCTTGAATACAGTAATCATGATGGCGGAGATTCCGGCGCCACCAGCGATGCAGAAACCAAGAGGAAGGAGCCATACACCGGCTTGACGGAAGGAGGCTCCATATACTGCATAACACTGTATGGTCCAGAAAACTGTGATCGGGACGTAATTGACACCTGAGGAGGATTAGCCTTGATACTGGTCATCGGATATATCGACAGAGCACTGGTCAAGCCACCCTTCGAGCAGTTTTAGCGTGCTGAAGCGTGTGTAGATGATGCCCTAGATCTGTAATATGGAATCGAATACTTACCGGACGTTAAACATAGCACCGATACTGCGATGAAATATCGTGGATGTTTGACAAGCTCCATCGGGAACAAGGGATACTTGGCACCGTACTTCTCCCACAAAACAAACAAGACAACGGAAACCACGCTTGAAGCCAGACATCCAATAACCTGTGTCGATTTCCAGGGATGAGTCTGACCTCCCCAATTCAGTCCAACGCAGAAAAGCACCAGACCAAGCACCAAGAGTGCATTACCAACATAATCCATCCGAGCGAGGATCTGGAGCGTCGACAAGTTCTGCGTTCTCTTGACCGGTGGTGGCTTGTACCATATGGCGAGGACAACAAAGGAGAGCACGGTCCAGATACCAACCAGGAGGAATATCCAGCGCCAGCTCGTCTCCGCAATGTACTGTCCATATAACGACGCAGGAGCAAAAGGAACGAAGCCAAGCACGATGTATCCGATGACCGCACCTCGCTTTGCGACAGGTACGATCTCACTTGCGGCAGCCAGGATCGTGAGGATCTGCACGCCGATCCCAGCTCCAGCTAGCACTTCCCCGACGAAAAACACTGCTAGATTATGTGTCGAGCCAAGGATGGCCATGGACACGACAGTCACGCCCAAGCTAGCGAGGATCAGACTCTTGCGGCCAAGTGCATCCGAGAGACTGCCAACAAACGGTGATACGGCACCGACGGCAATGAGCGGCGCGACAACGAGCCAGACTGCGGAATTGATAGCGTTAAGATCGTATGCGATGACAGTAAAGACTGTGACAAGCAGGAGAGGAATGACCTCTGCCACGACGAACGCCATGGAAAAGCCAATCATGGTCATGATGAAGCCAAAGTTGACCTTTGCAGAGATTAGTACCATCCTCGCCCGACAGTCTCGAAAGACAGACATACCTTGTTTTCGACATCGCTATTCACAGTGTCAGAGCGATCCAGCTCCGAATCCCCTTGATACTCCTGCATCTCCACCGCTGCCTCCTTACTCAATTCTTCCTTCGAGTTTGCCATTTTCGCAAACTGTTTACGTTCCGCGGGAAGGCCTTGTTTCGAGAACATCTTCCCAAAAGTCTCGACTAGTAGGACATTCACCCTTTCTTGTATCCTCGGGGTCTCTAGCAATGCACGCCAATGCCTCGGTTTGGAGACGGCGATACGCGTGCTGTAGATGTTCTGGTCTCTCCCCACACGTTTTCCAAGCCCACCTGGCGCGCCTTGGGACGCCCTTTTAACCAAAGTCCAGAAGCTCCAGGGGCGATATCAATATAGATGGCGAGATGTTGTTGGGCGGCTGTGATTGGCCAGACCATAAATGCTAAACTGGTTGTGGCTTATCAATCGTTCGAAATAGTATGAGCTAGTTCCAGCCCCCGCATGATGATTCTTGGCGAGAGCGTGGAGATGCAGAACGATGAGGAGATGTCGAGACGGTCAGGTGAGCAAGCTCAGAATGTATACCAGCAAATAGTGAGCAAACCGAATGTCTCAATGGCCTATATCACAAACGTCCATACGTGCGCTTCTCTAAACAGTCACAGAAGTTGGTCGCGCACTTGCTAAACGCTTTTTTTAAACTTTTGGCTCTCTCGGGTGGGTCGCCGCCACACTCATCTCGTTTGGTTCCTTGATGTGTCAAGGAACCATTGAAACCGCGCACGCGCCCAGGCACGGCCCCTGGACACTAAAGCCGCACTATGGCATTTTAAAGATTGGTGATGAGATTGTTGATTATAGTGAGTGACACAGGTCTCATTGGATAAGAGCTCCTATCCTCACTCAATCTATATACTGTATTCCATTCTGTAGATGATGTGGTATATCCGAGAAGGTTGAACTTGGTTCAACGTGTACATACCAATTCGCATGTTTTCGTGAGCACTCTGATAGACAGAGAAATAGTATCATCATAACCGCCCCATACTTGGATCTATGAATAATCACTACTTTTTTTTATAGTCAAGTATGCATGCCAAATGTTTGAATATTGGCTCGACTGGTAGTAAACTATTTTAAGGTTCTACCCGGGCCGACTATGTCAGTCAGTCAGGAGACCTGCTGTTGTTGCATCCCTAGTAACTTCAATCGGATCATACTTGTTTGCGATATTCGAGGCTCGGATTCGGCATGAACGACAATAGCAGATGGATGGATTCCAACAATGGACGCCGAGGTACAAGAATCAGTTACTGCATCACGAGATTTATATGCCAATTCAGTCGCGCGTGGAAGTAGCTGACAGAGCCAACTCCTGGCTTGGGTATACGACTTCCAACTTTCGAATTCAAATCAGGCCTTATCGGCGTATTCCTCCCCTTCCGCGAGATCGCTTTTCTACTCTTCCGCCCTTTCCACCCTTTGGTGATGCGCCTCCACCCCCGCTCTGTTTTTGTGCACCAAGACCTTTTCTTTGAGCCTTGAAGCCAGCCATGCCTCCTGCTCTTCCTCCACTGAAGCCCCCTCTTTTATTGCCCGGACTCATGTTACCCTTAGACTTAAGCTTTTTGCCTACCTCCATTTCTTCATCCACATCCATGTCCTCCTCATCATCGTTGTCCTTGCTCCGCTTGTTTGAGAACTTCAACTTTCCCTTTTGACCACGCTGGGGTGCGTCCCGTCCTTTGAGGGCTGCAACATATGCGTTGATACCACCTTCAAGAGTACCATCACCCGGTTCGCCCTGTTCATCGAAATCCATCATTTCTGGGCCTTCGTCCGACGAGTCGCCTAGAAGTAATTTACCATCTAGATCGGTCTTGGCTTTCGTCTTGTGGGCCGGTACAGCGCGCTGTTTGACGGGTTTGGTTGATGATATATTGCCGTAAGCTCGTTTTGACAATAGATCGAGAGGTTCGTCCTCATCCTCCACGATGTAGGTATTCCCATTTTGGGCCTTGCCTCGTCGTTTACGAACAAACTCATCATCGCTGCCGGCTGATGCGACAGAAGCGACTGAATCTGATTCGCTTCCATATACTGCTTCGTCAAATTCGCTTTCAAACTTTGATCTCCGACGGTGATCCGCTGGTCCCTCTGCACCATCGACCTCCATTTCATCACCAGCAGTGGTACTGGCATCTCTCTTCCTCTTCGCCCGATCACGAGTTTTGCGTATGTTGGCAATGAGCTTCTTGTCTTCTTCCGGACAACACACTTCAACATCCTCAATACCGAAGCGCCGAATCATACGCTCGATGATATGTTTGACCTTCGCTTTGAATCGGGATTTATGTTCATGGCTCCAAATCATCAGATTTGGTATCAGGGTCTTCAACCGGGGCTGCATTAGAGATGCTGGTAACGAGATGACAGCGACTTTGACGAAGCCGAGTACCGACCTCACAATCTCGCGATTCTTGTTTTGAATAAACATATCCATAAGATCCAAAATCTCGCTCACAGTCGCGTCCGAGATCCTGGAACGAAACTCGTAAAATACCCGGGTTACGGCTGTCACAGAAGCACTCTGCATATGGGGTGTGGACCCAGCAAGACCGGCAGACACCATAGTAAAATACAAGTCGAGACTCGCACTAGCCGAAGGTGCATCCTCAGGCATGTTCGGGATCTTCGAATTGATTATCGTGCCTCCACGATCCATTTTCTCACCCATGGCCACGAGAAGGTCATATGCTGCGGTCCGTGCCTTTTCGTTGATCTCCTTCGAAGATATTACTACCTCTGGCAGAATGGCGGGAATGAAATGCAAGTCCTCTGTAGGCATATATTCCACAACCCAGGAAATAGCTGCAATGCGCTCGTGGCGTGCAGAAGCTACTGTCTTTTCGGCACTGTCGAGCAGAAGGCGCTGCAGCTCCCTATTGCGCTCCTGCAATGCCTCTCGACCAGCATCAGATTCGGCTAGGCGAGGGATGAGCTTGTAAGCCTTCTTTTGAATCTTGTTGTCCTTTCCGGAATTGATGATGAGCGAGGCAATGGCAAAGAGCGAAGTGAATGTTTCCCGTGGAAGGTATGCCGTAATTGTAATTATCAAGTCCATAAGAGTGTAACTTGTTGGTGGTAGCTTGTCTTCGACCTTGCCTTTGGCTTTCGCAGTCTTTGGCTGCTGTTGCTGCTGCTCTTCTTCTTGTAGCGCCGTCTCCAAAGCCGACGTGACTCTGTTAAAGGTGTCCAGGAGATCCTTCTCAACATTAGTTCCGCTAAATTGTTTGTTCAGCTTCGGCTTACATTTGTCGGGGTGATACTGAGATAAGCGTTGATGCATTGCAGAACAACGCCACGGTACTGTTGTAGGGTCTGGCTATATACGTTGAACAACACAGCTAAGATGTTGTTCGAAAAGGTAGCAAGGTAATCTAAATTACGCTTGGCATCTGTTTTCGACACGCGCGATAATGCGATCAAGTCAGTGTCCGATTCAGCTATGATAGCCTGATTAGTTTCCACAAGATTTTTCAAAGCCCGGCAGAGATCTGCTCGTAAGTCTGTTTGCTGATACAGAAGATTTGATATCATTTCGGCGAACGATTGATCGAATCCCTAGAAGAGAATTAGGCAAGCCATAAAGAAGACACTCAAGTAGCATACCTCCACCACGTCGAGCGGGAGATCGCAATAACCTGGTAAGCACGTCCATATCTGATGGACGACTGTTTCAAATACTTTGATTTCCATGGTCTTCTCTGCCTGCCCGTGTTCAAGAACTTTTTGGAACATTGCTTCGCTCAGTGGTACTAGCTCCTGGCGAAAATGCGATAACCGGGTGTTGCTAACAGAATCTCGTATGATCGGGAGAAGCCATGCGCGACCTGGCTGTCCAGGTACAGGCCTGCTTAAGTTCAATGGCAGTATTTCAAGGACCTTTTCAGGCCCTATCGCACGAACTGCTTTGGAGAGAACAGTATCAGCTTCAGTCTTACCGGCAAACGAGTCACTTCCTCTCAGTTCGCCGATCTGTTTCACTGTGGTATCTAGATATGGTGAAGCCATCCAGCGTAACTTCTCAAACATAGCTCCAAGGACGTTGAAGACCTCCATCCATGCAGCTTGGTATTTGACGCTCAGTAGGCCTGCAGCTGTCCTCGACAACTTCTCTAGAGCCTTCTCGTCAAAGATTGAAGGGTTCTGTAGAACACTCACAGGAACACAATTCGCCATGAATGATATCAAGCATTCTGAAGCAGATATGCGGATGTTGTGAGATGGGGACTCCAGAAATTCAGATATTTTGGCAAACAAATCTGGCAACTTTTGAAATGTCTCCTCGGGTTCAACCTGGGCCGATACATCATATCCCCTGGACAAGACCGCGATCCAAGGAGGAAGCAATTGAGAGTCGCCACGCGCAGGTTGCAGTTCCAATATCTTTTCTAAGAGCAGTGGCAGTTTCGGTGATGTTTCATCATTAGCCATACCTGCAAATATGACTTCGAACAGATCAAACGCTGCCATAGTGAGGTGTTCGTTCGTGGAGCGCGAAATGTTCAAAAGTAACTCGACTAAAGCATCGATCTTCTTACTGGGCCAACCATCTGAACCACTCGCTATGGCTTTGATCAATTGTAAGACATGCATCATCTCTGGCTCTAGCGATCCGTCCCGATTTCGGCTCTTCTTGCTTTTGCTTGCCTCCACAGCCAGTGCACGTAAACTACTCAATGCGCTTTCTGCACACATATCTGCCGCCGGGTGATCGATGGACGGGCTAGGAGGCGGATGTTTTAGGACGTTCGTAATGGCATCTTGAGCACGTTTTCGAGGCTTCGGTTTCTGACCTACTGCAATGGCGAGAAGTCCTGCTAACGCCCAGCGCGGGCTGACCTGCGATTGTGGTAACGCCCATGCTTGTGAGTCTTGTACTAGCAATAGTGACTCAAGACAACCTATCGAAGGTCTAATCAAGGGTCCTTCTGAATCTTTTTGGGTCAGAGCAGGAGCTAGGCTAGTCACGACCTGGGAGAATTTCGATCGTAGGAGCGGGGCGGCGACGTGGGGTGTTATAAGGTCGAGGAGGTACACAACAGCAGACGCAACTTCTTTATTGACGATTGGCTGATCAGGAGGTATATACTTCTTGAGCAAGGCAAGCAGCGCGGCGAAGTAGGCGGCAGGTGTGAGTTCAGAGTTTTGCGACTTGATTGTATCCTCAACTGCTGAGAGCACCGCAGCACTCTGGAGTTTGTTAGCTCGATTTATGCGACTTGCGTGAGATTGCACACCTGCTGCTGGTTTTGCTGCTTGGGCGAGGAACGGATCTTGTCCAGCCTCTCCTTTAGTTCGAGAGACATCTTGGCCTCGTTTGCGTAAGTCAAGTCCTTGAAGATTTCGCAGTGATTCACTGAGTGTCGCACACGGCACTTATTTTAAAAAAGTTCTAGTGCACGGTCCACATCAGTACTAACTCCGTATCGCCGGGACACTCACCGACATATATTCGTTCGCTATGTTACATAAAGGTAAGCTGCAGGGACTTGGACGGTTATGATAAGCTCTGCATAAAGCAGCATCTATACTCAATGCCCGGCTTTTCAAAGGTACGTTACATGCCAAATCGCGAACGAGAACAAGCGAGACAAGTATATATAATGGAGCGTCGTCAATATACAGACTACACTAAGCGAATAAATTTGCTGTATCATATGATACACTCTACTAGAGTCTGTTTATGTGGTGGAAACCTTAGCTTGAATGTCGTCGCCTCGCTCGGGTTCATAATTTGTTTCTCCCAGCATCGAAACGCTCCCAGTTGGAGCGGCGGGTGCTTGGGGCTTACTTGTCGACGCCGCATGTAGCCTTTGATCAAGAGCCTTCAATGCAAGGGCTCGTCTCCGTTCAGCTTCTTCACGTCTTCCCCCGCTTCGTCCGCCTCTACCCGACCCGTTCATAATGCTTGGAAGACCCCCTTCGGCTCGCGCAGATGCTTGCTCGTTTCCTATGTCGATGTCTTCAGCGGAAAATGGAATGCATATCTTAACTGCTACTAAAGCTTCGTACACTCTATCACAAGTGGCTGCTATGGGAGTGTGAAGAGGTTCAGGAAAGAAGAATGCGAAACCAAAAGTGTCGGAGGCATCACCGCGAACGTCTGCCGACTCGCCTGTACTTGTTGAGGATAAGGAAGGACTGAGACGATAGAACCGAAGATAGATCCAAGACGTGAAAAACCCGGCCCAAGTCAAAAACATGGCTGTTTCTGTTCCAAATATCAACCCAGATATCGTGTTCGCGGCGAGATGTATGGCCGGGAAGTGTTTGACCCTCATACGGATCAGGCCTCTGGCGATGGCGACAGTATGTTCAGGTACTAGTTGTTTGAAGGCAACAAGGTAACCCGCCTGAATAGCTATACCACCTGAAATAGTCGTGTTTCTTTCCCATGTTAGACGGCTATGGCCTTGATCTTTGTATCGTATTGTGGGGACTTACAGAGCAGCCTCATTCTTCGAAATTGCGAACGCGAGAACATAAAAAAGGAAAGTTACTATGTTCGGGAGCATAGAAACGAAAAGCATAAACTTGGCAAACTCTTGAGAGCTCCAGGCGCGCTCTAGGTATCTTCCTCCGTAGAATAGGGTAACACCTGTGATCAACAGACCAAAAATATTCTGCTCCACAAGTGTCGCAATAAGGAACACATATGGATAAACGATTGAAGCTCCTGGAACGATCGCTAGATACGGCGCGCCATCTCCTGTAGCGATAATCGGCTTCTCTACTCCAGAAACCCAGTCAGGATACGGCCTGACCGCCGCGTTCAGGAGTGTCAGGATTATGAGGGCGGCGAGGAGACTGCGCGTCAACGGAGGTAGGTTGATTCTTGGAGCCATAACAAGGATGTGAGAGATGGGATGTGCGAGGTCGACAACCTCTCCCAAGGCGCTCTACAAGCTTGAACAGGACCGAAGGTCGAATGATCAGCGCGCTGAAAGGTATAGGGGGGATTTTGGTGTCGAATGCGCAGACACAAGGTTCCCGCGCCGGTCAGGCTCTATAGGAAGTAGTGTTTTGTACAGGAGCTTCAAAGGTGATTGCAAAGAGAAACCCCAGGGTCTATTGTGAGGCGTTGGCTGTTGAGGCTGAAATCTTGGATCCTTGTGATTGGCTAGCGATTCGCGACCCTATAGCAGACCACGAAGAGCGCGCGAAGCTTGAATCTCATCCGCACGTCCCGATTCCACGACCTCGACAATCCTGCTCATCTTTAGTTCTACTCATATCGATATTTATCAAGTGCTCCTTGTCCCCAAATTCACACCTTGCCGATGCAGTGGTGACCTTGGACGAATCTCAAAACCTAGGCGCATTTCAATCATGCGCAATGACTGTCGAGACGCTATCTTCGAATGTCGTTAACTACCTGGTGTGGAGGTATCTGCAGGAGGCCGGTAAGTCGCATATTACACGGCTGTCGGTGCAATCACTGACAATCTTCGAGGCTTTGGATCTGCCGCGGTGCACTTGCAGAAAGAATGGGTCCGCGACCCTCAAGAGCTTCCGTTCGCGAGTAACGTCAAGAAGAATGCTATGGTCGAGCTCTTGCAGGATGGGCTATACCTCAATCATCTTGAAGCTGGGGTCAAAGGAGTCAGTCATGGCCTTCCTGTGGCGATCGAGGACGCTAACTCCTTCAGTCTCACTCATCCCCACGGTTTGGAGATGATCACGGCAGCCAATACTCGATTCATCGTAGCGGAGGTCCTGTACTGAGGGCCGAGGATGACTACAATGACATACCCCATGAGACCAATGGTACATTACACGATAATGGGTCAAAGAAAGGGCCAAGGCGGAAGAAGAAGAGTAGTGGGCCGGAACGTTTGAATGGCGACGCGATGGAGATCGAGCCCAATGGTGTGCATTCACCTTCGCGTGGAGAATCAGAGGCTCTGGTCTCTGATGTCGAATCCCCAAATGTTGAAGAGGTACAAACCACAACCTTAGTCCAAGGAAGGAGTCTGGATGTTCAGACGGAAAAGATTGCAGAACTCGCTCCAAGCACCATAATCACCAGTGTTGACAAGCCAGGGTCTATCATCAATCACGTCATGTGGGGCCACGACAATGACACTGATAGAGACGTTCTGTTGGTTGCAGGCGACTCTTTACTTCGATTCTACGATGTTCCCACCTCCCAGACTCTACAGTCCACAGCGGGCGAACTCCGCAACGTAGACTATCCACTACCCTTCAACAGTTTCGATGTGTCAGCGTTTGCTTGGAAAGGACCTAGTGAACCTGGTTGCGCTGCATTCGCAACACAGGAGCGTATTACCAACGAAATGAGCGAGTCTATGTCTGATTATAAGTTGAGCCTGATTGAAGGGAACGAGTACCGCATGATCTCTTCTCTCGGTGGGATGATATTCCAAATCACTTGGAATCAAGCAAGTCAGCTTCTGCTGACTATTTCTGGTAATGATGTCGCTGGTTTGATTCGCATTTGGAAGCAGGACTTCTCATACGTGTCATATGCAACTGATCAGCCTCTTTTGGATTGTCAATGGTTGTTTGACACACGGTTCGTTGTGTGTGGTGAAAAATTCCTGAGCATTCTCGAACTGGATGCTCTTTCAAGCGAGATCAGGGTCTTGAAAAACTTTGATACCGGCAGGGACTGGGATAGAGTCTGTTTTGATCCGATTTGCAGATTTATCGCTTGCAAATCTCTTGACGGCGACGCTGTCGCTCTCGCACACCTTGAAGACGCAACACTGCGAATTCAAACTTTCGACGTCGCACCTGTCACCGATATTGCATTCCAGCCTATCCCGAATCCAGCTTCACATACTGCAGAATCTGCGCGTCTACTTGCGGCATCATTTCACCATGGGTACATCCAAGTATGGAACGTAAAGGAAGGCTTCGATCACGTGTACCGAGTCGAGCTTGAGGATCGACCAGTAGGCGCCATAGCATTTTCTCCGGACGGTTTTCTCCTTGCTGCTGCTGGTATGGACACTGTGTCTATATGGCAAGCTGAACACGGAGGAACGCCAAAAGCTCAATGGCATGGTTCTGAAGAAGAACACTGGGCTATGCCTGGTAGCGACAAAGATGCGCAAGACCCTCTGCACCGGCTTGCGTGGGACGCGGACAGCAAGCGTTTGGCGTTCGCCCTGGGGAATCAGGTATGTGTTGCGTGCATTAATACCACCTGATATGCCCAGTTAACTTGTCTATAGTTCGCTCTCATTAACTTCCAGAGGTGAGAAGGTCGCAAATATAGCGTTCAATCGCCGTTTTGTGCACTCGATGCAACAACTGAGATAAACGAGCTCCACTTTGGCCAGTAGTGCTGCGAACAGGACGCCCTAACCACGGTGGATCCAACATTTGCTGCCTGTAGATGTATCGCACACAGCAGATGAATCGGGGTCGTCGGTACTATTCTGACGAATCGTCTCCAAATGCGCCAGTAACAGACTCCGCCAGGTCGCTTCGACATCCATGGATATACAGGGTCAATAAGTCACAATTCGACGCCATTGACGCCGCCAGTTGTCCAACAGGCTCTTGAACTGCCGTAAAGAGAAGATAGACTAATCCGAGGCCTTCGTTTAAAGTGGGTGCGTGGTGGGGCGAGTGGATACGATATGCCGCAGCGGAGCCTGGGGGGCGCTTACCAAGCCAAATGAAGCAGTCAAACCTTGCTTGCAAGTACAAATTAGCTTGACATCGACATCATGAACCGACTACCTCCGACCTACAGCTCCAGAAGAGATAGGAATAGGAATCTCAGGTCCGCTAGGTCGTGAGCGCCTAGCTTCCGTATGTGTCTCGCTCTGCAAGACATTGCCATCCAAAGTGGATCATGTCTCAGTAGGTGATCCACATTAGCATGCCGGCTCCACAGGCGATCGAATACGACAGTCTGGGTATGGTTTAGCATAGAAGGACTGCTAGAAGTGGCGCTAGATAAATGTCCTTTCACTGTATCAAACCAAAGTTGTATCGTACTTCTTTATTTCGTCAATTCTTCTAGATCTACCTATTCTATTCAAATGTCTGTTGCTCCTCGTCCCGCGTTCGCAGAGGTGGTGAGAGTAAGCGAGAGATTAAAGACTCCGCACCTCGACTCAAATGGTAATACTGTTCAGCCTGATACTCCAAATGGCGGACTATCCTACCACTTGTGTGATGCCCCCGTTGAGAACTTCAGACCAGTCAAGGTCCTTGTGATAGGAGCTGGCTACTCAGGAATTTTGTGTGGAATAAGGATTCCCGAGAGGATCCGCAATGTCGATGTGGCAATCTATGATAAGAATAGCGGTATCGGTGGTGCGTGGTACGAGAACAGGTGCGACGTATCCCAAGAATGACGTCGTAGCATAGCTCATTTTACGCCAGATATCCCGGATGTGCGTGCGATGTACCTTGTATGATCACACTCTCCTTTACGAGCAGCGCATACTGATGAGGTAACAGCACACTCGTACCAATACTCATTCGAGCCAAACCCAGAGTGGACCTCGTTATACGCGCCGGCCAACGAGATACGGCAGTACCTTACGCGCACTGCTAAGAAATACGGTGTAGATCGATTTATCAAGTTGAATCACAAAGTCACGAGATGCCGATACAATGGCGACACTGGAAAGTGGCACCTCACCATTGTCAATTTACTTTCGGGTCAGATCTCTGAAGATGTAGGAGACATCTTAATAAGTGGAAGAGGCAACCTGAATAGTATATCTTGGCCCAAGATCAAGGGCCTAGAGACTTTCAAAGGCGAATTAATGCATTCCGCTAGTTGGAACGTAAAGTACGTGGTCAAAAAAAATCAAGCTTTTTTTGTGCTTATTGACAAGTACTATAGCTACGATTTTACAGCGAAGCGGATAGGAGTCATCGGATCTGGCAGTTCCGCAATTCAAATCATTCCTCAGTTGCAAAAAGTGCCCGGCGCTCGTCTATCATGCTTCATTCGAAGTCCCACGTGGATTAGTCCTCCATTCGGACAGCAGCTTTGGGACACACTGGGCATGAAAGGAACTGAAAGTGAGCATAATGCCATGAACGCAAACTAGATCAAACCCTGATATCAAAGCAGTACCTGAAGAACTCCGAGAAACTCTCAAGATGGATCCTGCCGAATATCTCAAGTTTCGCCTACGTATTGAAGAGTACGGCAACTCAATCCACGGATCTACGTTTAGAGGTTCTCCACAGCAGACGGCATCGCAAGCAGATTTCGAGGCCTATATGAAGTCTAAGCTTGCTGATAGACCAGATATATTAAACACTCTACGTCCGTCCTTTTCACCGGGCTGTCGCCGCCTAACCCCCGGTCCAGGGTTTTTGGAAGCACTAACCGAACCCAATGTTCAGGTCATCAAGGACGAGATTCGTGAGATTGAATTCAACGGTATCCGTACCGCAGACGGCACTTTGCATCGCATGGACGCCTTAGTGTGTGCCACGGGCTTCGACACCGGAGCTGCGCCACCGTTCCCGGTTGAAGGTGAAGGAGGCACACTTCTGCAAGCAAAATGGAAAGATCGGCCGACAAACTACCTCTCTGTCGCTGTGGATGAGTTCCCAAACCATTTCATGATGCTTGGTCCGAACGCTGCTATTGGCTCTGGATCTTTGACTATGATGATTGAAGGAGCGAATGATTACATTGTCAAATGCATCCGTAAGATCCAGAAAGAAAATATAAAGTCTATGGTGGTAAAGGCGGCACGAGTCCGCGACTTTACTGCGTACGTTGATGCGTATTTCGAGAAGACGGTCTACACAGAGGAATGCCGCAGTTGGTACAAGAAGAATGGCAAAGTGGTGGGCCTATGGCCTGGAAGTACGTTGCACTGCCTTGAGTCATTACGATCTCCACGCTGGGAGGATTTCGAGTACGAGTACATTGGAGAGTCTCGCGGCGTAGAGGTCAATAGGATGGCGTGGCTGGGAAATGGATGGAGTGAAAGGCAGCTGGAGAAGAAAGATCTCGCGTGGTATCTATATCCCGAGTTTCAGGAAGTGCCAGCTCCTGGAAAGCCAGAGGAGTCAGAGAGGTATAGGATACGCCCGTTCTCGCATTGATAATCAAGAGAGCCAATTATACAGGCTCTCGAGAGTTTGATAGAATGGATCAGGAACTCGTTGTCATACTCTGTCCTAATTAGTGGCTGGTAGACCGGCCACCGACTTCGGCAAGGTCGGCTTTTGAACTGACGCCATTGAATGGTGGGGCCGGCAGCTTCACCTGCATTGAAGATGAAGCTTGAATAATCACACACAATCTTCTGGTCCCCCGCAATGGTTCTGGCCTGAAGATCATGATTGTTACCTCCAATTGTTGTTTACGACGTACTTTCTTCGCCCTTACTACCAACTGTCCTCCTCGATCGCTGGCGAAACAGCAGACGCTCTCCATCCGACGGCGAGCGCTTTCGTGTAGTATGACTCGATCGGATCCATTCAAGCCCGCAGCGCGCGTTGCTGGTCAGCGACAAGATGTTTGGTGAGACAATTATTATCTCCCGCTAGCCTAGAGACTCATGTTTTCCTCCTCGCAGGACTATTGTAAACGAGGCGGCGGCGGCGGCACCTGAACACCTTCAGCCTGTCGTGAACATGGGGCAGGGCTTCTTTGGCTACAACCCACCAGACTTCGTCCTTGATGCGGCGAAATCTGCTCTAGATAGAGTCGAATGTAATCAATACTCGCCCACAAAAGGCCGACCCAGGTTAAAGAAAGCGCTTGCCGATGCATACTCGCCTTTTTATGGAAGGAAGCTTGATCCCGAGAAAGAAATCACAATCACAACAGGAGCCAATGAAGGTACACTAGATAATTATATACCGAGTACACCGGAGTGAACTAACACATGACCGAAGGAATGCTAAGTGCCTTCATGGCATTCATAGAAAAGGACGACGAGGTCATTGTTTTCGAGCCTTTCTTTGACCAATATGTCAGTAATATCGAAATGCCAGGAGGCAAGGTTGTCTATGTGCCTATGCACCCACCTCTACAGGGCGCAATGAAGACGACATCGGCTGCAGAGTGGTCGATAGATATGAAAGAGTTGGAGAGTGCGATTACCCCAAAGACGAGGATGATAGTTTTGAACACGCCTCACAATCCTATCGGGAAAGTGTTTTCAAAGGCTGAACTGCAAGCTATCGGTGATCTCTGCGTGAAGCATCAGATCATCATATTATCAGACGAAGTCTACGACACTTTATACTACGTCCCCTTCACCCGAATCGCGACACTGTCTCCAGAAATTGCGAAACTTACTATGACTGTTGGCTCAGGCGGAAAGAACTTCTACGCAACTGGCTGGCGCGTGGGCTGGCTTATCGGGCCAGAACATTTGATAAAATACGTTAGTGCTGCGCACACTCGGATTTGCTATAGCAGCGTCAGTCCGCTACAAGAAGCTACCGCAATTGGTTTCGAAGAGGCTGAGAAGCATGACTTTTGGAACAAGTCAAAGAAGGAGATGCAAGGCAAGATGAAGAAATTCAACACCATTTGGGATGAATTAGGACTTCCAGTAAGTGTCAGGTCCTGTCAGAACGCAATGGTATACGATCACTCACACCTGTCACAGTACTCTGATCCAGAGGGTGGATATTTCGTCCTGGTTAATATGGCCAAGGTTCAATTGCCCGAGGATTATGTGTTCCCGGATATCGTAGCTGACCGCCCGCGCGACTTCAAGTTATGCTGGTACCTCATCAAGGAGCTGGGCGTGGCTGCGATACCACCGACTGAGTTTTTCACCCCTGAGAATGCTCACATTGTCGAAGACTGGTTGAGATTCGCTGTCTGCAAGAATGACGATATCCTAGAGTCAGCCCAAGATAGATTGAGGAAAGGTCTTAAACAGTATATCAAATAGAAGTTTGGAACTAATGCATAGCCTGGCACAACAGGCAGCAGTTAAATCCGCTGTCCCGACTATTGTGTTGCTATCATTATGTGTAGTGTCTGTTTGCATCATAGGTCACGTTGTATTTACAGCACTAGGATGCGGATGAACCGTGTACATCAAACGACAAGAAGACCGCCCGGTACCCTATGCGATGCCAACCTCATGCAAAATGCAATGCACCAATGCACCAGGTCCCCAAACCGAGCCAACGCCACGCATGCAGACATATTACAACCCTCACAATCCTAAGAATACAAGCATACCACCACCGCCGAAACTCGCTATAGCAATTCCGATTCCTAGCGTGGCCCACGTCCAGAGACTATTCTTTGCGTCCATGCCGATTTTGACTGCCGCACTGTCAGTCTGCTCCGGCAACGGCTCGACGCCTAACCCACCACTTCCGCCGCCGCCACCTGTCCCGCTCGCACCCGGCACCGCAGTCAGTTCCGCTTCGAAGTGCTCGGCTTCGAACACAATTTCCTCGCTGGCGAAGTAGGTCTCGGTGCCGAACTGCACGAGGCCGATGTAGGTTTCGTACGGAATCAGGCCGTATCGGGGGAGGGCGTGGATGAGCGGCGTAACGTCGCCGGTGAAGGACGTGACGATTGTGGGCGAGACCCAGGAGTATACGGTCTGGCCGTTCGAGTTTGAGCCGTTGTACAGCGTGCTGTGTATTGCCATGTCAGTTCAACACGGGAGTAACAAAGAGTGTAAGTCAGGAACAACGCACAAATCGACGCCTTCGAGGGTCATATCGAGGATGCCGTTCGCGTCGGCGGCGAAGCCGATGGGCTGGCTGGCATCGCCCAGACGCGCAAACCAGATCATGATCTCGTACATCTGCTGGCTGGGCTGGGCGCTGCGGTCGCGGTCGGCGTCGCAGAAGAGGTCCATGACGACGTTGGCCTGGGTGCCGATGCCGGCGAGGGCGTCGGCGTTGGGTTGGGTGTTTGGGTCTTTGCTGGCGCTGCTGTCGAGGCTGCGCGGGGCCATGCTCCATGCGAGGGAGACGCTGAGGGATTGTAGCTCGGAGATCTGGATGGGGAGGGTGTCGGATTCGTATTGGAGGCGTGGGTACGCGTGGACGCGTGGAGGCGCGGAGAGCCAGTGCCAGATGGCGGAGAAGGCTGGTGGTGAGGAATCGGGGACCTTGTACAAGTCAGCTTTGCATACGCATCCATAGTGACCGACTTTTCCGCCATTTTTCACACTACATGTTTATGATGAACAGTATTCATAGTACAATTGTTCGTGAGGCCGTATTGATATGCATTAATTATTTCTCTCTATCTATAAGATACTATTTAATCTAAATTATTCCGCCGGCTGCTGTGAAAAGGGGAGGGGGGTATCCAGCTCAAAAGGCTTCCAAGTTATAAAAAAAAAGCAACAAAAGAAAACCAAAAAAAAAAAACCACCAAAGTTCAAATCTTGCCCGCCCACAGCAAGAACCGGTGAGCGAGGAAGAGATTGAAAGCAGTCAAGACGAGTAGCGGAATGGTATCATACCAGTGCAGCCTATGCCCCAGCGTCTGATACACGATACCAGCAACCGTCAATCCCACAATCGTCGTGTTCCACACCCACGCCACAATCCGCATCTCACGGAACTCATTGCTCTTGTGCACCTTGCTGTCGCCCGACGCCACCCACGTCAAGCCACGGCCGAGGATACGCTTCTTGATCGCGGCGGCGTACGCGTACATCTGGATCTGCTGGATGAACTGCACGTTGAAGCCGTACTCGGCCTTGGCCCAGGCGCGGATGATGATCAGGCCGTAGAGCACCGAGGGCACGGCAAAGGCCAAGTTGTAGTAGCGCACGTATTCGGGCCGGATCCAGATGAGGAGCATACCGGGGAGGGGCGCCATGAAGATGGAGAGGACGACGGCGGAGTAGTAGAGGAGACCGCAGAGGAAGCAGATCTTTTGCATGCGGTTGAGCGGCGATTTCCAGAATTCGGGGTTGGTTACGAGGGTGGTTGAGCCCTGTGCGGATGGATGTTAGTGGACTGTTACATATTTGGATCGGAAAGAAGTGTGCTGGGAGAACGTACCATGGCCCATCTCATCTGCTGGCTGAAGTACGCGCGCGGTGTATCAGGACAGACACCACAAGCCAGACAAAGCGGCAGATAGCGCAGCTTCCACCCACGACACATCGCATAGAAACCCGTGTGCACATCCTCCGAGAACCCAATCTCAGCCGTTCCACCGACCTCGACAAGCGACTCACGGCGATAGATAGCATTGCTGCCTACACACACCGACGCACCCCATTTATTCCGATTCGTCTGCACAACACGGTAGAACACCTCCTGAATCGCACCCGCACCCTGCTCAACCCACGACTGATCCGTCGTGGTGCGGAAAAACTGCGGCGTCTGCACAATACACGTATCCGGGTTGGCGAGATGCTCCGGCATAATCTCGAGCAGGAAGTCCGGACGAGGGCAGAAATCGGCGTCAAAGATGGAGAAGAAGGGCGCTTCGGTGCGGGCAAAGGCGTAGCGGAGGTTACCTGCTTTCTTCAGGTGCGGGCGGTTGTCGCGGACGATGTAGTTGTAGCCGAATTTTGTGGCGAGGGCCTTGACGTTGTCGTCGGCGCCGTCGTCGAGGACCCAGACTTTGATCTTGCCTTCGGGGTACTGCAGGGCGCTGACGTGGTTCCAGGTGTTTTCGAGGATGACCATGGGCTCCTTGCAGACGGGGAGGTAGATGTCGATGTCGGGGGCGGTGACGGGGTCGATGGGGTTCTCGGCCAGGATCTTGTTGTGCTCTTCCATGTTGAACTCGCCTCCACAGACTGAGGTCAGGTAGGAGACGATCATGTAGAGCTGGAGGAAAGCGACGAATGCACCAAACCAGTAGAAAGCAACCGATGAGAGGACGAACAGCCACATACCAGCAGAAAGACTGCAGAACGCCAACACACCGATTCCATGCAGACCGAGACGGTTTGTCTTGAGATATAGGACTTTCTCGGCGTCGGTTGGTGCTGTGGGCAAGACGAGCGGCGGCGACTCCGTAGGGCAGTATACACGTCTATACCACGCCTTGAAGCGAGGCCAGTAGTTGCCCTTAGTCTGTGCCGGTGTAGCAACTTCATCTACCGTGACTGCTGCGCCGGCGGACGCACTCTCGGGGTCTTCAATATCGATGGGTCCCTCTTGTTGATGCGGAGTCGAGCCAGGCACAACTGGAGCAGGGCCTGCTGACGGAGCCACCAAGGCCTTCGGACGGGCGGTGTCTGCGAACCAGTCATGATGGTCGGACTCTGTGCTTGTTGCGGCGGCAGCAGCGGCAGCAGTTGCGTTCAGCTGGGAGGAAGAAATAGAGCGTCTTAATGAAGCGCGAGCCGCCTTGTCAGAGTTCTCATTGTTGGTATCGCTTGCGGTGATACTCCAGCGTCGACTGACTGGGCGGCCGACAAGAGCTTCATCCTGTCCTGGCACCTGGCTTTCGTCGACTGAGTCGGGGCGAGAGACGGCACGGCTGGATGTATTGACTGAGTTGTCGTCTGCGCTGGATTCGGTGGGCGTTGCGTTCTGGCCCGAAGCTCGCTTTATTTGGTCCAATCGTATGCGTACCAGGCGGGGGTCAGCGGGGAAGTAGCTGTTATTTTGAGTGACTGAGCCATCTAGCGGGGTGTTGATGTCCTATTCCTCAGATTAGCTTCATATCGCGGAAGGCATTCATGTTGTGAAGGTGAAGTTTGAGTATAGGTGAAGTGCTAAGAGGTGCGGTAGGCCACTACCATATGCGCAATGAACTTCAGTACAGGAATCCAACTTACAGATTGGCTTTCATAGGCTGAAGAGCGAGATCCAGCTTGATCATGGGTAAGGTCCGGCGTTGCGTCGAAAGAGCGAACACTGTTTGTGCCACTATCACCACTATTGCTGCGAGCCTCCTGAGGAACCTTGGGGACCTTGTTCTCACGTCCCCCCTTCAGAAGTGTTTGGACTCTAGCAGCCAGAGGGGCAGCAGTCTGTCCAATAGTCCCACTGTTATCCTCGATATTCTGCTTGCCGGGTTGAACAACATTGTCGCCAAGAGAAACTTGTTGGATCTCGTCAGCAACAGCTGAACTGTCGATTGGCGCGGGCATTGCCTTATTCTCCGTGACACGGGGGGGGCTACGAAAGACCCGAAGCGAGGAGATATTTCTGAAGTGAAGGCTTTGTTGTTCAATCGAAGAAACAACTAGAGCAATGCTGGGAAGAAAGAAAGTCCAACCAGCTAGACGACGGGGCGTGAGGGCGAGTCTAATATCCCGTGGGGCTGTTGTGGCTATCACGAATGGACAGAACTTTCCATGCACGCGCTTTTTGAACAGCCTGTCCCACGCCAGGCCAGGGCGGAAACGCCGCACAATCTTCGAGGCCCCAAGTGAAGTCTAGCACCCAGGAGACCGCGATTCTCTCTCTCTAACACATACCTCCCCCAAAGGCTGGATCTGTCAGTATGCATAAAACGCCACCATCCAGCAGGGATTGAGGCTACGGAATGAGAAAGCGTGCATGGTATGGGCAGCAAGCACATGTGCCGCATTGGGGACACCGGCGCGATGCGATCCACAACAACAATCCGACTTTGGGGAGGGAGACACATGCTGGCCTGGCTCAATTAGCTACCGAGACCGGGTGGTGGAAACAACAACACATGTCGAAACAGGGGGCTGAAGCTTTTCTCACGGGGCTGCAGTACCGCTCAGTAGAAAAAAAAAATAAGTCATTGCCGATCTGGGTCGCGGGCGGTCCGCCGTGTTCGATACCTTTTCGGTCCGATAATTAGTCTGGCGCCAACCACAGGCACCGAAGCGAGTTGCCGCCCTAGGGGGGTCCTCTGGCCCACCGCGGAACCAAATCTAGACCTGGGACTGCTGACTAGCAGCCTTTGCACGCACGACAAGCCTTCTGCCTCAGCTGGAGGTTTTGTGCGGATCGTGTTCATCACGGCTAACGCTGCGCATATCTCTTGGCAATCACAACGCGGTTGGGAGACAAGCTCGCCCCAAGGTTCTTCGTCTGGCAAATCAATTTTCGTGGAGATGAAAGGGGAATGCCGCTGCCCAGAGATAAAACGTCAACAAGCAAAAGTCTGGCTCTGACAATCGTCTTGGCTTTGTCGATAGACCCTGCAGCATCGCCCTCTCGTACACCGCTCCAGCCCAGGGCCTCGACAACGAATTTTTTTGGAGCAAGAAAGTAGTCAGGCGGGATGCGTGTTTGTTTGACGTGTCACAACACCTCGACAACAACGTAGCCGGAGGAAGTGACTCAGCTACCGTGGTATTGGTCGGAGATTACTCTGAACCGTACGGGAGGAGAGTGGGAGAGTGGGCATGCTGTCGAACTTGTGGCGCTTAGGGGGTTATACTTGAGGAAGATAACCCCATCTTTCGGGCCGCGCTATGCCCGATAAAGCCAGCAGTCAATGGTTAAGAGACGGGTGTGTCCTGTATGATACCCCACCTAGCTCACGTAGAAACAGTCATGACCGGGCGTACCCACAGGGCCACGAACCTTAAACGGACCATGGACAGTTCACTCACCACAAAGGGGGCGTGTCTATCACGATTAATCGAGTGAACTATCTGAGAATCTGCAAACGCAATAAAAGTCATAGGAATTGATTCGCTCTCTATACAACAGTCCATAAAGAACGGCACGCCAAAGGGTACCATTAGTCCTCCTAGTTAGTCTAATACGTGCGCTATGGTATAATCAATCAATCAACCCCTAATATCGCTCAATACTCTTCTTCACCCAGGTGTCCACCCAATACTCTGCCCACCGCGCGCTCTAGCAATTAAGGCAGAAAAACAAAACAAAACAAACCCCCCAAAAAATGATCTACCGCCGCCGTTCTCGTGTCCCCATACACCCAACACTCTCCACCCTAAACCCCAGCCCTTCAAGAGGCCCCGTCTCCACCACCCCCCTAGCGTCGAACACCCAGCGCGGTAGTTCCATAGCAGGCGCGATCTTCTCCCACTGAACCTGCGCCGTGGAAGCATGCTTTGCCGCGCCAGTCTGCTGTCCTCGCGCACACTCGCCGCACCCAGCATCACACTCGGGCTCCACCGCAAACGCCTGCGGCATCTGCTTCGCGGCCCAGCGCTTCGCGGGCGTGAGCTGGCTCTGGATATGTGCGAAGCGTGACAGCGCGTCCTGCAGCTTTGCGGATCCGGCCTCGACGTTGAGACTGGCTTCGGGCAGGGGAGGATAGCGGAATTGATCCCACTCGGTGAGGATGAGGACGGCGGACGTGCCCTCGCAGGCCTCGTAGGGGTCTGCGTATGCGCGGATGGCGGTGCAGGAGGGTAGGTAGGCGCGCATTTCGGACTCGATGTCTGCGGGGGCGCAGCCGGGGTCGTAGATAGAGATTTCGGTGGGGCCTTCGGCGGCGAGTTGCTGGATGACGGGGATGGCGAGGGATTCGCGGGTGTCGCCGGTGTTCTTCTTGAAAGCGTAGCCGAAGACGGTGACGCGTTTGCCGAAGAGGGAGCCGTTGAGGGAGTGCATGACGCGGTGGACGAAGCGGTTGCCTTGCCATTCGTTCATGGCCACGACGCTCTTCCAGTAGGCGGCGACTTCGGGCAGGTCGAGCGATTCGGCGAGGTAGGAGAGGCTGAGGATGTCCTTCTTGAAGCAGGATCCGCCGAATCCGAGGCCGGATCCGAGGAATTTGGAGCCTATTCGCGGGTCTTGGCCGACTGCTTTGGAGATGTCTTTGATGTTTGCCCCTGTCTTCTCGCAGATGGCGCTGATGGAGTTGATGCTACTAATCCGCTGCGCAAGCATAGCGTTGGCAACCAGTTTCGCGAGTTCGGAAGACCAGGTATGGACATGTAGAATGGCTGATTCTGGCACCCAGCTGTAGACAGACGCCAGTCGCTTTGCTGCTGCAAGACCAGCGCTTGAAGTGCTCGAGCCGATAAGCACACGTGATGGATGTAGTAAATCTGAAATTGCCGTTCCTTCTGCCAAAAATTCAGGATTTGACAAGATCTCAAACGGTACGCCCGGTCGGTAAATGGATAACTGGCATATGTCAGCTCAACTGTGTTTCTGTTGTCAATGAACGGACGTACAATTTCTTGCAAAACTTCTGCCGTCCGACACGGCACTGTGCTTTTCTCCACAATGATCGATCCGGGCTTGGCTACACGAGCAATAGAACGCATCACCGACTCGAAAATCGCAGTGTTGGTTGCGGATCCTGCGCCTATGCCGCGCATCTTCGTTGGTGTATTCACGCTCAGGAACACAATATCTGCTTCCGCGATACTTTGGTCGCAGTCTGTAGAGAAGAACAGGTTTGGCGCGCGGCCTTGGATGGCATTTTGGCCGTGAGTATTGATACTTGACGTGCCGTCCCGGGCAACTCGCACAACATCGTACAGTCCAGGCTCGTGAATCGGAAGGTGCTTTGAATTCCACCTCCGGATCCTCGTGGCGTCTTTGTCGACTACTGTTACTTTGATGTTGGGATTTGCGAGAGCTACTACGGCTGCTGTAGGTCCGCCTGGAAACGTAATTTAGTATCAATCAGTAAGTATACAGAGAACGAGACTGCCTTACCAACATAGCCGGCTCCCACGAAGCATACTTTAGATACTTGATTCACTTCATTTTGACCAGCGGCCAAGGAGTCTTGATTTCTTGTGACTGTAGTCGAGGGTCCGTCACCATCAGACAGCGAGGAAACACTCGACGTCCGAGATAGAATGGGAGAAAAGAACGGCGAGGTATTCTGAGAATGCTCCGAAGGAGTAGAAACAGCCGACATGGTTGGTTGGTGCGAATCCAAAGAGCCTCGTCGCAACGACAGAGCGGATAACACTACGCTTTGAAGCGACGACACTGTTCTTCTGGTATCTGGACAAAAAAATCACTTTAAAGATGTATCGAACTGTGCATACAAAAAACGCTTGATCGAACCTCCGTCATTCTCTGTGCATAGTTTGGGACCCATCGCCCTTCATAAACTCCGCCCGCCGTTGGACGCGGCGGAAGGGCACTCTAGAAAGACGCCAGATTGAAAAGCCATCAAAACAGCCTACCGACACATGCCGCCAAACACACAAAAACCCATAGGGACACACACACCAGCCAAGGCCAGGCGGAAGTTGCCAAAAACGCAGCTGCGTGTATGGCGTCACAAGCTGAAGTCTGGCGTTTTGAACAAAAAAGTCTGGGCCTTAGCGAAATGAATGAATGCCGAGCACTAGCCACCAATGCAAGATTGCTAAGTATCAAGTCTCCCCCCCCCCCTGATCCCAATCTGGACGATTCCGTTTTGGGCCGACGACTCGCTTAGAGATGCAGGCATGGATAAACTATGCAGATCCACGTGGGATGGCGCCTCGGAGTAAGTCCACTACCGAATGCGGACACGCCCACCACTGCGCGGCGCTGTATGGGCAGGGCTGCGATCAATTATCGCTCAACCATGAGAACCTGACTGTACCTGACATGTGTCCGTCTTCATGCAGCTGCGTGGCGTGGCACATAACACTCCAACAACCCGCACGCACGCACTGCATGCACTGCATCTTAGTCATTCGCCGCATCGGGAGTACCGAAAAGTGCCAGGATCTGCTCTGCTCTGCTCTGATCTGACAACAAATGTGACAAGGCTGTTCGAACACGGAGGGTGGGTGGCTAGAACCCGCTCCTTTGGGTTCCCCCCAACAAGACCCGAAAGCGGGAGATCTGCGGCGATCTGACCTTGTCGCGCTCGTGTTGTGATATTGGCTTCGATGGGACACGGCAGGACAAGCACGCAAGCACGCAAGCACGCAAGCACGCAAGCAAGCAATCAATCAATCAATTTCAAGATAATACATGTCTTTTTTATCTTCAGCTGAAAGAAGGGCCTCTCCTCCTCTGCGCTTTGCCGCACTATGTAGTGATGATCTATGTCACGGTCCAGGCGTCAACTCTGAACGTAGTAAGATCGCGATAGGCGTGCACAAGCTCTTCGTTTGTGTTTCGGTCTGGAACGTGCATCACTGAACTCGTGACAAGGCAACGAGTCTTGGAATGTTTGGGGCATGGGGAACTTTTCTCGTTGAAGTTGATAGAAGAGATGTTCTCGTGTCTGTCTGTCTGTCTGTCTATCTATCTGTCTATCTATCTATCTGTCCGTCTGTCCACATGAGTCAGTAGCCAATGCCATGCATTGAATACATAATTGTCATGTCAAAAACCAAACTTACATCCATCTGGCCATGATTTTCCCGTCCAAGCTGCGATCAGCTGTGTGTAATTAATCGGCTTCTCAAGATCTCCGATTGCTGCATCACTGATTCCTGTTCCGTCGGTGACTTCAAAGTGTCGGGCGACATACCGGCCCGCTGGTATGCCTCTACGGCTCTGATCCTACGGGTGGATACCAGACAGTGGGTCTAGATAGCACAGGACAGGTGTAATCACATCGACTAAGAATGTCACACTTCTCAGTGGTGCATAACTGGTCATAGATCTTATTGATTGGTACATGCTTCACGAAACCCGGCTGAGTGAAATCGTAGTACTGGAAAGCCTACTAACCCCAAGGTCCACATCCCATTTAATTGATACTTATCATGCAAGGTTCGTCATAGCCTCTGCCGAACGATGTAGATCTGGACTCTAATCGGCGCTAGTAATCAGACAGAGAAGCGAGTGTCTATTTGATAAGCGTGAAAGATGCGTACAGTATAGATAGGCTCAAGCTGCGAGCCCTAACAGCCAAGGCCATTGGGGCATAGGCGACGCAATGACAGTAAGCATCTCTGTCAGGTATGGCTGTGTCAGTTTAACCCAGTGCTGTACCAGCCTAGTGAGACCCGGCTTGCCAAGGAAACCATCCCTACAGTAGTAACTTAGGTCTTTGCGAAATGTCAACTGAGTTGTGCTTATCGGTCGCGTCTTGCCGTGCATGAAGTTCCTTCTTTCGCGCCCGAAATCTTGCATCTCGTAGTCGCACAAGGGTGAAGTTAACATGTGGAATGCTATCATACTTGCGAGCATTTCCATATGCTTATGTGTTTCGCCGACAGGTATACTATCTGGAAAGATGAGGCCATGGAATACGAGCTTATCGACAGTTTCGAGCCAGTGCAGTCTCTGTACAATGTCCAAACCGTACGGAGTAGAGTAATATTCGCCGATCAGTCTATATTCGCTGCAAGCCGGTACTCTGAGGTGAAATATGTTTTTCTTGAACGAGCTGTGTATGAGTGGCTTGATCTCATCTTGTAGCTCGTGATTCATCAAGTAAATCAGACCAGTCTTGTCTGATGCGACCTTGACAGCGGCACGCTTGACGTCGATTGGTAGGTCCCTAGCTTCGCAGTCGACAGGAGCGAACACTTCCGCGTAAATGTAATTACGTAGTTCTCCCGGAAGATCCATGAGTCGGAATTTACAAGGAACCTCGACGATGACACGTTGCAGTCCCGGTGTACGCATAAGAGGCGAGAGAGGGTTTTCGTCACCCACCAAGGAGAGAGTTTTGTTACTGTCATACTCTGCGGTATGGAACGCTACTTGTCCTGAGGTGTTTTGACGCGTTACGACCGGGGGACTGGATTCTTTTATTCTCTGTGGATACGGTTCCTCGTCATCAGAACTCTCGTCATCTAACCTATCGTCAGTCTCGTATCCCGCTGAGAAGCTAAATATCCAAAGTCTATCCTTTGTCCTGTCAAACTTGTGACGCCGGCCTGCTTCATCCAGGTTTTTTTGATTTCCGACCGAGCGAGCAGTATCACGGCTGGTGTCATTTGTGTGGAGTTCCGACTGTATATCCGCATTGTCCTGTGACGTGTCTGGTGATCGATCGGACGCCGAGGTTCCGTAGGAGGCTTCCATAGGGACAACTTCTGCAGACGAAATGTCAGTGTTGACTCAACCTCGCCTGAGAGGAAGGTTGAAGTATCTGTATCAGTAATGGTGCAATCTGACAAGCGTCTAGGCACTTTGTCCTGCGCTATTTTACTTCGAGGAATATAGAGGACAACGTTCGAAATGAGGCTGGCCGGGCAATATACAGGGCAACTGGGCAGGAATGTTGGCATGGTGAGTCAGTGAAGCAGGTTTCGCTTCCTATCGATCGCGCCTGTCCAAGGGTGGCGAACAGTGTGTGCATTGTGATGGGCGTGATTCACCACACATTCAATTCATTTTCGTGCGACCTCTTCCCCTTCTTGCACCAGCTACGCTCGCACCTCGGCCAGAGGTTCCCTTGCCTCTGCTCTTAGCACCAGTGCTTGCTTGTCCTGGTCGGCCTTCTTTCACCCTCAGGTCTTCAACGAATCTATGCAGAAGAGACTCAAGCCCTTCGTTACGGCGGGCGAGCAAGAGGACGTCCGTTGTGTTGACCGTACTACGCCCAGCGTGTCTAGAACACACAAAAGTCAGTCCTTGCGTGCTGCACAGTGAAAGACTTGGGCTTACTTTGCGAAGGTCTCGAGATCTTTCGACGCGTTTGCTGAGGCATGTTGTTAGTATCACAGCAGTCTTTTGAGGCTGTCGTGGAAAACTGCTGCCTAAGCGAATATAGCGTACCTATCTGCGCCCAGACGAGCTCTGTCAAGGCGCCGATGAACTGTGGTGTGGCATTGAAGTTCTGTCGGAGGCATTCTTCGTCCACGAATTGACCAATGTGATACCAGAGGGCTGCTTTCAAGCGCTACGTATGCGTATGTAAGCTTAATGAAAAAATTCAGGTAGATATGCGTCTTACCTCTTCGGTAGCAGGATCAAGATCCGCCATTTCTGCGACTAGGGGGAGTGTCAATCAGAGTCCAGAGGTGATGTCGCAATGCCGCATGTGAGCGATGCCTGCGTGAATGCGGGGAGCACGCAGGAGGAAGACGCGCTATTTTGCAGGTACGCGTTGATAGCATCACGAGATCACGTGCATATGTCCAACGTCACCTCCTCTCCTTCTCCAGCTCTGCACATCCCATATACATTAGGTACTAATATTGTTAGTAACAAACATTCTCTAGTGCAAATATTCAGATTCTACTGTATCGTTCAGTAATAATTTCTTCATGAGGGTTGAAATTCGAGCGGACAGGCCTCAGCCAATAGGCGCACAGCTAATTCCGTCCACGTAAGTATCACGGTGCTCAAACTTGTTCCCGGAATCCTGATAAAATGAGCGTCGATACGCACGCACATGGCGTTTCAGAACGATTTCACCTGATACGATGAGTCAGAACAAAGGTTCCGCTCTCAGAGTCTTTGATCAGTAGTATCGGATGCATTTCAAGTCTATGAAGTGAATGATAAACACTGAAAAATGAACGACGAGAAGAATCATTCCTTTCAGTCCATTCTCTCGTTATCTTCCCCAGCATTAGTCCGCCTATCGAAAGGGCCTTCCGGCACCATTGACAAAACAGCCCAAGCTCGTCGAGCCGAGCCAATCATGCATTCAGGATTAACCATTCCACCCCCAGACTTCTCCAAAGTTGCCTCTGATCTCCGTGGTGAGCACCGCGATGATCACAGCACCATGTTGTCTGGCATTGAGATGGCCTATGAGAGTGCTGGTATTGACAAGCTAGAGGTCTGAAGTTGGTCTATCCCTGGCAAGTGTGTCGGTCAATATGTTGTCGACACCTTGATGGATGGTGTGGTCTGTATCAGTCAGCGCACAAAATACTCTATTTGCAAAATTTGTTCCATCGCTGGAGTGAGCATCCCGTTTGTGAGTAGGTACAACAAGATCCAAAATGGTAAAAGCGAAGACGAGAGCGAGCACAAAGAAGGCAGCGGCGGCACAGGTTGTCAAAGTGCCCCCTAAAGCCCTCCCGGTCACTCTCCTATCAGGCTTCCTGGTGATTATACACTGTCCAGAAGCAGGATATCGTCGTACTGATCAGGACTTTTAGGGAAGTGGAAAAACCACCCTTCTTCAGCATATCCTGCGTAGCGAGCATGGTCTCCGCATCGCCGTCATCGTGAACGATATTGGAGCCATCAACGTCGACGCATCTCTTATCAAACAGACTCACCATCTCACCCGTACAGAAGAGAAGGTCGTAGCGCTCCAGAATGGCTGCATCTGCTGCACGCTTCGTGGCGATCTCCTCGAGGAACTCGTCCGTCTCGCCGAGCTGCAGTCTTTCGACTACATCATCATCGAGAGCAGCGGCATCAGCGAACCTGAGCAAGTCGCCGAGACATTCGACGCTCGCCTCGCTGAAACGATGAACGAGATGGGCGAAGGACCAGAAGGTCTCGACGAGGCCATGATGAAAGTCCTTGAGCAACTGTAAGTCCTCCTGACCAAGAATATCAGACAAAAACATCAAAGCTCACTCGTCCCAGCAAACAAGCCGGCGGCCTCGAGAAATTCGCCCGCCTCGACACCACCGTCACCGTCATCGACGCCTTCACAATCTACCACGATTTTGAGACCACAGACCTCCTCTCCAGCCGCCGCGACGACGTGGTGCCCGAAGACGAGCGCACCGTCTCCGACCTGCTCGTCGACCAGATCGAATTCGCCGACGTCATCATCCTCAACAAGACCGATCTCGTGTCCCCGTCCACGCTGGAATCCATGCTCACGCTGATCAGAAAGCTCAACCACCGCGCCAAGATCATCACCTCCAAGTACAGCAAAATCGACGTCAAGGAGATTGTCAACACCGGCATGTTCAACCTCGAGCGCGCCCAGACCGGCTATGGCTGGCTGCAGGACCTGCACGAGATGACGCTGCGCGAAGTCAACGGCCGCAAGGCCATAGCACCCAAGCCCGAGACGGAAGAGTACAACGTGCGCAACTTTGTCTACACACGCCGCCGGCCCTTCCACCCTCTGCGGCTGTTCCAACTGCTGCACGACAAGTTCATCCTGCAGCTCGAGCACGGTGACGACGAAGAGGACGACGACGAGGCCATGGACGAAGACGAAGAGGAAGAAGAAGACGAAGACGACGAAATGGCCGACGCCGACGCTCACTCCTCGGACGCGTCGCCCGACGGCTCAGCTACATCTGGCGACCCGGTCGAGTACCCCGAGGTGCCCGAAAACGACGTCGTGCTTGCGAACAAGAAGGCCCATCCGTTGTTTGCGCGCCTGTTCCGCTCCAAGGGCGAGTTTCACCTTGCCACGCGGCACCACCGCGCCGGTGAGTGGTCGCAGGCAGGTGCCATGCTCACCCTGTCTGGAGGCCGGCCATGGTTCTGCACGATCCCGTCCAGCGAGTACGTTACTGGCAACGCGGAGATTGACGCGTTGGTCGAGCACGATATTGCTGCCGGTGGAGAATGGGGCGACCGAAGACAGGAGATCGTGTTCATCGGAGAGGCGCTGAATATCAAGGGTATTGAGGCAGTGCTAGACGAATGTCTGTTGACGGACAAGGAGATGTCGGTCTGGGAATCGATCATGAGGGACAAGGGACTGACTGTAGAAGGGAAGATGGATGCGTTGGCAGATGCTTTCGATGACGGATTTCCAGAGTGGCCGGAGGAGGAAGAGGAGGGCCATGAAGGACATGGACATGGGCCTGGAGAGCATGGCCTGAAGAGGCCGACTCATCGTATTACAAAGGATGGCGTTGTGAGGTGAGATGAATGGCACGTAGAATATTCGTTAGCGCCGCCGCATGGCGAAAAAGTTCAATGAGTAATATCGTTTCATGTCACATATCAGGCTCATGTGAACCCAGAGTCTACTATGCACAAGTCTAGCAGGCCGAGCAGGTGTTGATCTTGTGCGGAAGATGTGTGTATACTGGAGCTCTATGAAGACTAGATGCGCTTGGCATTCAGTCAGTCCCGATGCAACGGCCACTAGAGCTTGACGTCGATGGTAGCGATAGCAAGTACGTGCGAAGTTCTCAATGAAGTAAGACGATATTGCGTTCCTCGGGTACATTTCTTATGACAGGCTAGCTGGACTATGGACTCTGCCAAGCAGCCCACGATGAATCCTGGCGAGGAGTGTGTCCTGGCGTTGGCTTGGGACTGTACAGGAGCGCAGGAGAATATTCCGACCATCACTCGGTACGAGTAGTAAGCGATTGGAGCCAACAACCTACGGACGGGTCCTCACCAAGCACCTTGGCAGCATGGGTTGAGTGCCATCAGTCATTATGATGGTGACGACGAGTACATGGCGGAGACGCTAGACAAGACGTTGAAACTCAACGCTAGAATTTGGAAAGGATGACAAGGCCGATCGTAGCCCCGACCAAGTCTACTACCGGGCTGCAGCTGGACCGAACATGGTCGCGATACAGTGGTTGGTTCTTGGTACTTGGTCAAGTGATTGTTATCAGTCCGAGGATATAACGGTGGTGGATTATTAGTATGAGCCAGTATTGACCAAGACTCCAAGATCACAGTCAGGCCGTTTCAATCGATATGGGAGTTAGTGCAGGCTGGGCAGCCGTTACTGTAACTGCGGTGTGATGAGAGGCCTGGTAAGCGGTAAAGGTGGACTTGGAACGGACCACGAGTACGATGTTGCACAGTTCCAAGTTGCTATTGAGTACGTACTGGCACCCGCCTGCATCACTGAAGCTTTCCAGTCAACGTGTCTGCTGTGTTGTAGGAATTTAGAGTGCGCTGGTGGCACTTCTGACCGGAAACAGATGTTGGTGCGTAGGATGCAACATTGCTGAAATGCAAAGCGATTGGCGTGACGTTGACTTCCTGATGATGAAGATGATGAAGATGAGAATGTATCAGCATCTTAGATTGTGATGCAAGCAAGACGATTGGTGTTGATGGTGGAGAAGACATGAGGTTGAGCGGAAAGCAACGGAAGGCTTGGCAGACTGGCTGGAGCTGGCGGCGAATCGCAAGGTCCTCGAATATTCTTACTCACGTGGAACAGAGGACAGCACACACATAGTCATGGCAATACGGCGTTGCTGGGCAATTACAAGGTCCAAGACCACGGAGGAGTTAGGCGGGATAGCAACGATACGTCGGATACGATAAGCGCCCGAGTGTGCAGAATGTGCCAAGACAGGCATGGAGTTGCCTGACAACGCCCGGACGACGTTGTTGTGTGGTGGACATGGATGGCGATTCGATTGGCGAGGAGCGGAGGGGCCCAGCGGAAGATGTCTGTCCACATGTACCTAGCCTGCGATGTGGTAGATGCATAACCGTCGTGTCCAGCAAGCGCATAGATGGCATGGAACAATGGAAGCAAGGCAGACAAATGAATAAGACAATCAACTTGGAAACAACAATCACTTCCAAGCCTTGGAACTGCCATGGATATATAGGTGGAATCCAGCAAGGCAAGGTCAAATGGAAATGCCGTGAATTAATTGCCAAGGACGAGTGTGCTGCTGCGCCCGAAAAGCCCACTGTTGAGGTCCAGGATTCGGGGGCGCAGGATTGGTGGATGACTGGGCGGAAGACGGTTACTGTTACTGGAGCGTACATAAGTACCGTGTAGTAGTTATTGCCCCAGGCACAAAGCAATCAAATCGACATCGATCTGACTCTCAACGTCTTCACGCGCGCCCAAAGACACAACCACGCAGGCGGCTCGATGGGGATTCGGGGGGGGGTTTTGCAGGCGCAGATGTAGGCGCAGGCGCAAGTGCAGGTGCAGCAGGGTGCCGGTGCAGTCCCAGGAGAGAGGGGAGGCAGCGGAATCTGGGCTGGGCTGGGCTGGGCGGAAGGGCACATTTAGGGCTGCTTGTACCCAATCCTCCCCCCCAAGAACATTCCCCAAAGGCCACCAAAGCCCCCCAAAGCCCCCCAAAGCCAGCGCTCTTGTTTGCCTGCCTACCCCCCCGAAAAAGAAGAGAGACACCAGGACCAGGCGCGCCCTGTGCCCCCCCAAGTTGCACCACAAATCGGCGTTACAGCCAAGCCCGCAGCGTGGTCCATGGTCTTCTTGGCGCTGCCACCTCTTCCATCCTGCCCGCCCGTCTCCATCTCCCCCCTCAAATTCCCGGCCGCCGTCTCTCCAATACTCAACCGGCTCTATTGACTGGGACAGACTATTATTATTACCCTCTCATCAATACGCAGGGTCGAATGGCATTCTCTCCCCGGCCCACTGTAAAATAGTCATTATCGCATTCTGGAACCGTCTCGTAGGGCGCGATGCGCGATTGTCGACACCAGCACCCACGGCTGCCCATATAGCTAGCTATACAGTATACTGTACCTAATTACACCACGCCATCCTCAGCCTCCTTAAAAATGGCCAAGAGCTTGGGACGCCTCAGAGTAATTACACAGACTACTTCACCGCCTTATCCGTCTTCGTCAGCGCATGGCCGTGGGCAATGGGCAGTCGTTTGCGTTCTGTTCCAAGGCGGAGGCGTCCTGAGCTCCTGGTTGCAGGCGCAGAGATGCCGTGCCTCGCCCAGTACAAGGGCGGTCTAATTGGCCCGCCAAGTCACTTGGCATCTTCTTCCTTCAAACTTGTCCCCGTCGCCAAGCTCCTCCCAAGCAACAGCTGCTTTGATCATGTCCTCCCCAGCTTCTTGTCCTTTCTTGACCTCGTCTGCCGCGTGAGAAATGCTTCTTTCCGCTCCTCCTATATACATACCATGGCCATTCGTCCGCCAGCCTGCCTCGTGAGAAGCCAGAGCCTTCCTCCCAAACAGACTTGATATCATTTCCCCCCCTTTGGAAAGGAAACCACCTCACACAACACCACGAGAGAGTCTCGATAACCACTTTCACCATGCCCGCCTATCCGAACTCCCCTCCAACCGCATACTTTCCACCCTACAGCACCTCGCCAAAGAAGCCGTCACAGCCCATGTCCCAGATCTACCATCAACAAGCATACAGTCCTCTCCAACCCTCCTCGAACCGCTCCTCGTACCACCACCCGTCCCCCCAGAGTCCGCATACACTCCCAAGCCTCACCTCGTCCTCATTCAGTCATCATGACAGCGTCGTATCCTATCCAAAGTCACTCATGGACTCGTACGCCCCAAGTACCCGCTCAATCGTCTCCTACTCGCTGAAGCACGATACTCGCAAGGGCTCTCTGGCAACCGCAAACGCCTCCGAGCTCGAGAAAGCCTCCAGCGTCGACGAGCCTACCTATCCACCATCTGCTCTATCTCGCGATCCGGAGAAGAAGCGTGTACACTCACCCTCATCTCCTCGCCACTCCACTGTCCGCGCCTCATATCAACATCATGCCAGCGATCGGGGACTCGCAGGCACAGAAGACGATGCTGATCTGCCCGTGGATCTTCAGGCTAAGGCCTTTTCCATCCTCGTACGTTCACACATGCCTCCTTGTACAGACATACAAACAAACAACTAACGAAACTAGCTCTACCTCTCCACCCTCAACCCGCTCCTCTCCATCCTCATCACCATCTGGACCATCCTCGCCCTCCTCCTCAGCCCCGTCCTCATCCCGCTACGCATCGCCTCCTTCGAAACCCTCACCTACCCGCCTCTCCGCCTGCAGCTCCAACTCATCTACTCCTCGCATACCACCACCACCAACAACAAAAACGACATCCACACCCGCCCTGCAATGCTCATCCTCATTAACCTCCTCTCCCCCCTCCTCGCATTCGCCCTCGCAGCCGCATCCTGGACAACAACCCTCTTCTGGTTCTTCAGCGCCGTCCTGGGTGATCCAGCCGGTAAGGACGGGCATAACGACGGCAAGGCCGCTGTGCTCTGGCTGCGTGCCAAGTGGGAGCGGTGGCTGAGGCGGGGCTTGGTCGAGCGGCGGAGTCCGTATCAGCATGTTTGACATGGATTTTTGGTCTTCGGGTGGGGAGTCAAGAAGTATGCGTGAGCGAGCGAGCGATGCATTTGAATACTGGGTTTTTTTACATGGGCAATTTTGGATGTAGCATGGCGTCTGGTTGATATCACGGCTACGGCTGTGTGTGCATTTTTCTCGGTGTTTTTTTTTGGTATGGGGAATCTTTGCTGTAACGAAGTCTGTTATGGATGCATGTGTATATGTGTGTGTGAATAGACAAAGGGGGCAGGCATCTGGAGTGGAAACATCATGGTCATTTCGTCACGCATGAATGGGATGGACATGTGACGCATGTTCTGTAATACTAAAGAAATAATGGGGGACCGGCAATGAGGTATATCATGCAAGGCTTGAAACGAATATGGAAATACGTATTATGACATCTACTACTACTCTGACGGTGTTCACGTGACTTTTATAGTGAAGGTCAGTAGTAGTTTCAACAACGACTCCATCTATTCATCCGCAATCTACTTTCACTTCATCTTACTTTACTTTCCTTACTTGACTTACTTCTTCCGCGCAGCGCACACTTCCGCTGCCCCGCTCGCCTTCCACGCGCCTACTATCAGCTCCACGATCCCGTCCACGCCCTTGCCGTTCTTGACCTGTGCGAAGATCGTAGGCCCGCCTTCCCTGTTTCCCCAGACATATCGTCGTCAGCACTTTTCTTCTTTTCTTTCTTTCTTCGTCACCTAACTAGCGAGAGAGCTCTCCCTCCACTTTTGAACGCATGTCATATGGATGACCAAGACAGGGCAAGGCAAGAAGATATAGGGGTAAAGGAGGGAGGGGACATAAAGTAGGACAAAAGGCAGGAAAACCACGCACCGCATCTTCCGCGCATCCCTCTCCATAACCCCCAAATCACTCCCCACGGCATCCGCAATATCCGTCTTATTCACAACCAACAAATCACTCTGCGTGATCCCTGGCCCCCCTTTGCGCGGAATCTTATCCCCACCACTAACATCAATAACATAGATGATGTAGTCCGCCAGCTCGCGACTGTAGTTTGCCGCCAGATTGTCGCCGCCGCTCTCGATGAGGAGGATGTCGGTGGCGTGTTGGCGGTGGAGGTCCTCGAGCGCGGCGAGGTTGGTGGAGATGTCCTCGCGCACGGCGGCGTGCGGGCAGCCGCCGGTTTCGATGGCGCGGATGCGCGCGGCGGGCAGGGCGGCGTGCGCGATGAGGAAGTCGCCGTCTTCGCGTGTGAAGATGTCGTTTGTCACGGCGGCGATGGAGTGGGTGTCGCGCAGGGCGAGGCAGAGTTTGAGCTGTGTTGGGCGAGGGGGGGTTAGAGTGTCAATTTGCGCGTTGCTATGTTTGCGGGAGGTAGTCTTGGGTAGTTTATGCGTACCATGAGTGCTGTGGAATATATACAGTTAGCCTTGACTATATCTCCATCAAGAGTAGAAAAGGTAATTAGGAGACCCAAAAAAGAAACTACACACCAGTCTTGCCCGAACCTACAGGTCTACAAGTTCTTTCAGTCAACAGCCGTGATTCTCTTCTGTACCCGGGCAATTTCCCAGGTCGCAGTCCTGCTTCAAACCACCTACCCGCCTATCCCAACCGTAAACGCTCTTTCCCGAAAGTTCCGTCCGTCAACAATGGGCATCTCGCGGCCTAGGTACGAGCCTGGTCCGTCCAGGATCTCGTGGCTGTGGCCGTGGTCGCCGCCACCCGCGTGGGAGTGGCCGGCGCCGTCGTGGGAGTGTGACTGGGCCATGATGTTCTTCTGGATGATTGAGGGGGTTTCAGGTGGTATGAATCGTGCTGGATTCAATCAACGGTACTGTGTACAAGTGCTGGAACGAGGGCAGTTGGGTAATTAGGGAGAAGAAGAAGAGGTTGTTGTGGAGGGGTCGAGCGAGCTACCTCCATACATTCAACCTGCCCCTCCTCTCCACCACCAAGGGTCGGACCGAATGATCGTCGTTACAGCGCAATGCCTTTAACCTGATTATGGGCTGGACTGATGATAATGCGATCTGTTAGCTGCGAGGTTACCTTGTAAACTATGGCCAAGCCCTTGAACGGTAGAACCTAGCTGCATCACGACCTAATTCATCTTCATCTGATGCAGGGTTAATCATCGTGTTAAAAGCATTACAACCTCTCCGGGAACGCGCCGAGTTGTTACGATTCATACGCTTCAGTAGTTCAAGATCGAGGATGCAGGCTGACTCTGAAGAGTATACGGTATTATTATCATTATCTAAGTAGGTACACCCCGACTCCTCATCGTGAAGTCGTTCAACGTAGCGAATGTGCCTGAGGCCTCATAGCTCACAGAACGCGTGAACATCATCTCACGCGTCAATTTGGTATCATATGCATAACGCTCATAAACAGCCCCCCAACCAAAGACATGGATGCGCCATTCCATCACAGTAACGAAGTCTGCGCCTTATCGACACATATACATCGATCCTTGCTCACACAATTTTTTCGGGCCCCGAGATTTCTTTTCATGTTTGAGGTGATGCGAGTTATCCGCTTAGTAGTTTGTCGCTGGGCCGGTGTGGTATCCACCTGCACCGTTGACAGGCTTGCCAGCGCTATCATACGCAGCAGTGTTTCCGACGGTCGAGCCGGTGTATCCGGTCTCATGGCTTGGGCGCATGTCAGGCTGTCCGGCGGCGAGACCACCGGTAGCGAGCTCAGCGTCGCGAGCCTCGTGAGTGGTCTTTGGGCGCGAGCTGCGCTGCCAAAACTTGCGGTTGCCAGAGCCCGCAGTGTAGTTGTTAGCGGGCGAAGGGCCGAAACGCTTCTCGCGCTGGTGGTGACGACCGAGGAATAGCTGTACGACCGCAGAGATGGCAAAGAGGAAAGCGCCAATGATTGCAACAGCAAAGCAAACCTGATTGTAGCGACAAGCTCTGCCAAGCGAGACGGCGTAGGTCTGAGTATCGTTCGAGCCGATTCCGAAGTCACCGTCGAAGCCGGACGATGGCGAGTTGGACGGGCCGTTGCCGAATGGGGTTTCAACATTCCCGGTGCAGCTGGTCGCGTCGCGGGTCATGATGGCGATGGCGATGAAAGCTCCGCAGAAGAGGACATCGAGTACGATTGCGAGGAAGGCGAAGAAGGTCACGCCACCAAGACAGCAAGTGAACAGTACGGCGAGTATGGTATATAGCACAGCGGCGCCAGACATGCCCTCGATGGCCTTCTCTTGATTGGTGATAACCCAGTCGCGATCAGCCTTGACGGCGAGGAAGTAGGAGTAGAAACCGAGAATGATGGCCGCACAGCAGAAAGCCAGGGCGTAGAAGAGGGTTTGAATGATGCGCAGAGCTGCGCCTGCGAGTTTAGCCATTGCGAAAGGATGTGTTCGACGCGTTTGACTGTGTTTGTGTGTGTATGTGTGGAACGATAGTGTGGTGATGGAAGTGGACGACGCGACGAGTACGACGACGGAGCGACGCGGGTTTATTATAGAAAAATAGAGTGGCTTGGTGATGAAGAGATAGGGTGGAGCGACAGACTTTATGCAGACACAAGTGCAGAACAGGTGACTTCCAAGGTTGCGGACTATGACATCAAAATGGCTAATAGCTGTGCTTGTGCTTGCACAACAACCAGGAACAGGAACGTTCGATAGTGGTCCGTGCCCTGGACTGCTCCACCAAGGACATGGACGGCAACGTCATTAGTCTGTGGCTTTTCGACTTTTGAGCCTGAGAGTGCAGCGATCTGGGCACTGACTATTACTGACACCGATTATGGTACTGTAGGTAGTCTTCCACCATCATCAACTATTCTGCACGCGATCGCCTCCATCCTCGTTCTTGTCGTCGTCGTCGTCGCCGTTGTCGCCGCAAGTCATGCATCTGCTGCTGTTTCTGCCCACATCCTTGCATTTTCCCTCTCGCCATGTCGTATAGCTTCGGCTGCTCGCGGTGCACTGAAACTTTTGATTCGACCAGCCTGCAGCCATCACACGCTTCAAGCCTGCTTTCTCGTCTTTTGGTCGTGAGAGAAGTGGCAGGCCATACCACTTTCGCCTTGGTGGTTGGGCTAGTGCTACCTACTGTTCAGTAATACCTTGTTAATGTCGACAGCAGTAGTGTCTGCTCATTTCGTTTTGTGCATACCATCACCCTTGCACCCCATCATCTACCTCCAGGGCAGGGCAGTGTGACAGCTCAAGTTCAAACTCAAGCTCAAGCTCCACCATCATTGATCGTCATTGCACCGCCACCCGACTGCCGGCTGCCCACCGTCGACGATGTGTTGGTCACGATGATCCATCCGATCGTTCTTTAGACGTGAACGTGTCTGGGACCGCCTTAGGTAGATTAGGCATCGTATCTTCCTCGCACCTAGAGCGGGCGCGACTACCAAGTTGATTGTTGGCAGGAATCGACTAGTAATGCTGCATCGCTGGTTACAGCCATAATAACACTTGTGCAGCTTCTTCAGGCTCCACGTGCCAGGTCAGGAGAGATTACCCATGTGATCGGACTGTTCTTGGCCAATCACAGACACCGCTTGAACTTGCCTTCTGCTGTTTCATCTCACTGCACTGACCAATCGTTCTCTACACACATCAACTGTTATCATCAGTATTGTTGGTAGATATCATATTCCTTCACTATTTCCGAGAATCAGTCGTGCCTCTCGACGACTCTGCAATCCTATGGTATGATTATGATTACAAAGGCCGTTCAGATTCAAAGGCAAGGTGTATCGCATAAGACTCCCGAGCACCGTGATGTCCTCCTACATAAGACAAAGTCCGCATTTCACTCCAGCTTGTTTGCTTGTACCAGAATCTTGACCGTGTTGTCCTTGTTCCTGATAAGCTCCATGAATCCTCCCTCAACAACTTCATCAAACGCAATCTTCTTCGTAATCATGGCTTCTGGATTCATTCGTCCTTCAGAAATTGCGTTCAACACCAACTGGAAATCGCCGCCTTCATAAGTTGCAATGCCCATATAGCTGCGCTCTTTGAAGCAGAAGTCGTTTGGCGTGATGGTCGCATCTTTCTCCCAGATTGCAATGTTGACAATGGTTCCACGGGCCCTGACTGCAAGCACGCCTTGCTTGAAAGCAGCTTGTACTCCTGCACAGTCATATGCGACGTGCACGCCCCAGCCATCTGTCAGGTCACGACACCTCTGAACGATGTCCTCTTTCGTGGGATCCAGGATATGATCTGCTCCGAAGTGCCTTGCAAAATCTTTTCGCCGGCTCGACACTTCAGAGACAATGACGTTCTTGCAGCCTTTTGCCTTTAATGCTTGGATGACCGCAAGTCCTATCGGTCCTCCACCAAGAACCAGCGCGGAGTCATTGTCTTTGTAAGGGCTAAGTTCGACTGCGTGCCAGCCGACGGCGAGAGGCTCGATGAGTGCTACTCCTTGTTAGCGACTGAACAGCATCTTATCGGGCAAAACTCACCTCCTACTTCCAGCGACACGTTGTCGGGAAGCTTGTAGCAGCATGACTTCGGGAGAACAATATGCTCCGACAGACCACCACCCCAGCCTATGTCCGTTGTCAATTTCAATCTGGTATTACAAAGCTGCTGGTAGCCTACCGCTCAATCCCACGAATCCGTTAGAGTAACAGCAGTTGATGTAGCCAGCTTTGCACGCGCCGCAAGTGCCATCGTAGATGATGGGCTGTACGCACACCCGGTCGCCAATCTTGAACTCAGTCACATCGTCTGCTACCTCTTCAACGATACCGCTGAACTCATGTCCGAATGTCAATGGCACTGTCTCTCCAGTGATTGGGTGGGGAGTAGTCGGGCATAGACCTGGTCCGCCGAGGAACTCATGTAGGTCTGGAAACACGTCAGTCGCGCGACTCTGTCGACTCAACAACATGGCCTGGGATACTCACCACTTCCACAAATACCACACCATATCGGTTTCACCTGTCATTTGATAAGCGTTCACTCTCTCATCCAACTGCAAGGCGGTCTTGCAAACCTTGACTTGTCCCTTGTTGACCTGTGGTACAGGTATGGTGTCGATTCTGATGTCCTCTTTGCCATGAAAGCGTACAGCTTTCATAGTCTCGCCCGACGGCTCGGGAATCTGATGCTCTTGAGTATGTGACATTGTACGGTCCGCGTACTCTGAATTGATGGAGGGAGTAGAGGAGCCGTGCAGTCGGCGGAGGTCAAGAGGGACGATTGAGCCCAAATAGAAAGAGCAGAGCAGAGGCAAAACTTGTTAGCACGCGAAGGGCACAGTCGCGAACAAGGATCCATGGAGATTTAGAGATCGTGGGCCCCGCATCTGGCGCGTCGCATCGCACCAAGCTTAGAAAAAAAAGACGTGGTCTGATTGCCAATTGGGGCATCCCGGGCTTCCCAAACAGGGTATCCCCTGAGGCCCCGCGATTTCCGACTGCAGCTGGCTGCCGATAACCACGCGGAAGGCGGGGAGCAACAGGGCGATTCTGAAAGCTCCCTAGCTGCAACTCATTCCCAGGATCTTCGTTGACGATAGCTCTGTTCGGCAGATGCTCTAGAGGTTCAGGCAGTCTGTAGGAGAAAGTGAAGATCAGAATAGATGTGCGGTGAGAGGCAGCCAAGGCCAAGGCCAAGTCAGCATTCCATGCAGTGCCTGCGCCAAGCCATACTGGAGACTAGGAACTGGGAAACTGGAGAACTGGACACAAGAAACTGAAGATAATTACCTGACCGACTTCGGAGTCTCAGGACTGAGATAGATGCCAGGATGCATGGTTTACTGAGTGTTCGTGGCCTGAGGCCGCATCCTGCTGCCTGAGGCTGAAAGAGTGCGATTGGTGGAATGATAGAGGGCTCTCTTGCCCACTCAACCGTGCTCTCTCGCGCCTTCCTCGCGCAAACAATCCCCCGCGCTAACACCTGGCATTGGTCGTCATTCTGACATCCGGATGTACCATTGACGACGACCTTACTTACTTCACCTCACCTCACGCCCCGCCACATGGCTCGATATGAGAGAACACAGAAACAGACAAACACACCACTCAACAGCAGCACCTGTGTCAACAAGTGAAGATGCTCTAAGACGTGGCGTGGTAGCTTGGACATGAGGGGTTGTAGAGCTCAAGGATGCATGATGCCGTAGGGATGGAGACTGAATCAGAGTCTCGCGGGAGTTTTGCCGGGCGCCATAATTATGACTGCTTTGCCCTCCGCTCTCAGCACAGTGGGCACTATCGAAAGGCAGCTTGACCGAAGTTGATGCGCCTTCTATTGCTCGGGCATGACCTCACTGGCGGGATTTCTGGCCTTGACGTCTCGCTCATAGCTAGCTCAGGACTTCTGCACTTCTCTCACTATAAAATATCCACCCCGCCAGCTTTCAATTTGCCTCTTCAGTCAATTTTCCCCTCTATTCGACCACACCTCCATCCCATTTGTGTTGCCATCCCAATTGACAACTATGCCTTACCCAGAGACTGCCACCGGCTTCCAGGTCACTGACCTCAAGAACTGGAGCACCTTCACCAAGCAAGAAGTGAGCAGAGGATCTGGTCTCATCGAGTAACTGCCTCGCTGACACTCTTCGACAGTTCAAGCTCAAGCCCTTCGAAGACGACGATATCGACATTGCCATTGATGGTGAGACTCCCGAGATTTGAATAAACAAGTACCATCTCTGACGCTGCTCCATTCTAGCTTGCGGTGTCTGTGCCTCCGATGTCCACACAATCAGCGGCGGCTGGAGTGAGGACGTTCCTCTCCCCCTCTGTGTGGGTCACGAAGTCATCGGACGCGTGATAAAGGTCGGCAAGAACGTCAAGGACATCAAAGTCGGCGACAGAGCTGGTGTGGGTGCTCAAGTCGGCGCCGACCTGACGTGCGGCCAATGCAAGCAGCAAAACGAGAACTACTGCCCCAACCAAATCGACACATACGGTGCCCCATATCCAGACGGCACGCTCTCCCAGGGCGGATACGCAAGCCACATACGCGCCCATCAGTACTTCACGTTCAAAATTCCCGACGGTCTAGACACTAATCTCGCAGCACCAATGCTCTGCGCCGGTCTCACAACCTACTCTCCCATAAAGCGACTCGGCGCCGCACCAGGAAAGAACATTGCAATCGTGGGCCTCGGAGGCCTAGGCCATTTCGGCGTCCTTTGGGGCGTCGCCCTCGGCGCAGACGTGACCGTCCTCTCACACTCGCCGTCCAAGAAAGATGACGCCCTCAAGCTCGGCGCGAAGCACTTTGTGTGCACCAAGGACAAGGACTGGGCAAAACCGCTAGCATTCAGCTTCGACTTCATCATCAACAGCGCCGACGCAACGGACAAGTTCAACCTGCCAGACTATTTCAGCACGCTCAAGGTCGGCGGCTCGTTCCACATGGTTGGTTTCCCCGACAATCCGCTGCCGGCCATCCAGGCGCAGGCTTTTGCCGGTACTGGTAACTACATGGGTGCCTCCCACATTGGCAATCACCAGGAGATGGTCGAGATGCTGCAGCTGGCGGCGGACCAGAAGATCAAGAGCTGGGTGCAAGAGATCAAAATCTCTGAAGCTGGCTGCAAGGAGGCGGTCGAGAAGGTCTACAACGGCGGCGAGAATGGTCCTAGGTACAGATACACACTGACTGGCTTTGACGAGGCATTCGGAAAGCGATACTAAAGTCTTCGAAGCGGAAGTGATGGTATTTTTTCCTTCTTCATTCATGTAGCATATATTAGAGAGAATTCCAACGCAGTTAATAGCACCCATTCCTCTCATGTACTCTCAATCGTGACAGACAATACGGGCCGTAGTATGGATAAGCTAACGATTCTATGATCTCAGGGTCCACTCAATCTCAGCTAACAACCCAAACCTTTGCAACCGAGAAATCACACAAAGACGTTATCATATTCAACACACAGGCACAATTTGCAAGACACAGAATTTCTCTATTCAAAAAGAGACCGAGATTTCGTCATATCTACTACATTGCGCCCACAATTCAGAGCAGTTTTTAATGCTCATGCTAGATTAAATGTATGTCCGCAACATCATTCGGAACATTCGTCCGTTTCGTCCAGGCAGGACAGGACCAAGTGAAAATATAATAAACCAACAAAAACGCCAGATCGAAACCGATATATGCCGCAGCAGCCGACACAGGTTTTTTTTCATGGATTTTTCTTCTTCTTCTCCAACCCCCTATGTATGATGTAGATGCTAATGAGATTCGTCATTCGGGGGTAGTGTTTTTTTCCTTCCCCGCGTCTTATTATAACATGCTCCTCCTCTTATTCGAGAACTTGTCGTACAAGTCCAACATCGGGCTCTTCGGATGGCGGCCTGGTGTCACGTGCGGCTCGGGTGTCTGGTAGTAGCTGCTAGGGATCTTGAGATTCCGCTTGACCAGACCGCGAGACCTGCCAATCGGTACGACGCCCGACACCATATACAAGTGGCCGACCTGGTCAGACTGGGCGTCCATCTCGACGAACCAGTTCGAGTTGTATTGCTTCCGGATAGGACCCCGACCACATGCCCCATTCAATTCTGCGCTCGGCGGCGAATTCATTGCTATCGCGAACATGTTTGGCGGCTCGGTGTAGTCGGTGATGAAACCCCTCTCTAATATGAAGTACAGGCATACAAGCAGGTTCATTGTGAAGACGGTGAGCAGGACCACGTAGAAAGCTTTGGCGTTCTCGGAATGGACGCCGGATGTGTAAAGCTGGGACTGGATGAGAGTGTCAAATGGCTTGTAGGTACCATTCTTGAAGTTTTCTGGATTATAACTCTACAATCTCCACGTTAGTAGGTATTGGGAACACACATCGTGGAGTACAAACCGCGAGGTCGAATGGCGAATCTCGGACTCCCATAAGCAGCGTAGAGCTAGCCATGACGGCTAAAGCCTCACTGGGGCTTGGCATGCTGGTGTTTAGTTGGAAATCTTTGAGGGCCAAATGGGTCAGTACTCTCATGTTGCTCCCGTTACCAGCATGCAGCCCGTCGTTGAGATTGACGCCGTTGCCCCATTCCGAGCCCATCCATATCCAGTCTTTGCTCGCATTGGTGCCACCTTGGATTGCTGCATCTTCTGGATGCTTTTTATCGAACTGCATCTCCTGGTCTTCTTCCTCACAACTCGCTCGAAGTGATCCACGATTCACTCCATCAGCTACATACCGCGTGGCGCATTTCGCTGTCAAAGACGTTTTTATTGAGCAAAAGAGATAAGTTTCTCTGTCAAACAAGACTCGAGGGGGTCTACCAAGCATGTATATCTGCTCCCTGCCGTGCAATCCGGAATGATTCAGGATGGTGTTGTACTCGACGGGAAACCTCGGAAATATGGGGCGTGAATGTACTGTGTCAGGGAAGCTCGCTGTAGCATTGTCATAAGATACTAGACCATTCCCGCTCCAACCAAATAGATCATCCATCATAGTCTCATTGCTTGGTGCTTGGAGACCCCCACTGATAGTCTCAAAACTACCAGCATTCCAATTGTCGATGATTAAGGATTGTTGCTCCGGATCTCCCGTTTCCCAGGACTCATAAATGATGGGTTCCAGGTCTTCACGATACAGGTTCACACAGGTGACATGTACGACAGGCGACACAACAGAAGCACGTAGGGAGTAGACCCCCTGCCCGTCTAGATCTGACGGCTGCAAGATACCGTTGCTAGCATTCACAGCAGCTGACATGACGCCTACATGAGGCATAGCCAAATGGACTTGGTGTATGACTCGGTCAAGGTTGAATTCTTTGGAGGATTCCTCAACTGTCTTGACATCGATCCAAGAGCCAGTGACTTCGGTTTGGTTTTCCCACAACGCGATCCCACGTGGCCGCGTCTTCATGTCTTGCGTAGCATTCAAATCTGGTGCAGTCCATAGGCCAAAATACTGAATGTAATTCTGGTAAGACTGGGCGGCGTATTCGATTTGTAGACAGCTAAGATGGGCTTGTTTGAGACCAGTTGAGTTGGAATAAGTATTATTGTCGGCTGGATTCGATGGGTCTCCAAGGTCGTTTAGCTGCGGCGTTCTGCATTGACTAGCGACGTGGACCGCATTCCCAAAACCTGTTAGGATGGGATTTTGTAAAGCCTGGGGCCCCCATTTATTGAACTTCAGTTGTGGTTGTACCAGAGCAGTGGCAGCGGATGTGTACAAAGTAGCCATTACGGCAGCCACCAGACTAAGAACACCAAGGACACTACAGCCAGCGTACCAAACGGTCTCCCAATGTGTAAAAAGGACTCCAGGCTGCATGATCCACGTCCGCATATTCATCTCCGCTATCGTAATTCCCCAGCCATTCTTCTTATTGAACGCTCTTCGAGACAATGCCTGTCCAAGAAACGCAACGAAGGCTGTAGCAAACGATAACTCGATAGTTTTTGCAAGTACAGATACCAGGATTATCGCTCCATTGGGATTCAACTTTGATTTGCTGTTGATCCAGGGATATGTTGGGCCACACACAGCTATCACTAGGAATAACCCCGAAAGGACTGTAGAGTAGACGGATAAGATATAAATGGTGAGACTCAGACAATGAGTGGAGTTCTGGTAGAACGTATTGTGGCTTATACAATCTCTGTTTGGATCCCACCCTGTAGTATATGCAGACCTTTTTGAGCGAGTAGACTGTCCCCGGTGGAGATGCTCGTCGTCGCCCCGCTCCAGGTAAGGGTCGTACTGGTCACCATGATCATCGTAGCGATCCGAATTCAACGATGAGATGGACGGCTTAGTATTTCGATGGCCTTTCCAATTGGCACCTTCTGGCACGCCATCTCCCCTATGAATTGTGTCTTGTTGGAATCCGTATGGTGAAACGGGTGACAAAAAACCTTCAGCCTGTTGTAGACCTGATGTTGTGTCTGCGGACTGAGCGGCCAATGGCTCATGGGAGCGAGGGCTTTGTTGCCTCGTCGATTGGTTCGGTCCTAGTGTGATAGGCTCGGGATCGTATGTTACTCTTTTCGCCGGTCGCCCAAGGGGAGGCGAGACTGGAGAGGTAGGGTCGTCTATGCCTAGACCGCGCGCAGCATCATCATCATCATCATCATCATTCTCACCCTCATCATCAAACGGGTTCACACTCGAAACGAGCGGTTCGTAGCCTGATCCGTGAGAGTGCGGAGAATATGAAAGATCTGCGAGCTCGGAAGAATCGAGATACGCCGGGTCGTGGGCGTCGCGAGGATCTGGCGGACTAGCAGACATGCCTTGAGAGTTGAGGGAATTTTTGGCGCCTTGCAGCCTGATCGAGCGTTGAGGTAGCTATCGCGGGTGTGGGTTGTTGGGTGGGGTAGACTGCCCGTGACGGGAGGCTCATCAAGCGCGACACTGGCTTCGAAGGGGCTGGGTATTCGCGGTCGCAATGGAAGATAGATGTGTAATGGATCCAGTGTGAGAGCGAGGAAGATGTAGAAGGGAGGAAATAAGAAACAAGGAAGTGAGGTTGTAAGGACGTGAAGAGTGGGAGCAGACGTAAAGGCCGTAAAGTTGAATGTTGGAAACCAGGGCATAACAATACCTTCTTATTATGATTATTGCACGGATGGCAAGCACAAAACGCCCAGAGCCAAAGCACAATCGCGGCACCGCATACTTCACGCTGTGGTCTTGCTTACTATGAGATACTACGACTACTAAGGTACTGTAGTCTGTGGGGGCCATGGAATGGGCAGCAAGGAATGTCTCGTCGTCATCTGCATTAGTCTGGAGGAGATGAGGATTAGTGCTCAGCCTTGCGTGCTGTCTTCCCTTCAGCCTCGTGCCACGCAGCTGCAATTACTAACCTCTTACGCCCGCAGCATATTGGAACACGTCCAATCACTTGCTGGACCCGTTTCGATGCTGTTGTACTGAGGCGCAGTTGAAACGCTGCTGATGGCTACTATTTCATTCGCCGGGCATCTGCATCGAGTCCTCGGCGTCATATCGCGTTGTTCAAGGCCCTGGACTCTTTATAATTAGAACACAGCACAGTACGGTGAACTGTTGCTTGGCTTGGCATACTGCATTGTACTATGTTTATATACAGCCTTGTTGTATATGTGTGTGTATGGGCAGACGACCATGCAAACCAATCGCCTTGTGTGAGCATCTAGTAAACGACCTGCACTTCGCTTCGTTGCTGCCCACGCTGCCGGCTAGCTTGCCTTCCGTCTGTCCTTAAACTTCCTTCCTCATTACAAGTACAACATGCTAAGTGCCGCTACTTCAAGCCAACGCAGAGAAGAAATCCCACCATTGTAACACTGTCCGTCGTTGTCACTCATATACCTCTCACAACCTGAAGCGCCATGGAATGCTGCATGTTGATGGTGCCCTGTGAGCGCTGCTTGTGTGTCTATGCGAAGCCAAAGTATTCGCTTCCGGCTGTCATGGCTGTGTAAAGCTGTTCGCGAAGTTTCTCGTAGCTGATATATTCTGGTAGATCGAGTTCTACGGTCATGTTAGCAATGCTACTAGCGTTCAGCATGATGAGAAGATGCTACTTACGATTGAAACAAGTGTGGGAGCTGGGCAGCCTGTCTTTGTTGCCTGGGTCCCGGTGGATGTTGAACTTGTTGAATCCGTTCATTCCTTCGAGCTCCTTGAACCCGTTCAACGGAACTTTGCTGGTTCCCGTGACAAACTGCAATAGCTTCGCACGCTCCTCTTTGTCAAAGGATCGTACTGCTCGCCAAAACCACTGTACTTGAGGAGCTGCCGCCGTGTAGCTGTGGTAATCGGTATTGTTTTTCCAGTCATCGACGTCGATATCGGGCAAACCAGATATAAGCAATTCAAGTTCCTGTTCGTTGAATATTGATATGAGCTCGGCTGGAATGATGTCATGGAATCCTTTAAGAAAGCTTTCCAATTGCTCCTGAACAGACCCGGTGAGTTTGTACTCCACCACGAGGCGTACGTATTCGTGCTTGTTTTCTTCTGTCACAGAGATATTGCGCCCATTCTCAATCAAATCAATCGTTTGAGCATCGCCAAAGTCGTCCGTCTCGGTGGAGAATGTTTCGGTTATGATGTCAGTGATGTCGTTCTCCAACATCCAGAGGAGTGACTTGTAGTATTCTACGTCGAGGCTTTCCATATCTTTGATGCTGACAGGCTTGCCAAGGATACGCTTGTACACAGCTCTACTGAAGTGGCAGTCGAGCACGCGGCCCTCATAGAGGGCTTTGCCGATGATACGACCGATGAATTTAAAGAAAGTGAGGTGCTCCGAGTTGACGCTACTCAAGCGGTTTGGATGGAAGGTAGTGCGATCAGATGCAACAGGGACAAATAGTGCGTAGTTTGCATCAAACATTTGTCTCGCGAGGACTTGAAACCATTCGCGTGTCACACCACCAGCATCAACACCCTCCTCTCCATGAAACCTAATGTTCAATTTTCCATACTTCATCTCATCAGCCGACTTGAAGTATAACGACCTGAATGAGTCAAGGAACACTTGATCACGTCGAACAGACAGTTGTAGAGGCTGGTGGGGTTGGCGGGTCTCAGTACGGCTGTGGAGGCGTCGGCTGAAGTAGTTGCGTTTGTTGTCGAACTCGAGAACCTTCGAGTTCCTTACCAGTAGGGAGAAGGAGCCGCTCATGAGTTTCGGATTGTGACGAACCAAATCGTTGAGGATCTTGCGATGATCCTCCGTGAAAGCGAAGAAAAGATTCTCCATGCGGCTCTCCGGTGGCGGACTAGACAGCGTGAACTCTTTCTGGTGGCTCTTCGCAGCATGAGAATCCTTCAAAGACGTATTTTTGCAAACTATCATTAGTATCTCTATAAGAGGTAGCAGGATCGTAGCTACGTTGAACATGTTCTCACGCTGGCGGATGGCCGCAAGGCACTCGCTTAGTTTGCCCCAGAGTGAAGCGAAGGTCGGATTCTCGTAGAGTCTGGTTAATATGTCTTCTTTTTGTGCAATTGAGAGACCTGCACTTGATTTGGCTGAATGTTTATCTTGCGCATCTGCACGTTTGGGATCAAACAAGTAGTCGAGAGCAGTCAATACACGAAGCAGTTTTGCCTGGTCAGAACTCGCAGGGGAGAAGTTGGCGAGCGCCAAACCTTGCACATCAGTCCCGGTACGGGCCGTCGATATCTGTATAACAAGCTCTGCAAGATCATTGAGAATCGACTGGCCAAGGTCTTGAGACTGACTTATCAACTCTTGACCGAAGACCTCTTTTGCGCCTGGAATTGCAGACAAGTAGCTAATCACCGACAAGGTGTCGCGAAACGTTTTGCTGCTGCATTCTCGAGCAGCCAAAATGTTAACTACGAGACGAAGATTGTAGTCCGGCACTTCAGGTGCCGTCAGAGCTTTCGGCTTCTTCAAGGTCTCATGCAAAGACTCTTCGGGCTTGTTACTTTCTGCCTGGGTAGTTGTAGAAGCCATACCAGTCGTAGAGGCTTCCGCAGTTGCAGCCATAGATACATCGACTGTGGTAGATGTACCGGCGGAGTTTGATATCGACAGACCAGTTGCATCGATAGCTGACGCCGTTACGGCGCTAGGTGTGGCAGGAACTCCCTCATTGGTCACTTGACCCAGCGCTTGCTCGACTTTCCCTTGTTCTTTCTTGACCAGTACCTGCAATGGTACAGTTATCTTTGAAAGCAGCGCCGCCAATTGCTCCATGACAATCGAACTTTCGATGATAACTTTACGATCCAGCAAACTAAGAAGGGCGTTCAATGGAAAACGGCTGACTTTGTTTTCTTTATTCTTCCCTTTCCGGGGTGTTTTGGTTTTCAGCGAAGCAGCTGTTGTTTCGTGCTCCGATAGGAAGAACGAAGGGATGTGACTATCCTTCTCAGCCAGGAATGATAAGGTAGTCAAACATTGTTGCACCACCATCAGGGGCGACAACTCGGAATGCGAAGAAGTGTATCCAGATATAGACCGCTTAGGCTGAGGTGTTTTTTGAAGTGTCGGTTGTTTCGCGCGTATTGTCAATTGAGCAAAGCTTCGTTCCACTGCGTTGACATCGGCACTCCCATCTTGTAGAATTGACAGTAAAATACTAATTACTTCGGCTCGATTCTGGCGGTTTTGACAAACGTTTTTCAAGGTCTCGTTCAGATAGCGTTTCTCCTGTGGAATAAACATGAGACGGAGCAGGGTCGCAATACCTGCCTTGTCTAACATTTGAGCTGCTGGTCGAGGTTTTGCTTTCTTCTGGCTTTCTTCGCCGATAGAGAGATTAAGTATTCGGGGTCTCTCCGCACGGTGTACGCCGTTGAACTGGTTCAAATGTCGATCTCCACCCAGGGCCCTAGCTTCCGCTGCGATATGAGCAGGTAGGTGCCCTAACATTTCTTCGTCCTGATCCATGAGCACGGCTTGCCGTAAGCCAGGATCAAGGGAAGCCAGAAAACTGGCTGGGTCCATTTCTTCCGCGCGAGGTGGAGGGGCTGCTCCACCAGCGTTCCCACGTCGACGTGCCTCTTCACGCTCACGGCGACGTCGATCTTGAGCTTCTTGCTGGAGGATTTCTTCGCGGATATCGGCGGGCAGCGCCTCGAGAAACTCTGGACTTATGTCTGTTGGAGCTTCGCCAGCAGCTACAGCTTCTGATCGCTGCTCAGCGACACGCTGCATGAGCACTTCCTCTCGTAACTCGTCTGGTAACGCCTCTAAGTATTCCATGTCGATGCCAAGATTCGTGATATCAATTTCTCGCCCTCGGATGGTCGTTGTAACTCGGGCCTGAGACTCGGACTCAGCGCCCTGTACTTCGTTGGCAATGTCAGCATCGTCAGCCTCCTCAGCCACCTCGACACCTTCCATAGCGTTAGATACTTCGTTTTCGTTCGCGAGATCTTGCCCAACTTCGGCTTGTTCGCGTGCGCGAGCTTCTGCTTCAGCTGCTTCTTTCTCCTCACGTTCCTTTTGCTCTTTAGCCTCCCGTTCAGCACGTTCCTTCTCTGCTTTCTCTCTGGCCTCAGCATCTTCTTTTGCCTTCCGTGCCTGTCTCTCAGCAAGCTCTTTCGCCTTTTGCTTGGCAGCCTCCATTGCTGGCGGAACTAGCAGTCTGAGGATGGAATTGATCAAACGCTGGCTTACATCCGCAGCGGTTGCACCATAGAGGATGCGTGCCTCGTCTACCCATCGTGTCTTTGTGTCAGTAGCCACGAAAGCTACTGCATCGTTGGGACTTTCGCGTGAACCGCGCGAGCCAGAGACATCGTGAGCTCTACGGAGGTCACGTCTCAAAGAGCTTTCATAGGTGCCGGGAAGAGGAGGTAGTTGATCCACGCGGGTTCCAAAAGAGAGGTGGATATTGCCATTGTGAGTTGTCACTGTTGGGCCACCACTGCCGATTGCGTTGATCAGGTTACTTATGAAAGAGACTGGACCGTCCCCTGCCATGAATCGACCGGATTGGAGAGGATCTATGCTGTGGAAAAAGTCCTGCATGGCCATGTGTCGGATAGCTCCGACTTGTGGGGCAGCAGGTGTCCGACCGGAGCGTTGCAAGAGAGGGTTGGTCCCATCATCCGGATTTCTGTTAGTACCGGGACGGTGAGATCGGTAAGCAAGAAGACCTCTGTCAGACCCCATCCATGGGTGTAAGCGATGTGCGTGAGTATGTCCGTGGTGATGATGCCCGTGGAGGTGATGAGCGCGCATTGGTGGTGGTGGATCGTCCCATCGCCATGCGCCACCTTCCTCCTCCTCGTCATCATCATAGTGATCGCCATACAAGAAGTCATCGCCTTCCTCATAGTCCACTTCTGCTTCTGCGTCCTCTTCGTCCACGTCGTCTACCTCATCGTCTTCTTCGACCATTTCGTCCTCTATAACGTACGTGGCTTGGTTCCCTCTTTCGCGGAATGTTTGCACAAGGCCATCCGCAGTATCATTGAGATTCATGAGGTTGTCTAGCGGTGGAAGGACAACATGTGCGTCATCTTCCATGTCATCCTGGCCAGGATAATCCTCTCCATTGTCTTCATTCTCCCATCCGTCTTCCTCACCAGATTCCCCACTCGATCCATCATCCTCTTCCGCTATGATTTCCACGTGATTCATGATATCGTCCATGTCTTCATCATCATCATCTTCTTCTTCTTCTTCGTCGTCGCCACTATCGTCGTCATCTTCATCTTCATCATCGTCCATATCCGAATCGCCATCGTCAATTGTAAGTTCGACTTCAGCAACGTCTCCAGAAAGTCCCTCAATCGGCCCTACTCCATCAATTTCGTCTTCGTCGTCGCTGATGGCATCTTCATTTCCATGTGGATTATCATCTTCAAATTCCATCTCATCCTCATAGTAACCATCGTCCATTTCGTCGTCCTCATCTTCTTCACCGTCCTCAGATTCTGACTCATATTCATCCTGACGAGTCGGATCTAGCAGACCCAAAGTCGAGTTCCTAAACAGGTCCGGAGTTGCCTCGCGTCCATCGACATCCGACAATGAGGACGAAGTGCTCGCAATGTCATCGTCCTCAAATTCTACTACGTTTGTCATTGATGCTGGAGCCGTACTGACCTCCACACCAGTAGATGTGAGCGTTCTCAGGGTTTTCAAAATATGTCTGACTGCCCTTTCTGCGTTAGGGTAATTGAGGTCGATTTCCGCGATGGCGCCCGTAAGTGAGACGACAAAATTCTTCTCATACATGATTTTGGACAGCTGCTTTTGAGAAGACATTTGACGGCTGTTGACGTGTGCCGGATTGTTGGGATCCGTGATCAATTTACCATTGATCATACGGTTGAATAGCTCGGCGAGCACCATCAGTCGAGCATATTTGGAGTCGAGAGGTTCTAGCGAAGCCGTCGCATCTCTGAACGATTTCAGTGCATGTTCTAGTACGAATCGCCGTACGTAGAGGAGTTCCATATCTTCATCTGCGTCATTGACTCCATCCGTCATGCTTGCGTATTTCTCCTCAGTCTTGGCACAAAGACCTACTATAGCCAACATAGCCCAGTTCGATGTTGCTGCTTGTTTACGATTTGCGGTATCCTCTGCATGACTCAAAGAAGCGACTGGGACAAGGCTGTTCAACAGGTAGTTCAAAATCCCAGACCGCGGCTTCGAGGGTGTGCTCGCGTGGGGGTCTGCCTTTCTGGAAAAATTGATGAACTCGACCTTTGCACGATTGTATGATGATAAGAGCTCCGTCAAGCATTGGAGAATAAAGCATCGGTATATGAAGAAAGGATGTTGTTCAGCCTTGAAGTCTTGCTTTTCAGGTTTCTTCGCTTCCATAAGGCTCGGTGTAGAGTTCTGGGAGTCCCCTTCATTGCTGCTCCTGCCGATAACTGCGGCTGTAGAACTTTCGGCCGAATTATTAGAGGTAGTTGCAGTTGGCTTGTCTTCTACGTCTTTGTATGCAAGTAATTCGCACAGTAGGTAGTGTATCACCCCATCAGGAGTCTCCACCACAGGGCAGCGAAGCTCTTGCGTTTTCGTCCTCTCTTGCTTCTCTGGCTTTTTGCCTTCGGTAATTGAGCTCCTCTCGTTCTCGATAGCGACTGTTGTGGATACGGCTTCCACGCCATGTTTGGTACTCGGTTCGGTATTTGATTTTTGAGCAGGCTTGAGGGCAAGACTTTGAGGCCTTTGGCTTGGCTCCCAGCGTGGAAGCATAAGCTTTTCGTTTGTAACTTCAACAAAGATGTCAGGGTTCCTAATGGCCAGGTGATATAGATGCCTTGTGTAGCCTGTTGTATCTTTCTGACGACCTTCTCGGGTCTCAAATAGACTTTGAATCTCGCTTCTCATGATTTGTCGAATAGTTTCATCGTCCTCTACCATGTGGCGCAGTATAACTAGAAAAGCACTCTGAAGCTTTTCATTTGTGATGCCAGAGAGTTGTCTGACCATTAGGAACAGGCGCTGGATATTCTTCTTTTGACTGAGAAGAGTGGCAATCTCACGCTGGCGAGTTAGAATGACAAGAATGCGCGAAATAGCAAGGGCCAACACTTCGTCTTTCCCAACGTACGGTAATAGTTCAGTGATTGCCTTAAACAGAGCAATCTTCTGGTCTTTCCGAACAATGACTGTGGGTGCTGCGACAGTTGATATGTCAAAAGATGACTCTTCGCCGCTTGGCGGTGTCCATTGAATCTGCGGTGGCCGTGCATCATCGGAGAGGAGCATCTCTAACACCAGAAGGACAGGTCCTATCCAAGGAGAAGAGTCTTCTTTCCCTTGGCTAGGAAAAATCTTGACAAAGCTTAGCAGTGCTTCGAAATTATCCTGTAATTGTTCCAGAGTCGCATCGTAGAAAGGCTTGTCTTGCAACGTAAGTCCAAGAAGATGAGCAGAGGCCGCGATTTGCTTTGCGTTAGGCCGCAGGTCATCGTCGACTTGGAAAGATATTAGAGACTGGACAAGAGTCTGTCCAATCTCACGGCGTAAAGATACAGGATCTTGTGCCTTCGTGACCGCCGCGCTAATCAAATCAGACAGATCGAACGTGATGGCCTCGTGGGCATTGAGTACTTCCAGGGAACGATCAATCAGTATTGATCGAAGCTCATTGCGTTGATCATTAAGATCGTCGATTGTTATCATCTTGGAGCGAGCTTCGACTACAGTGAATTTCTCGAAGTAGGATGGGCCGGAATAGCTTGAGGAGCTGCTTCCACCAGCATTGTCCGTACGTGCGTGGGAGGCTTCGGCTTCGCCAGGCGCCAGCGCTGCAACATCTTCCATGATTATAGATTGATCCATCTCCGACGGCCCTATCGCTGTGCTTTCGGGCACTTGCATGGTAGTAAAATTAGTAGCTGCTGGGATACCCGCACTCCTCTGAGTTGCTTGTGTCATTTTGTTCTCATATCGAGGGATATCGTTCCTCGTTGGTCGAGAACTCCTTAGGAAAGCTTTGCAATACTCTATTGCCGCTGCCACATTATCGTTGCACCGATAGAGAGCCTCTCGGGCAAGGGACTCGTCAACATTTGGGAGATCAGTCAATTTCTTCATGCCGTCATCACTACGCATCTTCCAAGGTCGAAGGGTCGGATTGGCTCGGGGAAGTGGGCTGTCTGAACGTTTGAAGGCGTTACTTTCCCCCTCGGCTTCCAATACGATCTTCAATGTATCAACGAGGCTCTTGACGATAGGTATTGTGCACTTTTCCATCAGTTCAGCCTTCCAAAGTTGCATTACGGGACGCATGACAGTTAACCGGAGCTCAACAATAAATTGTCCGATCGAAAAATAGTCCTGAGTCTTCTCTCGGTCAGGTTGGGCGAGAGCGGCAGTCTGCACCGCTTCGCCAACAATCTTCGAATTGATTATTTGCGCGTAGAAGTTAAGTATGATTCGAATCCCACCAAAGGATAGGTCCAATAGACCTTGTTCTTCACTTGACAAGCTAGAACCGTCAGGAAGTGGTCGCGTCACTATCGTACTTGCTTCATTGATGAATGACTCGAGGATATGTTGGAGAGCCTCGAAGCCACCTTGGTTTTTGAAGCAAACCAGTATCAAAGTTATCGTCTGCGGAAATCCTCGTTCCATGGAGTCATCCAACATGACTCGGGATATTGATGTCAGAATCGTAATCCAGTAGGGATAGCGATCCTTCGCAGAGATTGAGTTTTTTGGAGGCGCGAACAATAGTTGGTCAATGGTAGCTTTGGCGATCTGATCGGCAACGACATAGGCACATTGCTTATGGTAATCCTTACTGCTACGACGGAATAGAAGCAACTTACCGAGAGACTGCAGAAAGGGAGTTATGGCCGTAGGCACGCGACAAAGAAGAAAGCGGAGTGTGCGGGTGTTCTTGAATCTAGCCGTTGCTGATTCCTTGACAACGCTGGACACAGCTGACTCCTGTTCGTTACCCGTAGCGCGAGCAACAGGGTCTCTGTTGGTAGTGGCTGGTGACGCGAGATCTGCCGGTGGCAATCGTCCCATGTCAAGCAAGCTGTCGAGCTCTTCCGAGTTCATGCCACTGCCCTTCACTCGCGTGGAACTTTCCCATTCCCGAGGCATGTTCCTTTGGAGTAGAACTTCCTCCCAAACGCAACTACGATGCAGTCTGCCGAGACTGTAAATGAGCCTAGAATATAGATCCGCAAGGTTGACTTGACTGAAGATGTTGTGGTTGGACCTCTGACTGAAGAACTGATTCTGGAACGCATAGCTCATTATCGCACACAGTGTTTGTACAGAGACAAGAGCTTTTACGTATTTTGTCCCATCTACAGTTCTGTCAAGATGCCCAATCTCAGTCCGCGGAATGCTTATTTTGCTGGTGGTGAAGGGACTGAAAAATGCCGTATCTTCAGCATGATCTATCAGAGGCTTCAGGACGTCGACTGCACGCTGAGCTCTGCTGATGAGCTGGGGTAGTACCAAGTGCGGCTTCTGCTCGATTAAGGGCTGAAGCACACGACAGAGATCCTCTAATGAATTTGCCCATGCGTCGTCTGAGACATTATAAGGCAACGATGGCATAATTGCAAAATCTATAAGCAATTCGATACCATCCCCTTCTGCGAATGCGAAGATCGAGTTCGAATTGGAAAAGAATCCGGTAAGAAACCTGCAGACTGCACCTATGTACTGAGTGGTGGAAGGTGTATCTTTTGCATCTTCACATTCAAGGACTTGATCGATAGCGGCGCTTCCTGTCGTTGATTGACCATCGAGAGGCTCTGCATCATGCATATCAAGATCATCATCGACAGAGCCTGAGGTAGGAGCTGCTTGCGGTTGGCCCTTATTGTGCAGCTGACTATCGCCTTGTAGTGCTTCCCGCCCTCCAGCAACGTGAAGCCGCCCGATATCATCTTCAAGCCATAGCTTAGCACCTGCGCCTAATTCAGACGCCCTTGCGAAGCAGAGCTTGCCAACACGCCCAATCATTACTGAAATGGCACCCACGATTTCCGACTTCAAATTGGGGTGATGTCGCACCAATTCGTCGAACGACGAGCCAAGGGTCCCTGCCATATCTTGCTCTTGTTCCATGGCCTTTACATGCACCGGGCTCTCAAACACCTCAAAGAAACTTTCCATTGCGCGAGAGTGTTTGAACAGCTTCATACCTGCCTCGTTCAGGCAAATCGCTCCAAACCCGGGAGGGATTTGGGACATGGCGTCTGCAGATGGAAGGATGCCAGGAGCCAATGGTTCGCTGGCTGGATGGTTGATTCGATTTAATAGACCGGCATCTGGCATTACAATCTGCACACGGGTCGATGAAGCTCCCTCTTCGTTGGGCGCCGGATCAGAGGAAGAGGTCATTTCAGAAAAGCTGGCTTGGGGTAGAGATCTTGAGATGACTGCTTCTAAGAACGCGTGACACAATCCTGCCTCGGCAACGACGGCATAACTTGTCGGCTCGTTATGGAGGAAGTTCGTCAGGATGGCGACAGCAGTACTCCATACTGTTGAACCAAAGATCTTGGCGTTCTCAAGTACTGTGCGCAGAGCTCGAAGCAGTTGCGGTGAGTCCATAAGGTTTCGAAGGAGTCGTTCGAAATTGGCATTTGCATGAGTCAACATACGATTTGTTAACTTTACAAGCCAGCGGAGATTCTGCTGCTGATGCCACTGAATTTCGTAGTCCGTAAGCTGTGTCTTATACTTGGAAGGCATAGTTTTGCCCTCTTTGACGTTGGAATAAGCGGAGTCAACTTGGAAAGAAGTAAGGTCAGCAATGCTATCCAAGCCCTTTGCATTGACAAATGATTGGAACGCATCCCTGATACTAAACAAGAATGAATCAAGAAATCCCAGAACCCTTGGATAGTTCCACTCGGCCTTTCTTGTGCGGAAGTTTAGTATTTCGACCAGAACTTCCAACAAACCAGCTGAGATTAAGGTTTCGCCAGTTCGCGGCTGACACATTGGCAAGCTATTCAGGAGGTCAAATATCGAATCCCGATATTCTTCCTGCGCTTCATCCGATGTGTCGTCATTCGCGAGTTCTGTCACAACCTTCCGCACCACATAAAACAAGACTCCATGGTTTACATTGACGCTCAGAGCGGCAACCACGTCACCAGACCGATTCTTGTGTTTTGTCAAAGATTCCAATGTTATGATAGCACAAGATTGCAATGCTGTCGAGACTTGCATCCTTGAGTTGCGTTGAGGTTGGACTAGTTCGGCTAATTGATATGGTAGCTGAAACCGACGTGGCTCATCATAGTCAGGTTGTGAGATCTTAGAATGAAATATGTTTTCGGAGAATACGTAGGCAAGATTAGCTATGGCGAGTAGGCGGACAGCAACAATATCTTCCCGCGCAGATCTAGTTGATGACATAGCAGATGCGACGCGTATGCGATGCAGTGTTTCGTACTGGTAGTCCTCAGGAATATCTTTGACCGACTCTTTCACGAGATCATGAATCGATGCAGATTGAAGCTTAGCGGCTGAAATCTCGAGAACCTTTGGCCCTGTCGAGCGGTCTGAATCTAGCTTGGTTGTAATGTCTGTTTCAGGGCTCGCAGGCGGATATTGCTGCTGACTCAGGTTCGAGCTTCGTCGTGCCGGTGTCGGTGTCACAGGGGTTTGCAAGAATTCAGGAATAACCTCTTCTGCATGCGAAGGTCTCGTGTTGGTGTCGTAAAATGTGAGTCGAACAGTTGCGCGTTTGTCGCCCTCCTCCTCTGTTGTAAGGCCAACTAGATCACCAGTAGCCCATTTCGGGCGTGTATCATCGTCGGATTTGTTGGCCGGCTTCTCTTTGCCTTTGCTAGCAGAAGGAATAGAGCCCGTAGGCTTGGCAAATGCCGAAGCTAATCTATGCATATTGTCCAGACTTATGGCGTAGTGACTCGAAAGTAAGATGGCATGCGATGATGTCGACGGCATTCTTTGCCTGGACGCATAGTAGCGCTGCGCAAGTCGTAAAGATAGATGAAGCGTGACTTTCAGCAGTGAAAGTGAGGTTGTGTTGAGCAGGTAATTGAGGTGGATGCTACTTGCGTAAAGATTACGGTTTCCACAATTGTCAAGAAGCAATCTGGTAAAGACCAGCACACTTTCGATAAGTTCATGGTCGCCATCTTCAGAAAATCCATTCTCATCGAGAGTGTCCTTGTCTGGTAACGAGGCTGATGGACTGTACTCTGCTCCTTCGCCTTTCAATAGCAGACGTCGTCCGAAGCACTCGGTTTGAGGGCCTCTTGTGAGGCCATACTCACTATTGAAAACTTCGAGTATTTGATCGAAACGATTTAGTGCTGGTATCCAGTGGTAGAGGTCGCCTCTGGGGAAGGGCCAGCCGCGTGGGAAAGAGGCTAGGTGTTTTGGTAATTGGTATAGTGGTATCGAAGCGGTGGCTTTCGCAAACTCCGACACAGCTGGTGACTAGGCACTAAAGTTAGAATGTAGATACATGGTTCGTCTGACAGACAAACTCACCAGTGTGACCTCATGGCGTGGCAAGGCAGACTTATTAATTTTCACCATGGCTACAGCTCACCCCGGAAGGCAGGCCTTCCTGCACCTTGAAGCTTGGACAGCTGCCGATTGTGGTCGTCCCAGATTCACTTGAGCGTATATGAGTGTGGTCCTCTTGCTCTGCCTAGACAGCTGGAGACTGTCATGTGTTATCAAGCTCGGCGAGTCAACGCTGCGTTTGGATAGCGGGTAACTGTTGAAACAAGGACAGCGATGAAGATCGGGAGTCCGATGCGAAGAAGTATACAGCGGGAGGACGGAACAGGGTGTCTATGCTACGGCCCTGTGAGGTTCAATTTTCGTCTCTGTGGGGTGAAGTGGATGTCTTCGTGAATATATGACGGTGACAGTAGTTTTACTGAGCAGACGAGTGCAGGTCGTCGATTCAGAAACTATGCCTGATCGGAGGGGCGGAGATGAAGTGTAACGAGTTCACAGTAGTGCAGTTACTGCAAATGTCGATTTTGGGTACGTCAGAGCTGTATAGGATTTGTTCGAGGGAGAGATGAGAGTGTGACTTTGATACAAAGCAGCGTTCGTCAATCGCGTCAAACAGGTCGCTGCGCCCGAATATTTGCCGCTCCGCTTGGGCACGCATTCACCAAGGCACATAGCGGCATAGCGAGGATGGATCACGAGGTGAGCTGTGCGCGAATGCTCTTAGCGTGCATATACCTGATGTTGTTGCCGACAGTCTTAACAAACAATCACTTTCATACACACGTTTCTCCTTCTGCCCCTCCAGTACCGCGCAGATTGATTGTCAGGCAGCGCTGTCACGGACCTGAAGCAGCTATGACTTCATGAGCACCGGTCTAGTCAACCATTCATAGCAAAGCAAGCAGTCCTCAAAAAAACACTCTTAAACAAGCTAGCAACACATCTTCCTCCCATTCCTGTCAACGCATCATTGCATTCCATCAACCTTTAAAAATCGTTGGTGCCGCTCGCTGAATCTTCAACAACTTTGCCCTCCACCAAGCGCAGTGTCTCTTCAATGACCAATAGATCTCTCTCAATTGTCTCTGCCCAGTTCTGGGTGTCGCCGATTTCATTGAGCTTCTTAGTCGACGTGTCCGCCAATTTCTGCCATTGAAGCCTCTCTTTGGCCAGCGCCGTAGTCTGCTTAGCCAATTCTGTCTCCTGCTTGGATATCCCTGCCGCGTTTGCATGAAGATCACTTGCGCGTGTCTTCATCTTCGAATCCAGCGACGTGCCGATAGAGTTCAGCGAGGCAGTAACAGCTGCCCTGGCTTCTGCTGTCCTCTGCTCTGGTTCATTTTGGGCTGACATGCTAGGCCTGGGCTTTGTTGAATTGTTTGCCTTGGAAAAAAGTAGGTCGGTATTATGCTTTCATGAATATGGGGGGATGCAGATCACATAAGTTGAATGGTACTGTCTGATAATTATTAGACTGGTCACGCTGATGCTCGGCTAAGTCTCGAATGACCACGTGTAACTCAAATGGTAGCCAAAAGGCAATAGTCTATACATTGACCTTCTCTGTTATCTTCACAGCGTAGAATATTTTGCTCACTGTCCTCTAGGGCCGTTTGCTAGAATGATGACCACGATGCCCGTTGCCAAACCCAATAATATAGATGTCAATGACTACCTACCATCGACCCGTAGACACCCTATTACAGAGGCCTTCTTACCTCTATCGCCACCCGTATCACGTGGGCGCTATCACTCCACAGTATATTGACTTGGCGTCTTTCTTTAATCTAAATTCATTGAGAACTAATACTATTTACTCTGGCGTTCCGGCAACTCAAGCCGCTTATTCCTTCAGATGAGAATATTCTAGGGCATTCGTGCTGTTGGTAATTACGAGCTTTTGTATTGGCTGAAGTTCTCCCACGTCTTCATAGCATATATTAGAAGGGGACTATGCGGCCTGTGGGCCTTATTGTGTGGTGGTATGACAAGAACCTCCTTTCACTTTGTGCGACTTAACTCTGGGGTTGTGCTATATTGCACGGGGAATTTATCTCCGTAGGACTTTTTATAATGCCTCGATGTTTGGCTTGTAATATTTCATGGCAGGTATCTGAATATCTCTGAAAAATCACTATGAAGTTTGTCCTCGTTTTGAGCATCGTAGCAGCGGTAGTGATCGTATATGCTCAAGTAGAGGAATATGGCAAGTGCGGAGGTTAGAGGTACTCGTGGACTCGCTCATAGATCACAATTGACTGATGTCGAGTCTAGGACAAGGATATAGTGGCTCAATAGCATGCGTGTCCGGCTATTTCTGCCAGTATCAGAATCAGTGGTATAGTCAATGTGTACCAGGAGCAGGTACGTATCATATCAAGACGGTATCAGGCCGAACCTAATGGTAACCAGCCCCAGTAACGACTCTTATCACCACGAAAACCTCTCATACAAATACAGTCACATCGGCGTTGCCAAGCTCGTCATCTACCAAGACACCAGTCCCGGGCACTTACGTTAAGACCAAAGGCCTCAAATTTACCATTGATGGTGTGACAAAGTACTTTGCTGGAACTAACTCATACTGGATTGCGTTCCTCACCAACAACGCTGATGTGGATCTTGTTCTCGACCATATGATCACCTCCGGCTTAAGAATTCTTCGTATCTGGGGTTTCAACGATGTCAACACCATTCCAGGCTCCGACACGGTCTATTTCCAATACCTCTCTGCCGGTACCGCAACTATCAACACTGGAGCCAACGGCCTCCAGCGTTTGGACTACGTCGTCAAAGCAGCCGAGGCTCGGGGCATGAAGCTCATTATCAATTTCGTCAATAATTGGAATGATTATGGCGGCATCAACGCATATGTCAACGCATATGGAGGGTCGAAGACTAGTTGGTACACGAATACAGCAGCACAAGGTCAGTACAAGGCATATATTAAGGCTGTGGTATCACGGTATATTACATCTACAGCCATATTTGCCTGGGAGCTAGGAAACGAGCCCAGGTGCAATGGATGCGATACGTACGTGATCTATAACGGAATGAGCATTGCTCAGGCTGATCATGTCAGATCCGTAATCTACGACTGGGCGACATCCACCAGTCAATACATCAAGTCGCTCGATAGCAATCATCTGGTCACACTTGGAGACGGTGAGTAACAAAACGTCACTTGGCTTAGATCATGGCTAGGATACTTACTTCATGCAGAGGGTTTCGGTCTCCCCGGCGACGGTAGCTATCCCTACACCTACAGCGAAGGTGTAGACTGGATCAAGAACCTAGGTATCTCAACCCTTGACTTTGGAACTTTCCACTTATACCCTTCATCCTGTAAGTCTACGATTACCAGAGACACACCTCGGTACTTAGTCTAATCGCCTTCTAGGGGGTACAACAAACGAATGGGGCAACTCATGGATTACTACCCACGCAGTTGCTTGCCAGGCAGCCGGAAAGCCGTGCCTCTTTGAAGAATGTACGTGAAGTGATTTGCTGGTAATGCCGCAACTGACACATTCCAGACGGCATAACCCTTGCATCTGATAAATGCTCGGTGGAAGGCAAATGGCAAAACACGTCTCTCGCCACTACCGGCATAGCTGGTGATCTATTTTGGGACTTCGGAGATACCATCTCCAGTGGCAAAACATCTGATGACGGGAATACGATCTTCTATAATACTGCAGATTGGACGTGCCTCGTTACTAACCATGTCAAGGCGATTGGATAGATCTTCCATCCTGTATTTAGGCATGGGTATCATAAGTCCTACGTAGGTATAGGAAGATATCCATGACGAATACCAACATGAGGATTTAACTTTTCCTTCAAGTCCCCTGGGGCTGCTCTTGCACAAATACAACAATCCTTCTAGAGCATGACGAGTGGTACGATGCCTAGTGCGTGTAATTTGCCCAGCTCTGGTGTCAAGTGCTCACGACGAGCCTGAAGCAGCCCGATGCGACTGCCAGTTTTAGGCTCACTCTAGTATTCTGCATGCCAACCTACATTCCTGGGGAGCGCAAGCCTTAAACTCATTCCTCACAACAATCTTGACTCTGCACTTTGCCTGAAACCTTTGCTGAAAATCAGGCATCTTTCTACAAACCAATTACCCTGGGTATGCCCATGTTCATTTGCCGTTCGTGGCAAATTTAGCGAGTGCTGGACCATATCTCTCCAGCTCTCTTTCCTTATTCTCCTTTGCCTTTGCATTATTTGCCTGTATTGCATCTTGCAGTCGCAACTTGTCGTAAGTGATTACGTTCTGCTGGCCCTTCTTGCGCATATGCTTTTTCAATGCAGAATTCCTTCCTCGAGCCTTCTTCGTCAGTTTCGCTACTATATCATCTGGTTTGCGATCCAAGTCTCTTTCACGGGCGCGCTGTTCTGCTGATGCCAGATCCAGGTTTCCGATGAAGTCGGGTTCTAGTGAGATCATCTCAGGTTGTAACTTATTGAGGAGAGATCTGACTTCTGTTTCCTGCCGTTGCTTAACGTTTTCGTAAGGGTTTACCTCTAAGGCGTCAAAGTTTGGCTCGCCGGCACCGGGAACAATGGCGCTGCTGAAGCCTGCAGAATGACCTATTCCGAGAATATCCTCGAATGGACACCACCTGATGCGGGATACGCTCTGACCTTCACCACCCCAACTCATATATGGGTTTTTAATCTTCATCTTGCCAAAAATGTCCCGCCATATTGATACCTGAGTGCCCCATCCAACGGCTACAAGCCCTTTGTCACTAATAGCTACACTCGAAGCTGGCCTATGTGTGAAATAGTCGCTGTCGACTGGTCTCTTGTAGTTTCGAATGTCCCACACGCTCAGAGTTCCGTCTTGAGCCCCAGATACCATGTATTTTCCGGCGCGATCGACAGCCACAGTATTAATGGGACTGCTACTACGGTGTGCCTGTATCCTCGCAAGAGCCGTTGAGGAGTTCGGTGACCAAAGTGTTATCTGGCCTTTGCCATGGCCCATGTGTAGAATCGCATTCCAAGGATTTTGGCACATTGCAGTGGTAGGTCCGAGGTGGGTAGAGATCTCAGAGACGATATGACCGATAGAAGTGTCAACATACTTCAGATGACCCTTCGGATTCTGCAGTTGTTATTATAAACACGAGGTTACCGGATGGGTTGATTCTGACGTACCGTAGTGCAAAGTAAAAAATGATACGGCAAGAATTCCATGTGTGAGACCTCATGTTGCTTTTTGAGCTTATGGATTTCAACGCCTTGACGGTCATATATGTAGACGCAGTCTTTCTGTGAAACAGCGAACGACTGATTATTGTGTAGCCATTTAACATCTCGAACCATTTCTTTAAGGTTGATTTCGCAGCCCAATCTGCCATTCCTCCATTCCATTGTCGCAACATGACCAGTTTTGCTAGCAAGAAGCAATTCTTTTCCGTTTCGAGTGTACTCCGCAAGATACGGACCCATAGGTAAATCGAGCTTGAATCCCTTCTTTCCTGTCTCCGTGGATACGCTTCGTTGTATTTCATCTTGCTTGACTTTGTACGTTCTTTCTATCTCGCCTTCGGGCTCCAAGAATCCAGCATCGTGCTCCTGCAGGATCTCTGCATCTCTTGCTGCCAGTATGGCCTTCTTATTCTTCTCCTCTACACGTTTTAGAGTCTCACGCAGTTTTTTGTCCCTAATGCTTTTTGTTCGCACTCTCTGGCCACGGCCGTACTTTTGGCGGGCTTCAGCTTCTCGTCGTCTTTCGACTTCGGCGTCAGTATCGTGCATCATGGCTCTGCTCGTGTGCGGTTGTTCACCGGCAGCTGTAAAAGCGATACTCATTGTGTTATGAATATCACCGTCAGCCGTTATATAGTCGAATGTTGGTAAAACGATGCGCAGCATGAAAGGTTTGTAGAATTCTAGGCCATGAATTTTGGTGTCCTATCGATAAGAAACCAGGCAGAAATCAGGCAGGCGTCAGGCATAGATTACTGAGGCACAAACCGTGTGTTATGCATGGTTTTCCACTTACTCAACCGTTATTCAGCTTTGATTATCTACTACCAGTATGGAGAGAGAGACGCGCTAGATTAATTGGTTCCGTCAGTCAACTTAAACTGTTACATTTTTTGGACAAAAGTTCCAACAATCATCCACGAGCTTTGTCACGTCACATCACAATAGTAAAATGATGATGAAAAAGTTCTTTCCTTGCCGAACAAATTGTGCGATTAATATTTCAGTTCACCCTTAAAGCCTAGAATGTCAAACTTGAAAGAATAAAGGTACAAGGTACTCATCAACATGTGCTCAGTATAGTCTATATTCACTAAACCTCCACATTTTTGAAAGACAACTCCCTCGTCGGGTCTGCCATTGAATGCACTCCGAATTCAAGATTTGGGAACCGCTCCGTCTGCCCTTCCGGCATCTTCATATCATACTTCTGCAACGTCTGTGCTACGATCATCTTGTATGTATTAGCTGTTAATCTCCACCGTGGCATCAGAGCCTTACCTTAATCTCATTGGCAGCAAAAAACCGGCCAACGCAGGCGTGACGACCGAAACCGAATGTCATTAAGTCCTTCGTGACGCTGACGAATTGATACCTTGATGCACCCTCAGCCCCCGAGTCGCGCAGTTCCGCAAATCGGAATGGCTTGAACTTTTCTGGCTCCGGATAGAGCTCGGGATCGCGAGATATTGCGTGACCGGCCACCTCTATCATGGTGCCGGCAGGGATGAACTGGCCGTTTGAGAGCGTGAAGGGTGCCATGACTTTCCGTCTCATGGAGACAGCACTGCCCAGGTGGAAGCGCATGCTCTCCTTAATGAAGGAGTCCATCTTACGGAGTTGTTGAAGCGCAGCAACAGTGAGGACGCCATTGTGTTCGGCGAGCACAGTGCGGATTTCTTCTCTTAGAGGAGTAATGTACTCAGGGTGCGCGGCGAGGTCATAAAAGACATTGGTACTGGTCATGGTGGTGGTGTGTATTGCGGCGAATGTCATACCGAGCTGAATGTAAGCAATATCTTCAGTCGACGACGTGCCATGCTTGTCGGCTTTTGTGATCAGCCAGGACAGAACGTCGTCAGGGAGGACTTCGCCGGAGGCAGCGAGGCAGCGGCGTTGTTTAAGAACTGGGGCAATGAGGTTGTTGAAATTTTCTTCCCTCTTGCGGAGGGTCTTGACCTCTGGGAGGAAGTTCCCTTTGAGCCTCTTAAGCCATGGACTTAGGCCCTTGACCTTGCGATGAGCATCCATGAGCTCGATCGTATATTTAATGGCTGACTCAATATAGTCCTCGTTATAGCAGAGTTCGGGTCCGACAAATATTCGTCCAGAAGCAATAGCCACGATTCTAAGGAGCTTCTGATGAATATTCACAGGCGTCCAACCTGCATTATCACCAATCTCTTTTCTCACCAGGGAGTTTACTTCGTCAAAAAGAACAGGATTGATGCGTACAAGAGCTGGTGTCAGATCGGCCTTGATGACATGAGGAGTGACGACCATGGAATGGAAAGCCGGAACCTTGGTGAACCTCTTCTCCATAGACTCCTCAAGAGCACCCTCAAAGCTGAGAACACTGTCGGGAAGTTTCCTCAGCTCATCGAGATATCGTGGAGATATGACCAATCTATCCTCGGTACCATCGGCCGTGGTGATTCGGAAGCCTGTGAAGGACTTGCATTTCTTACACCCCCTGAGATAGAGTTCCTTGCCATGCGCAAGATAGTAGTCCCGTCGTGCCTTTGCATTACCAATCTCCTCTCCAATCAGCGGAATCTGTGAAAGTGGATTTTTGGTGAGCAGACGTAAGGACAGGATAAACGCTGAACAAATAAAAGTGATGGTCGAGATGATGGGCACGTAGTCACCGACGCAAGTAAGTAGTTGGCTTTCCATCATCATGACCGTGTGATTAGGTGTCTGAGTATAGCGCAGCAAAGGTCGAAAGAGTGCTCAAGAGAGGACTATTAGTTAACATAAATAGACAAGTAGACACAATAGATCCTACGGAAAATGATCTGAGATGGTCAGAGTAGACAAACATCTCACTAGTCTCGAGTGACGCAAATTAGTATGGTGCGACAACAGGTATCATTGCGAATAAACTGTGTCCACGCGGTATTCAGGATGATAACAGTCATAGTTCTCTTCCGATTGGCGATGATCTAGCAAGATGGTTGCCTTGTGGCACATATATGGTATAGTGTTGACCTCGGCCAAGGCGCGCGTTGAGTTGGGATCCATGCGTTGGCTGGTGATCTGTGATGCCCAGTCGTGATCTTGTAGGGCAGTATGGGGAGTTTTCATGGGACTTCTGCCGTCTGTGTGTCCTTAGTATAGTTTCTAGGATATGTTAGGCTTAAGCGTCAATTAGGAGCGAATGCTGCTTGAACTTTAGTTAGTGTCAAGGTTAATGTATCTGATGGACGATTTTTCCTGACTACAACAAGAACCTGTGGAGGCGCAAACACTACTCTATTTAGTTAGCATTGATGGCTGAGAATGTCCTTGTTATGCGAAAGAATGTTCTTTCCACTGAGGAAGGTTTCTTATCCTTGCGTAGGCAGTAGGCACAGCCCCGGTGTGGCACCCAAAACCCTCCTGGGCGACACCCGAAGGTGTCTTCAAGGGTGAGTGTGAAGTGCGAGATCCGCGTATGAGGAGAGCCCTGGATTGTGTGCTACGATATGTAGCGTAGCAGAAACTCCTTTTCGAAACAAGGATTCTTATCCCTACTTAGTCGCGATCGTCACCTATATACGACTAGTAATCTGTGAACAACAACAAAGTACTGACTGCACAGTACAAAGCTAAGATCGATCTTGACCCACCGACAAATTTTACGCCGGATACCATAGTGGGCGAACAAACTCACTCATGTGCATGAATTTGTGAACCAATCACAATTAATGTTAAGAGGCCCGCCTATTTTAGCCTCATCGACTTGGTTCGGAAATAACGCGGCCAATTGAAACCGTGTGACTTTGCCCTACAGAAGTTAGTTCGGGCGGCCATCTCACGTAAGATGGTACATTAGTAAATATACTCGGATACTATCCGAAGGACCGAGGGAGAGCTAAGATCTACTAGATAGAAGTAGAGAACTATAGTATGAAAAAGTAGGCTACGCGATGTTTATAACATGTTACTGTATTGCAAGGGATACCCTAAAAAGCTTGCTCAGACCCCCTTATTCAGACCCTCAAAGGGCGTGATGGTCTGTTTTCAGCGTTTATATCGTTTATATCAATCAGACCTGCCGCTAGCGCCGATTCAGGTCTAGTCCTTACCTCAAAAGGTAATCATTAAGCACTGACAACAAAGCTAAGACCTTGCCCCACTGATAATCATTTCCCCAGTTCACTAACATTCATATGTGGGTGATGCCTCTAGGCTCTAGCACAGGTCAATAAGCACATAAAGCGAATACGAACGCGAGATTGAAGATCCCCAGGTGAACCTTAGCAGTAAAACGGCTAAAGTAGCAGCAGCCACCTACACAAGACGACCATCAATTCGTTGTGGAATTTGGATATGTGCTTAATAACGACGTCTTGGCTTGATCACAAGACAGTGTGACGAGATGTCGTCAAGTCGGTAAGATACTGGCTAGCTTTGCTGATGTCTGGATACACGTTCCTTCATGTCCGATCACACTGTAGCAGGCGACTCACCAAACCGACCTTACCGAAACGGATTCTAAAACTGCCGTGTGGCCGTTATCGTATGGCATCTACTAGCTCCTGCTCAAGACGTTTGTCCAAGAATGTTCCACGGCCATGGCTCTCTGATCGTGAGGCAGGTATCATGTCCGAATGGGTGTTAGTTTCTGTCGAGGCTTCACACTTTCCGATCTTGGTCGAGGGCTTATGTACGCCCAATGGCGTTAGAAGAACAACATCCTATGCTAACGGCCCCTTCTTAGGCCTCCTTGCTCTGGGTTTATGGTATCTCTTGGTGACGAAAAGAGACTGGCGATAAGCCTCACGAATGGTTCCATAGCCTATAACGGTGCTATGTATAGAATTGGTCTCCTCAACTAAGTATAGTTAATTTCGAATTTCGCCCTGGCCAGTTCCACTTCTTCTGAATGCAGACAGAACGACCTCCGTGACGTAGAGAAAATGACAAGAGCGAAGCGCTGACGTACGTATGAACGCAGGCCCAAAGGAAGCCAGGGTTCATGGACGGTAGAGCATCGGAGGGTCACACAGACAGTCACACGTAGACGAAGCGACAGACGACACAATTGACGAAGTGCACGTCTGGTACTGAACGAAGTGACGTGTCGACTTAACCATGGATCGGAGCTTTCCGCTGTGGTTTCATATCGTGTACGACTCGTTTATTCGAAAGAGTAGGATGATCCATGTGTCTCTGTTGCGCGTCTTGGTCAATCATGGAGGAAAGAGTGCTCCCGCATCTCTTAGTACATCACTTGACTGGAAGCGCATCGAAGTTTCTCCTTCGTTGCCGATATAAAAGAATTACTATGTCTATCATGAGACTAAGCGTGTTCTTCAGTCGCTCTGACAGCACTTGTAAGGAACGCATTTGGGGCTCGACTAGTAGTCACCGAGGACTGTAGTATCTTGAAGCTCGTTTCACTTTGCCGGCACTTCCGTAGAACAAGTGACTGTCTAACTCCTTCTAATACTCATCAGGCAGTTCGTCACAGTCAGTGACGGCAGTCTTAGACGTATGTGAAACTTCCCCCTAGAAGATATCGGCGCAACCGTGCTCTGATAGCAGATTCTTCAGCTCTCTCTTGACGGCTGAGCTGAAGGAAGGTCTCTAGCTAAGCCCTTTACATGCCTGTCTACACTCAGTTTTAAGTGTACGTGCACATTGTCGATAAAGAGCGGCTGCAATACCAATGATTAGGGCTAGCATGGTGAGAGGATTTACAGTCTACTACACAACCACTAAGAGGACTCAAACCACAGGTGTTCCCAGAGCGAGGACACTAGCAACGAAATCTTTGAACTGTCAGGAACACGTCCAGGTCTTGATTTGACGATGAGATTGTGAGGTCTTTAGGGGGCTGTACAGCCTGGTGTTCTAAGATGCATGCATGCATGCGCACATCAGCTGGTGTCGATCTGCTGACTCTCACGATCTGTGAGAGCAATGGATGCAGCTTGAGTACAGTGAGCATCCTGAGAGGGTACGGCGTAATTTATAAACTCTGAGTGTATTTATAGCGAGTCGTCCTGAGTGTGCCAAGGATTTGCAAAGGTGGAGTTAGAACACCCTGCAATCGCCACATATCACACCCATGATCTTATTCGGTGAGAAGTCTATCGCCTAATCACGCCATCGTCAGCCTCCAACGTAACATCCTACTCGTTTGTGACTTCGTCAGTAGACAAAGTAGAAACAGACTTTGAGAGCAGAGTAGCACACTCAACATTGATTGCAATACTTCTAGACATCTTTACCTACCAGAACATAGAAAGCACGATGAGACTTTTCACAAGCTTTATGCTCTGCGTGGCGATCCATCTGGCTACCTCTTATCCTCACTCCCGCTATGCCAACATTCTCAAGAGGCGGTCTGATGTACAAGACAAATACGACTATGTCATAATCGGTGGCGGTACCGCTGGGCTTACCGTAGGCGACCGCCTGTCTGAAAATGGCAAACGTAGGTTCTTGTGGCAATGAGATATCATATACTAACAAGGAAAAGACACAGTACTAGTAATCGAGGCTGGCGCCTTAGATGATCAGAGCGGATTTCCCGGAAATACAAACTCTAGCCGAATGTTCAACATCCGGTCCACTTCTCAGCGGGAGCTGAACAACCGCGACTTCTGGGTTGGTATTGGAAAGGTTGTTGGAGGAAGCTCGAACGTTAACGGACAAGTGTTTCTTCGAGGCACTAAGGAGGAGTACGATATATGGAAGAAGCTTGGTGGTCCTCACTCCACTTGGGATTGGACAGGACTACTACCATACTTCAAAAGGGTGAGCTGGAATACACTCAAGATGATAGTTCTGTGCTGATAAGACAGGCTGTTCATTTCACGCCTCCTGATCCTGGTATTGCAAAGGAGTTCAATATCACATACGACCTGAACGCCTGGGGTCAAGACCCGAGGGCCAAGATATACGCCACCTTCTCCAATACCTTTAAAGCAGGCATGAGTATGAGATTATACATACCAGTCATGTTATCGATCAACGCTTATACTCAATACAGAGATACTGTATAATGCAATGAGGAACATGCCTGGAGTTGATGTACCCATAGACGGGGCCGGGGGTGCAAACGGTCTCTTGTGGTTCACGACTTCTATGGATCCAAAGACGTACTTACGGTCGTATGCCAGGACTGGCCACTGGGACGGGCTTAATCGTACCAATTATGAGCTCATTCCCAACACACGAGTCTCGAAGCCCATATTTGAAGGAACCGCAGTAATTGGCGTTGAGTATGGACCGGCGACTCATGGCGTAAAAAGAACGGTCAGGGCTATGAAGGAAGTTATTCTCGCTGCAGGCACAGTACATACTCCTCAAATACTTCAGCTTAGCGGCATAGGCCCTGAAGCATTACTCGAAGAAGCCAACATCACCGCGAAGGTCAATCTCCCAGGTGTGGGCATGAACTTCCAAGACCACAGCTACATCCCTAGTATCAGCTACTCCTGTAAGTCTCCTAGTCATCAGTATGAAGAGCATGACCTGAAATTCAACAGGGGGTAAAGTACCACCAGAACCGCCACTGAACCACACGATCCCCATAGGCGGATCAAATCCTGTCCTTGGAGCTTTTCTTGGCTTGCCTGCGATTACACCTAACAATTATGAAATTCTGGCAAACAGATTCTCCTCGCAAGCACCAGAGACATATCTTCCTGTAAATGTGCACCCAACAGTCGTGGCAGGTTACGCCAAGCAGAAGCAGATCTGGGCTGAAGCGATGCGCTCAAAAGGCGTGACGTTCCTCGAATATATAATGTCGGACGGTCCTGGTGGGTCTGTACAAAATTTACATTGCGCATCCCGAGGCACAATCATGATCGATGTAGCAAACCCACAGGGCGAGATGATAGTTGATTATCGTGCGGGCACCAATCCGATCGATATCGATGTCATGGTAGAGAACATCAAGTTCATGCGCCGCTTCATGACTACCGGGGAGCTAGCACAGTACGAAGCTGTGGAACTGTCGCCTGGTATTAGCTTTGATGACGATGAGAAGCTTGCTGGGTGGGCGAGAGAGCATATTATCCCCTCAGTCTTTCATCCTGTGGGTACTGCGGCCATGATGCCGCGAGAGCTGGGTGGTGTTGTCGATGACAAGCTGCTTGTGTATGGGGTGCAAGGTCTCAGCGTTGTTGACGCGAGCATTATGCCTACCATTGTCGGGGCTACAACTTCCATGACTGTGTATGCTGTTGCAGAGAAAGCTGCAGATATGATCAAAGCTCGAGCTTGAACCCGATAGCTCTACTATCGAGTCGCAATAATGGATAAACAGCTCTCTCTGTAGGTCGCTATTCACTTCAACCACTGGTATTATGCAAAATCGAGTGACGGTAAGACAGGGTCCTCCTAGTCTTCTAGATCAAATTCTTGGGTTCGATTTTTCTTACAGTGCCTGTAGCATCGAGGCCAAGTCGAATGTCTACCACATCGCTACCTTGTGTAAAATCAAATTATCTCTTCATTGTGTATTCTCTTTTGCGTTTTCGGGGCTTCCATCCTGAGAAGCATCCTTCCCACCTTTCGATAGCCCGGCTGCGCGCGACCCGGCACTGATCTTATTTGTCCGATCAGCCATTTCCCTTGTGTCTTTTCTATTGACCTCTTCCTTCATCTCAGTCACCTGACTGGCGTCGTTCTTCATTGCTCTCTCCTTTTCACTATATTCTCGATGTTTCTCCTCGTACAGCTCCTCCTCCTTGCCCTCCTGTTCCTCAATCTCGGCCTCCTCTACGTTGATATCTTCGAAACCAATCTCTCTTAGTATGCGCCCACTGAGATACCGATACTGCAAGTGATTCTTGACCAAGTTGCTCACGTCGATATTTTCTACGCCAGACACGCCTGAAATCGCCTGTAGTCCTGCGACACCGTATTGAATGCTGCTCGTGCGGTACAAAAACCCTAGCATGTAGTCATTTGTCGAGTACGCGTTGACTACACGTCCGCTAACGACTGCGCGCATACGACGCCAGTCAGATGCTGTACTGGGCGTCGGGGCTCCCAGGAGGGCTACGCTTTCCACTAGCCCAAACGCTTTGCGGTCTGCCAGTGTTTGTAGGCACTTGTAGATGACGCGCGCACCCAGCGAGTATCCGACTAGTGTGACAGGCCGCTCGCCTTGAGCTTTGTTGATCAATGCGTCCGCGAGAACTTCGCCTGCCTTCTCACTTCGGCTACGCGCGACACTAAATGGGTTGTCCAAGATGCGCGACACCTTTAGCAGACCGATAGGCCACAGACCGGCAGTCAAAGACGCAAGAATGGTTCGCTTCATGATCTCGCTCTTTGCAAAACTCCATGCTGCGCTCTTCACAAGTGTGCTGATGCTGTTGCCTAAAGCCAACAATGCCTCAAGCTCGTAGCGCAGCGCAAAACCTTCAATACTGGGCCCAATAATGCGCCACGGCGTAACAACCTCGGACTTGTCAGTGAGCCAACCCGAGATACCGATCGCGACTCGCAGGCGCCGGGACTCTTCTTCAGCCTTGCGCGGCCGGTGGATATCTTTCACTGGAATAAATGCAAAGTCACTGACCTCTTTTGCGTACTGATCCATCATCTGGCCGGTCATACGTGCTCCGTACGCGCCGAAGAGACCGCCCACAAGCACCGATGAACTAGCCAATGCCCCTAGATAACCCGCAGCAGCTGTAGCACCCAGCCCGAGCCCACCCATGACAGAACCTATACCAGCTGCCAGAAGAGGTGCGGCGAGTCCCCCAGTGATACCAATCACAGCGGCACCTGCGACAGAGGCCAGTCCAACTTTCCACTTGCGCGCAGACTTGTTCTCATTAGCCTTCGTCTTGGTCTCCTCGTCGGCGTTCATTTGTTTCTGCGCGGCCTCGAGGAGACCGCGCGCAATCTGAGTTTCGTGCTCTGCGAGGAAAGACATAGAGAGGTTGAGGCTGGTCGTCAGGCGAAGTAATAGAATACGAGAGTGTGCAGAGTAGTGCTCGAGACTGAGCATTATGAGCAGGATAGAGTGTAGGACTAGGGCTCTCTTCTCCTTAGCCATCTGAGTCAGTGGTGTATCGACGACAGGATAGAGTTTCTTCATCGCCGCCTCTGCAGCATCGCCAGGCTGCACTTCATCTTGTATCAAGCGCTCATGTTGGTTTGGCGAGTCTGAACATGATAACTCGTGTGCTTGCTTTTGTGCTGTCTCTTTTGCATTGATGGTTGACCCAAGTCTTGTCACTACGCTGTCCCTCCAGTCGTCAAAGTATTGCAGCGCATCGGCTTGGAGTTCTTGCATTCTGGGAGTAGAAAACCCTTTCTCGCGACGGTCTGGGTCTTGGCATTCTTTGTTGGTAACCTCGACCTCTAAAATAGCAGGGCCGACATTAATGTTCTGCAACGCGTCGTCCCCTGTTACATTGGGGGTTTGATCGGCAGGATTGCCTGTATGATTTGGACCAAAAGTGTTTATCAATGACTCACGCATGACTTCGGTGCATGCCACTACAAGGAGAGTCAGTTCACCTCGTAGTTCAGCGGTTTCAAGAATTGACGTGAGACTTTGTCCATCTTCATGAGATCCTGCTGGTGAAGCCTCCTCTCTAGGGGACCATGGTAGGTTTTTTAACATCTTTGATGTAGATGCAACGTAACCTACGGTGCAGCTGGACAAAAACAAAACGTTGCGAAGGTTTCTTGTCGCAGGTAGTTTAGTCCATACTACTCGCAATTCGTGTCAGACGTGTGCTCTATGACGTAACGCGTATGGATTACAAGTCTCCAACCTAAGCTAGAGTAGCGTAGCTTTCAGTGGGAAGTGGGGCTGGAACCAGATTGCACCCTACCACTTACTTACATAGTCGACATCCAGTATAATGTGGCGGTGTTGTCAAGCATGCTGATGTCGTAAAGCAGTGTAGTCAGAACTCGAAGAGGTTCAATTACGACTATGACAATGACATATTCCTGCGTGATTCTATGACAAACTTACACAGCGCTGAGCGAACATACCATATCTCGCTACCCAGAGTAATCCATAAGGTCAACTAGACTCAAACTCAGGAGAAATCTTCTTGCTTGTTCTGGATATTCTCCTTGATACGTCTCAGTATCGCTGTCTTCCAGTCGTCAAGCTTAGACATCTATCATCTTTTAACACTGTATTCGCAAAACGAAGCTCTTCTCAACATACCTGATCAAACAAATACAAGGCCTCAGAGAAAGCCTCATCATTGCCTTCATTTGCGGCCTCAGCCAGGTCAACAAGAAGTTTGTGCTCTCGTGCAATCGCGAAGTTGTTGTCAAGTGCTGCATACTCTGTAAATGCGTTGGTTGCTCCCAGTGTATCCTGTATATGCGTCAGGAATTTTTAAAAGGGTGTCTCAAATTGACCTACATTGGTAGCAAGGTGACAGATCCCAGCTTTGAAGAGATATTCCTTCGATGACATGTTAGGTTCTACTTCCAAATGCGATCAAAAGTCGACCTACTTTGACACTATATCGCATCAAATTGTTGGAGATGGATTGCTGCCGGATGTTAGTCATTACATAGCCATTCAACAGTCAGTCCTACCTTGGCGACTTCGACGTAGTACCCAATGGCCTTGTAGTAGTCTCCTGCCAGTGCTGACAGATCTGCCGCCTTCAAGAAGTTCTTGTTGGCAAGTCTGTAACTATATCAGTGTTTTGTCGACTAAAGTGGATAATTTACATACGCGTCTGCGTTATCGTTCTGGTACCCCATCGCTGGTTTGTGTTAAACCCTGATGGATCAACAAGTCGTCGCCTTACCTGCAGTTTCATATTCTGCTAGGGCCCGCTACAAGTAATGTCAATATTGATCAGAACGTGGTATGTATTCACATACTTCATTGTCACCTAGTTCGATCTCATAGAGTTTCGCAAGGTCTTCACTGACTGGTATACACATGAGCATGTCAGTGATCTAACCGGGTGGTCTATGAGAGACTGACACTTTGAAGCTCTTCGGAGATTGGTCTTTTTGAAATGATCAATAACCTGGCGGAGCGCACCGGCAGCAAGCTCCGGATGTGTCTTCCTCCATGTCTGCGGAATACATGAGTGAAAACGTTTCCATCGATCAGTAGGTGCGTACGTTGAAAGCCTCTACACGCATATTCTAATGACAGTCAGAAGAGCTCAGGAATAAGATTTGTGGACGTACGGCAGCCTCATTTTCCATGTCTCTCATCTTGGTCTCATAGAAGGTCGCCAGGAACAGAAATGTGTCGCCTTGGTAAGGTAAGTGCCAAATCATATTATCAATCACGGCAACAGCGAAGCTCACCAGCCTCCTTATCTGCACAGTAGTGATTAGTGACTGTCACCTTGTGGCCATTGTAATGCTAACGAACATTGATGTTGAAGGCGGTATGCATTCGCAGCCTACGTCAAATCTGTGAGTACCGCCTTCGTGAGCACGTGAGCATCAGCCCTACCTCTCTGTATTTCTGTCCCGCCATGTCATCTGAAAGCTATTAGCTACAGTCTTGGATGGCTGTAAGCGGCTTCAACAGTTGTCTTCTTGGCTTCCTTTCATTTTGCTACTCAGATTATACCAAGCCACTGGTTTCGCCAGGGCTTCTGCCTACATCGCATATTAACACTCGGCGACCTAAATTCGTCGAGTCTACAGACCTCTTTGATAAGAACTCGTGGATCCGACATCGTGAAAGTAGTGTTAGTATGCAACTTGAAAGTATGGAGCTTGGGTGGGAGCAAATTGAGATACTTTACGATTCTATGTTTGGACAAAGAGGCGATAAAGGTGGAGGCCTGGGCTAGAAGTGGTGCTTGTGCATGCGGCACGTGATAAATCCTGCTAACGATTTAGCGTTCGTCTAATACTAACCTCAGCTCATTCGATTGTGTTTTTTTCAACGTGCATCATCAAAATTGGCAAACATCTACACCTTCTGTCGCGTATGCTAACTCTCAGCTCACTCTTCTCACTCTCCAGACGGTGATCTTCACTAAACAATGTTCTTTATGGTACGAGAAACAACAGTAAGGCCCCTCTTCACGACAATACGTCAGAATAGTCATGTCAGACAACTGTCCACGGTTCTTCCGTTGGGAAGTGAGATACTGCCCCGTATCGATGTTACAAAACTGCTTGCGACACCAACGTGGTCTGTGAGAGCTATATTACCGTCTACGTCCGCAAAAGCTACAGCTCCCGCGATTACATCCGCCCAATTACATCACCTATTACGTCTCTCTGCTTTACCTCTGCCGGCGTCGGATAAGGATGAACAGGATATGATGCAGGCATTAGAGTCTCACATTCATTTTGTGAAAGACATACAACGAGTGGAAACCAACGTAACTGTGCCTTTGCGTGCACTACGGGACGAATCTGAAGCCGCAGAGCTCCGGAACACAATAGACATGGGCGCACTCAAAGAGGCTCTGGAAAATGAGGAAGTTATCGGGAAGCACCATAAACGTATCAGGCGACGATGCTCCTCCACCGTCGTCGACACCTGGAATGTAACGGGCTATGCGGAACGCATTGCTGGGAAACATTTCGTCGTGCATTCGGAAAAGCTACCAGGATCATGAACATGCTACTGCGCGTATATCTCACCTCCCGATCTCTCACCCGGCACCTCTGAGGACCATCGAAGCATATTGGAATAAAGCAGGTAGAACGACAAGAGTGGGCCTCGAACAATATGTACAAACACTCTCAGTACACTGCTTGTCAAATGTCTCGATAAATTGGTTAGATCCACTATACGCTATCTCGAGTAACAACGACAACCAGTGGCGGATGAGTGCGACTAAGTTCGCAACTTATTGAAGCTACCTTGAGCTCCTGGACCGAACAACTAGCCAACGTGCTCGAAGTATACCAAAGCCAAAACTCTATCTTCGATGGGGAAAGGACTGTGTGCCCTTTGATTCAACACAATTTGCCTTCGGTAGACTACCTGCAATCGTCTTACTTATCCTCTGAGTTTTTCAATACCTTCGAACAACTCGAACATGACTGTTTGAAAGCATCACAAAAGCAGAACAGACCGGGCTCTAGAACCGGTATATCTGGTGTTTGCAGCCTTTCAAATCGAGGTGTGGGCGGCGGAAGTGGCAGGCTATCGTCGAGTCCAAAAGTCTGATGCCCTAAATCGTGCCTCCCCACTTTCGAATCATGGATTTCACGATCGACCTCTTGGCTTTTCAAGAAACACATCAGAGCTCGACGAGGTGTGTCAATACGTCCGCGGCCCGTCAGAGGAACCCCTTTATACAAGTCACGTGGCTGATCGGCCACCTCAGCCCTAGACGACACTCTCTCACTTATCTCTGGCTGCGTAGTATCTGGATACGCTAATGGGAAGAAATGGTTTACTGAAAGTCTAACAGTACTCTCTGGTTCGTTGTATACGTTGCTCGACAGCTCCGCTGCTGAATATCGGCTTCCTAGCAGTGGGCCACAATGTTCGGTGGTGAAGCTTATCTGTCCGTTGACGCACTCCTGTTGACGAATATTTATGTTTTGACGTTCTATGGTCGACGCATGTGCATTGGTTCTGACCATGGTCACGGCAGAAGGAGACATTGAAGTATGTGGAGAAGAATACTAGAGTACGACGCACCAGTCACGATGCAAATTGTTGCAGTCGATTCTGTGGTGACTGGAAAGATATTTTGTGGTGGCTGCATTCGGACGCTGATGGGATGGAATGGAAAGAGAAGTGCGAAGAGGAGGGGGGACAGGCTGTGTTTATAGGTAGGTGCAATGCGCTATGAGGAACACCCTAATTAGCCTTGGCATCTCGCATCTGATTCGAACTCAGAATTACTCACAGATCATCAGCATTTACAACTCATACTAGTAGGCTATGGCTTGCATGAGCTAGCGGTACAAAGTTCAGATTATTTCTTCTCCATGTAACCATTGCTCGAAGTCGTTGAGTCCGATACCGACACCTCGAAATGTCCCTTCATGTCACACTCACACCCTAGTCTTGCCTCGATGTAAAACTTACAAATCTTCTTACAATGTCTGGAAAGATTCATGAATTATCTAGCTCTATTTAGGATATTCTACCAAGTACCACAGTATGATCGTCACTCCCCAGCATTTCTTCATCCTCGGTGATACATGCAGCTTCACCAGTCCGAAGCCTTCTACCTAAATGAGTTTGACTCAACGTGAAAGAACAGTACACTTGATCAACCGGTGCCTCCACTAATGCAATCGATATATTGATAGTGCTACGGTTAGTGTCTCCATAAAGATCTGTAGAAATACTAGGCCACTCTCAGGCAGCCGCTCTCAAAGCACATGTCCGTGAAGCCGTTGAGGTACCTATGGTCTAGGCAATGTTGACGCATTAGTTGAAACAAAAATAGAGATCATAGTGTGCTAGAATTCATGACTAGATGACTTCGACTGATGACAAGTATTCAGATTCAATAAGCCAGCTAAGCCCGCGTGGAAAAATTCATGAAGTGATAGACATTGTTGGATATTCCACATATTGACATGACTATTATCTTTAGCAATCAGGTGCCTTATGAAATGCCACCAAGTATACACCTATTATAGTGTCATCATGCATTTAACGACTCGGGCATGCTCAAGACCTTTACTACCATAGGACCGAAAGCTAAAAGTAATCACGCAATGTAACAAAATCTAGTGGGATACAACCAAATCCAGCTACTTGGATATCCACAAATGTCGGTAACACGCGGTCATTCTCCGCATGGGCCATTGGACCAACTGGCAGCCATAACTATTCGCAACATTGAGTCGGATATGAAGGGTAGGCTCTGGTAGAAGGATAAGCCGCCTTAACAATGTCCTTACGGCGGCATTCACCTCTATGTGTCAACCTTGTTCACGTTACCTGCACTGTGACACACTGATCATTGTTCTCAAGCAATATGCATGGATCTACGCGTTGTTTACGCGCAGCTTTACTCTTACCTGTCTTCTCCTGGTCGCTCTCGTTTTCTCACTTAATCTATCCCAACGATCGCTTGGTGCCATCATACCTTATCCATATGGCAAAACTTTCTACAGCCATGACTTCTCACTACGGAAACCCCAGACATGTCACGAAGCCTGCCAAACACTCGGATTCCATCGACGGGGCGGACATCGAGTGGAGAAGATTCGTGAGGACACTTATACGCGTTGCCCTGTTGCTCTACATGACTATGACCGCTGTACTGTATTGGTTTGCCTACGACTGGCGTTGGATTTTCTACGAACTCAACAAATGGTTCCTCACCGCTCACTTGAGCGTCGCCTTTTACGCTTTCCTGCGGAACGAAGGTATAACTGACCTAGCCCTGAAGGCCATCTATGACGCAGTCCCAGTCGTTTTTGAATGGATACACAGCGCTAGGCGCATCTACCAGTGGTCGACTGTATCCATCATTAGTCAGTTGACAGCACGATGGGAGTATCTCGCCACAATGTGCGAGAATGCAGTACCCGGCTGGGCTGTCATGGTATGGCACAGTCGTGTATTCTCCTTGGTCAAGTGCAGTCTAAGATTGGTATGGCTTAGTCCACAAGCTTCGGATGTGGACGCATTCATATTGGCATGGAGGAGGCTCTGGTGGAAGAACGAGAAGACTGAGACTACCCCACCTTCATCACCTCTGATACAAAACACCCCAGGCTATTTCCCGGTAGACCGAGCATCCAGTCCAGCCGATGACGAAAGTCTCCTCGAACAAACGCGATGTCCCAAAGAGCTACCATACGGTGAGTTGACTTATCCCTCTATCGGGAGGCCACTACCGGAAGTTCCAGTGGAAGCATCTACAGGCCGCACAGGTTCCACGGCTTTCATGTATTTCGATTCTCAGAGACGCTAACGGCATCATATCCAGCTTCTATAGGCCCTGATAGCCCCGAAATGTCGAAGATAATTATCTCACCTACGTCTTCAGCCCTCCAAGGCGCAACTCCGACCTACAGTGTGGACTATTCGATGGTAGGCGCTCTTGACGTCCCCCTCGGCGAGACTGCTGACGGCATGTCCTCTCGAGACAAGCTGACTCCGGCATCGCGATCAGTGCTATGCGACTACGCCTGGAAGGGACAAGGACCGCCGCAGAAGAGTGACGCAAGGAACAGGATTCAAGACATCTTGGAGGTCGACACATAAAAGTAACTTCGCCGAGTGATTCGCCACATGTTTTTCCTGTGGCGGGGTTGTTGTGCGAAAAGAACATGATGACTCGCCTGTACATCGTGTCATTTTCGCTACGGATGTCGCTATGCTATGACAGTAAGTCATATTGGACTGCTGATCTGCTATACTTAATGTAGAAAGGAAATTCTTTTGTCTATACCAAAGAGCTGTGCCAGATGCATGACGTTACCATAGATTTTGTGTGTCCTCCTAACAATGCTTGATAGCAACGCAAAGTACATGGGAAGAATGCCTCTTGATCGTGACACTTCTCTGAGATCTATCAATACGTCGCCGGCAGCATTCCTATCCTCCCACCATCCGAGATCTGGATCGATCCATTCATATACGCGGCTCCGGGACTCATCAAGAACATTGCCAGCCCTGCAATATCCTCCTCGGTCCCTGTCCGCTTCAAAGGACAAATTTGCGCTGGCAGATTCCCCTCGATCCGCGGATTATTATTCTGCATCCACGGCATATGCTGCACCATCTCCGTCGGATAGGCCCCCGGCGCGATACCATTACACCGTATCATGTAGGGCGCAAGACACGTCGATAGTTGTTTTACTATATGCGTCGCTGCACACTTGCTGATGCTATAGGCGAAGCCATTTGCAGGGCTACGACTATAAGCGGCAATTGAGGTAGTGATAATGACTTGCGCCTTGGGTGCGGGAGTGCCAGTGGACTTCGTGTTGCCGGAATCAAGGAGGTCGAGAAATGCAACAGCGGTGTAGAAAGCGCCGCTGATGTTGATCTCCAGTGTTGAAGTGAAATCTTCCATTGGAGTCTGCCATAGTGTTGACTGGAGCTCGCTCAGCCCCGGGACTCGTCCGTCGGCGAACAGTTCGTATGTGTTAGGGCCAATGGAGCCGTGATTGATAAATAAGACGTTGATGTAGCCCTGCTCAGTCCTTACTAGCTCTGCCGCCGCCGCGATCGAGCCCTTGGAGCTGACGTCTGTGACAATGGGTATTATGCTGCCATTTTTGGCATTCTTGGCGGTTTTACTGAGGGCATCTGCGCGACGTCCAAGAATATATATAGCTTTGGCACCATTCCACTGAAAGGCATAGAGTGGCAGTTAGTGAAGTCCTCCGTCGCAGGCATATAATTGAAATGATTGAACCTCACGTCAAGAGCTTGGGCTACAGCTGCACCCATGCCAGATCCTCCACCTGTGATGACAACTACGAGGTCTTTCACGCTGAACAAAGTATTCGTGTCATAATTCGGAGCCATTATTAAGGTTAGTAGGCAGAAATACTAAGAGTTATGTTCCGGAACTATGTAAGAACCCGCGGTGTCACCCTGTATAGGCTGCAGATAAGGCATTGAGACATACTTTTTTTTTAATATCAGTTAGTGCGTTGTCGTGTATCGCAAGAGAGGAAATAAGCGCTCCTGTAAAAGTCAGTCTCGATCATGCACGCTTACGTCAGACGACCTTTGTACCGCATTTACTTACTCTGGTGCTTATTCCGGTGCTCTAAGCCTGCAATACAGGATGTCTCTTGACAGCAGGTAATGATCAGCTGTATGTTCGTACTTTCTGCATCATATTTAGGCGTGGTAAGAATCATTGATTTGTCATTGCATGGGTCAAACATCCAAAACAGGTCTCTCCAGCCGGGTGTCTACTCAGCAAGCAGTCATTTGGCCTTGTAAAATCCAGATCTTGCCTACCATTATCGAAAGGATATATCTTTTAGATTAGGAAGGTATAATACTCTGACCAACTTGATGCCCAGGACTCCACATGAGAATGCATCGGACATTCTTGTTCGTTCAGCATCGGATCATTCCTCGTGCATCCAACTAGTACGCATCCATCATTTTAGACGGGATGCTCGCATGGAGAACTGATCACCTGACAGGATTCGCAATCGATTCCAGGTCCGATAGGCAGATGCACTCTGATCACGAAACTAGCTGCTTTGGTCTGCTTCTAGGATACCCTGGCTGGTCTCGTAGTTCGAAGCTTTGCCGAGAACCTCTGGAGGGTATATATTCCCTTGCATGTTGGAAACACGAGGACTTGAGGGTAAATCTGAAGCCTGTAAAGCATGGTGAGCATAGATTCGGAGAAGACTGCCATTAATCAATGGATCAAATGAGCCAGTTTTCCGGTTCACACCTTCGGAAGCAAAAGCTTCTATGGTATAGAAAAGGCCGATCTTGTCCCCAGACGAGTTGCTCTGAGCAAGACCAGCTGCAATCAAGGTCACAATGTCTTACCAGGTCTCCAGGTGCATCTTGCGTACGTATGCCCAGGTACGTGAAGTCCATGCGAGTAAAGTGTGGTCGCGAGCCGTCAGCGCGCCGGAAGGTCGATGACCACAGGTCTCGTCTTCCAGGACTAGTACTTGCGTACGTTTTGGCACACCGCTTTGCGATGTACGATTGTGCCAACGTCCATATTCACCAGGGCTCGTCGCGACACCAATTTAAAACATCGGTTCTTTTTCCAATGACATAGCTTGGTCTCGCAGCAAAATCGCCATAACTGTCGTATCAGCTGTAACATGCATGCTATCTAACGCGACCAAACCGTCCTTGATGCTTTCTAAGAAACATGCGGTTTGGTAAGCTGCGCTGCAAGTTGAGCCTAGTGAGAGACTTTAGTATCTCGGCGTCGAGTGCGACCGCTGCGGAAACTGTGGGATGTATAATATGTCGGACAAGGCTGGCGATAAAGATAAAGCAGGCCGTGTGAGCCTCTGCCGTAACGGGCTCCAGAAAGTGTGTCAGGACAATAGGACAAGAACAGCGCCAATCAAGTAGTTGCCCAGAAGGCGACCAGGCTAAGAGTACTGAGCTGCCGTCTGACCAACATGCATTTCAGAGGACTGCTACATAGTCCTAGCAGCAATGAAAGAGGACAGGCTTCGGATGGATCATGATCTTTGAGGTGCGCCAGATTACGAATGCCGTTAGCGCAGAGATACTGCGGCAACTACCGGTTGATGGCGTGAATCGCGATACGGCAATGTCTCATTCATAATCCGTAGCCTTCTGAATCTTTGTTGTCGAATCGCATCACAGCGATTGACAGGAAGCTGCGCTACACCGGTACTTGTCCACAAGTCCAGCTTGACTACGATCGGGCAACAACGCCGCCGTCATTGGTATTCGAGAATCCGATTTCGTTCCTCTGTCGTGGCTGAACGTTATCGAAAGTGCAACTGTTGGAAAGGCGTTTCTGTGGACCGGCCATTCCGACGAAGAGCCTCCAAGAGAGGGCGAAGACAAGGATCACTGCTGTGGCCTGCAGAAGATCTCCACTCGAGGCTGCAAGTCCGCACGAGGTGCTCGAGATCGGCGCTGCATGCAGGTGCTTTCTTTAGCGTATAGCGTTTCGGATGGATCATGGAACCATTGGAACGAGGCGACGGAATATGCATGGATCTCTGAAGTCGCGTTCGCTGCAGTCTTTGAATGTTGGCGTACATGATGCAGCTCAACAAGGCGCAAACCGTGCATGCCTGACACTTATGTTCATCGCGTGATGAGTCGAAGATGTCCGCCTGATAACATAACACGGATCTGGACTTTATTTGCCTGATGCAGCGTAGCACAAGGTGGATGGAGTCGTAACTGGTCGGAAACCTTTATACACGAGACATTGGCGTCCTGATTCTGCTTCGGACTTTGACGTCGCCGACCTCGGTCTAGATAACGCCAGGGCTAGCTGGTAGAGGTCCGCCAGTCCGGATAAATGTCCATTTGTCGGGGCTTGCTGTCTCTTTGAATCTCTCGCTGCTGCGACCCAGAAATCGAATTTTTGATACTCCGCGGGATACATCCCTCGGACACATCTGCTCATGCTGGGAAAGTCCATCTGAATGTCTCGTGTTGCAGCCAGATGAGTTCTGTTGCATGTATCAAGCTCACCCCGCAGTAGAGCGGTGTGTAGTCATGTTATCCCTTAGAAAGTATGCCTATACGTTGCCAAGCTCTCGCGAACTTTAAATCCATAGAATACGGAGCTTGAGAGCGGTGAAAATCACTTTTGTGTCCCGAGCAGCGTGTCGGCCAAATTCGCAGTGTATCTGCTGATAGCCAGGGAAGATGGAACGATCATCAGTGTCAAAGCACAGTTGAATAGCATTAAAAAGAAATGAGATTTGGGTATATAGTGCTGATCACAAACCTATTGATGTGCAGCGAGTTATCCACCTTAGAAACAAGCAGAGTTCCAACATCCTCACATTGCAGACGCGCAGGTCTTGATCGACACTTGCTCTGGGAGGGAACGCCAGGTCCTCCAGAAAGATTTTGTAATGTTACATAAACATTGCAACTGACGGCTGCGTAATCACCAAAAATGGTGACACGAGATGAAGAACCGACGAAACCACCCCTTGTCACGCCGCGATGCGTTGCATCATGACAAAAGTCAAGCCAGTGACGGGACGAAGGCCACCAATGCTAGCCTTGAAACAGCGAAATAAAAGTGAAAGAAAAGCTTAAGTTAGAATGTTTGACGACTCCAGGCTGTAAAAGTACAGAGCCGAGCGGTATGCTCGTTGCAAGACACGGGGCCTACGATCCGAAAGGGGGAAACTGTGTTGAGTAGAAGTGCCGTAAGACACGAAAGCCTGGACTGGAATCGGATTGGGACTGATACGCCGCGGCAGACAAGCTGATGGTCTCCAGTAGAATATATGAGGCCACTATGCAACAGGAAGCAGCGAATGAGGAAGCGGAAAGTGCTCATTAATACGAGAGAGCTGAGGTGGCCAGAAAGGATAGTTGCACGAATATGGTGTAGGTCCTCTCCTGATGTTATTATGCCTTCTTCAACACAATGCTAAAAAAGAAGCCGAGCCGAGCCTAGATCCATAGCTGACGCACCGTTGCCGATCGTCGAGGTGACGCAGAATGCTGTGGCCCAGATTTACACACTCTACGACCAAGTTAGCATATCTGTTCTACGCCTTGTGTGGTAAGACCCTGGAGCTAGAAATATAGTAGGCGGTTCTGGTGCTTGTGTTCTCACGGAAGACAATGAAGTAACAACTTACAGAATGAAAATATTAATGCTTCTGTGAGCAAGGGGTGCAGGTTCTCAACTTGCAATTGCGACATTCGTAGATATACCAGTGTGGTCCGGAGTGACACAGCTGACAGTTCCATACTATCAGGGTCGTATCTGATTTGATGACTTGGAAAGAGTGTTGGCAAGTTCCTGAGGCAGCCATTGCGATTGAGTGCTTGGTGTAGGATCTGTCGTGGGGTCAATGGTGGAGGGGGCGTGTCTATAAGTGTGGTCTGAAGCTTACCTGAATATGGAGTTCCTGATATGCAGATGTGGAGAACGATGGTAAGGATTGGCGATAGACGGTGTAAGCAACGGAAGTGAGAACAAAAGCAATGATGGTTTAAGTACACCAATGATCGATCTAGGCAGCACTGAAAGCGGTGGGCCTAGGTGTTAATGGTTCAAATTGGTCTTTGAGAGGAGATCCTTGATCATAAGCGAGTGTTGGCAATGAAGTGACAGGTTGTCGATGCAGGTAGTCAGGGTATGTTTATATATCTGGCAGACGCTCGTTGGCAAGCATCAAGTAGGAGTACCGTCAATTGATGCTGTAAATGACCATTTCCACCAAAGCCATTCTGCACGACGTATCGAGGAGTAGTGGGCGAGCGACCGTGTCGAAAAGTCTGAATAGAGAGTCATGACACTAGACTGACAGCAACCCAAGTGGATGGCATGCCGAAAAGAAATGTGTCTCAGACCAATGGAGTCCGGCTGTCCCACTACACAGAGGTTTGATGAGGAATCGGGCCTATCATACGTGCGTTCTGCAGGCGCACCCAAACAGGCCATGAGTGAAAAGAGCTTGTTGTACACTAAGGCGCCAGTTGCCGTGCCTGTGGACGGCTCGATCCCTGCTGTCTGTCTGTGCCTCCATCCCCAAGCCTTCTTTGCTGGCTGTTTTGGTTCGAGTTTGTATATCTTATAAGAAGCTTTGCCATAATAGTAGTCGTCTACTTCCGCTTTTCGCTCCTACGTGGACAGCGGCATGTTCTTCGCAAGGCCGTGTGCAACGGTGGGAGTATATGTCCCGACAGTCTTTCAAAACATCACCATAATTGTCTCCACTCCCAAAGAGTCCATCGCTTTGATGGTCGCTGTCCAGGTCGGCGAATGGACGGAGTAAAGAACAGGAGTAACGAATATGAATCCTGCTTATGGAGATGGACGCTCAAGGCTGACGAGGAGTGGGACCAAGTAGTCGGCCTACATGGCTCGCAATAAGGTTCTGAATGCACTCCATGTTGACAGCGCCATGCTGCAGAATGCTGACATGCCCGCTTACAGTACAGTACATAACCTTACGATGTTGTGCTTATGTGCGTAGTAGGTGAACTGTGTGGGAGACAGAGGGCGCGGCGCGGGAGGCAGAGGGAGACCGAAAGGCCCCGCCAGGTAGTGCGCAAGGGCCAGGGCCAGGGCCAGGGCCAGGACCAGGGGCTAAGGCTACCACCTAGGGCTAGGGCCCCTACCTAGGGCTGGTATACAGTACTGTAATTAGCTTACATACGTAGCCTGTCTGCCACCTGTCCAGCTGCCCCAGCTGCACCCATCTACCTCCCTCCTTAGGCTACCTAATTACTACCTATCATGAGGCGGCCGGCTTGGATCGCGCGCCAGGTCTCCGATTCCCCGGGACGGCTGCTCGCCGGGTCCTCTACACGCGCCAGTACTGCAGCAGGTACATCCCCGTACTACCACTACCACTACTGCCACTACCACTGCCACGACCAGATCTCACTACCTCATACCTCCCTCCCTCCATTATCGCGATCGTCTCTGAGCAAGGTCTTGTTCCGTCTTCAGAATGTCCAAGCTTGGCGAAGCAACGTTAGGGATCGATCGAGCTTACATGCTGCACGCCATTCTCAAGGCAGCGTTGCTTGAACGGGGTCCCTGAAACCCATCTGCCAATCCGAACCATGCCGCTCCACACAATCTGCAAATACCCTGCTACGATGAAGCTCCTTGCTTCGCTACAAATTGCCTTCTTGTATTTGTCGACCTTTTTTCTCATAGTTTCGGACATGGTTAGCCGTCCGAACGTTCTGATCGCTCTGACCGGCCAGACTTACTGCCATACCATGCCATGCCCGCACTCTCTGTTGTAAATATCAAGAAGTCGCACATGAATGTCGTCGAAAGCGGTAAACGGCAAACGGCCCACCTATCGATGCTGGATTCGGCAACCGAAGCGAGAATCGTGGACAGAAAACACTGTCTTTGCGCGGCCCGCCAAGTGTCTTCAACGATCCGGCGCCTCCGTGCTGAGGACGATCTCTCTTTTTCGATGGCCATAATCTGCTTCAGGTCACATACCTATACTCTGCAAACAATCACGGTCCTCCGGTCTCATGAATATTTATCTGATGAGGCATTCAGCCTACAGCCTGTGCTGTACGGGTAGAACCGTAGCACATGAACAACGGCATCTTCTCAGAACCTAGTCGTGAATTCCTATCGTACGACTAATTATACTGTTTTCGAAACATGAGGCTACATGATGCCACTGCTTGCAAGACCCCACCTTCTAGAGCTCGTTACTGTACGGCATGTGGTAAGTTTTCACAGGTGTTTATTGTTATTGCTCAAGCCTAGGTCGGGATCGTGATTTAGAGTATGAGACATGGCATTTCATGTCATGGAGGAGCTTGGTGATGTCGACCCTTTACAGTAATGGCTACCCCAAGAAGAGTGTTAGAGATACAGAAAGCTCAATCAAGGCCGTATTCCCATTGGCACCATTTATGCCTTACTCAGTGCAGCATGCCACGGTCTCGCCTTTCGATCAGATTTCGGAGACCGCTCTGGACGCACCAGGGTCATTTTTCGAAACGAGCTCATCAACGCCATCCCTGTGAGGACATCAGCTATCTTTGGATAGGGACCAGGTCACTGAATGACAAAACCTGTCGAGCCAGACCTTCGCCCTACGAACTGTGCGTGCGATATGCCATCCTGTGTATTCAGATGCAGCCTGCTTGGGTTCATTGAAGTTTCGTCGTGGTCGACAGGGCTGATCCGCCGACGTGCCACAAAGCTAGGCAGGAAGGCGCAGTGACGTGCATGGAAGATTCGAAGAACCGACACTGGGCGTTGGGAACGTACAGGAATACGCCCGGCGCCTTATTCCGATTGTCGTGGGACAAAATCTTGCGCGACGATCTTGGACAATTCTACAACATGAACTTTATGTAATCCTCACCGTCATGTCATCGCTTGACCTTTTATACTACATCTAGTATTTGTCGTCGTTGTTTATAGACTACGACAAGCAATTCGCTGCCACCGGTGCGCCGCACCGCTTGGAGGTGGTCCAGGACAAAGTTCAACATAGCCAAAACGTTTACCGGGCAAATAAAGATTGTGATAACCAGCCCAGCTCCTTTTTTCGGATTCCAATTTGGCAATGGGCCACGCCTACCTGGTGCTAATCATCGGCGACTGTATGGTGGAGTTGTGGCAGCCACGGTTGAACAGGAAACTACTTTCGGGAGCTCGTATGGAATATAGGGCAATCCCATCTGTGAATTAGCAATAAAGCCACTGTTGCGTCTCATGCCAGAGAAAGCTTGACAGAAACGCCTCCTTTCATCTGCAGCAAACCAGGTCCCCGGGATACTCATAGGCACAACACTGGTGGCAGAAGCAAGGTGTGTCAATCCAGTAAAACAAGACTGTATTGCGAGGCCAGGCTAAACTTGATTTTGATGTGAAGTAACGCGATAGACGCTGAGCGGTCATATACCAGCCCTGCAAGACTTTTCCGGAAGCAAGATTCCTAATCCAGAAGTGCGAGTCACGGAAGCATATCTCGCATTTTGCAAAATGTGCCACTGGATTATCATATTGTTGCTATAGCAGTGTTCATTTTTAGTTGGTCGCCGAGGAAAGTTCGAAAATAATTCTAGAAAGAGATTGGGGGCGTTGCTCTCAATATTCTACATCCCTCATGCTTGCTGTGCAACACTGGAACGGCAAGTGGCCTATCGTCTTACCGCAACCGGCCAGCATTGCATTTCATACCATTCGCCCGGACGCAACACATCGAAGGGTTTCTAGTGAGCAGGGATCATGTGCTGCCTTTGATCCGTACCGGAGGTATAACGGGCTTGCATAACACGCTCTTTGGCCTGCTACAAGAATATCTGGGGTGCATGGTTGCAGCGCGACCATTGTGCAGGCCTGCGCCTTTCCTTCAATTCAGTGTCCCGAAGCACGAATCGCGGACGCAGCCGTGGGAATGACGTCTCTGTGTCCACTCCAGGGCGCAGCTCTCTGGGTGGCTTCGGGATAAACATTAAACCTCGATTAGCTATACACTTGCGAACGCCCTTAACATCTCTTCCCTTACCTGCCTGGGAATATACGCTACTACTTAGTCTCCTGGACTCTCTGGGCTATCTCTATAATGTAGACGATACTGAGAATATCCGTAATGAAACCCTGGGACAATTTTCACAGAGTGATAGAGGGGGCAGTGCATCAAGCACATAATCCGGATATCCGACCCATCATTTCATGATATATCAGTTTGTAGACTACATGATGCAGTGATCAGCTCTGGCAGCGCCCTATCTATAGTCCAAGGTCGAGGAATAGGCTGACAGTCTTTCTGCAATACTGGAAAATAGTTCCAAAACAGAGAAAATCTACGGCAGGAAGCTGCTGATGACAAATTGCTTGGCTCAAATCTTTTCAAGACTCTACATGGAATGTGCAAATGTGTATTCATTTTTGAAGGATACATGATCTAACCTAGATAGGATTAGGCTATCATAGATCTAAGCTAAGCTACGAAATCCTCAAGCATTCGCATCTCTCGAAGAGCTGTACAGTCGTCTGCCATTTTAGCCTTCACTTCCTTCGCTCACATAGCAACTTTACCATCATCGCATGATGCTTCGTCCTGCTTCTCGGTTATTACGGCTGTCGCCCCTCCACTCAATCCCGCGCGTTGCGCCTTCACGCAGACTTCTGAGCACTGCACCCCCAAGTCAAAAGTCGAGATCTTTCAAGAACAAATTAGTGCGCCTGGCGCTAGCTGGAGGCGTTGTATATTTTTACAACACCACTGATATATTTGCGGAAGAGCCATCCTGTACGATAGATTGATGGAATCAGCCAATAATGTCATCCCCGTACTGACATCTCACTGCAGTCGTCCCACGGAGTGCCGAGTACGAGAGCGAACCTGAAAACCTTCCCACACTCGAAGCTCTTGCAACACAGCGAAAACAACAAAGAGCCAAGGTTGAAAGTAGACAGGATCAAAGCAACGCACAGCCAGCGCCAGTTACAGGAGACGAGCACGCGTCAGGTGGAGAGCCCAATGGCATAGAACAACTGGAGGAAGAAGCAGGCCAACAAGGTGCATTCAATCCGGAGACCGGCGAAATAAACTGGGACTGCCCATGCCTCGGTGGCATGGCCCACGGTCCATGCGGTGAAGAATTCAAGACAGCTTTCAGTTGTTTTGTATTTTCGGAGGCGGATCCCAAGGGGATGGACTGTATAGACAAGTTTCAGTAAGTACACCACTTCAATGAAGACAGGGAGCATACTCGGAAGGATACGGAACTCACGAAACACAGGGGCATGCAAACCTGCTTCCGAAAGTACCCAGAGATCTACGGCTCTGAACTCGAGGACGACGATGAAGATGAACAGCAAGCACAAGATAAAGATGGTAGCCAAACTCGACCCGATCCCGAAACGACTCCTGATACATTGGCGCTGGCATCTAAAGATGATACAAGTATGCGTACAAGCACTGAGCAACCGAAATACACGGTTGGCGAAAAAGTGGCGGATAGAGGCCAAGAATACACATCTAGCCATGATTCAGCCATCAAAGATAAGCGTGCTCCTGGACAGGTAGCCCATCAAATAAAAGATCCTCACAGTAAAGCGACAGATGACAAATCGTAGGAGGACTTTGAATGGCTACAGAATAAGTCTAGGCCTAAAATGTACATTATGTAAATAACCTTTTGATAGAGAACGACAGCGCCCTGGAACGGATACTAGAAAAAATCTCTATGATTATATATCGTAGCTGGCTAAAAGCTGGCTAATAGGTGATTCTGGCCATATAGTTAAATGCATGTCTTCACGTTGATGCAACAATCTTAATATAATAATAAGCTTAGTTCCGCCTTCCCCAATTTGGCTTGAGCATCTAATAGTAGGTCTCCGACGCCGAGGTGGTGACGTCGTCTCCAAGAGCCCTAGACTGGTAACCGAAGATATACCGGCCCCAAGCTTGCTGCCCTGTTTCTCCTTGTGCGTCACACGACAAGCTTCCCAGTATCACGAGCATCTATTTGCGTTGACAAGTCACACTGGTCCTTTCTCATCTTCAAATTATCCAACAGCCTGGTATATCGAGCTCTACCTCGCCCAAACCAGTCTCAATTCTCCATACGCCGCAGATATGAGCTCGTACGCAGACGTCGCGGCCAGTGGGCCACAGCAGAGTGCCGAAGAGGTCAGTTACGAAATAATACTATTGAAATGGTACATGCACTGACAGAACCTCGTAGGCGTAAGTGACTTTCTCCTATACTGTAAAACATTGCTCGTTGCAGTCGCTATACCTCGTGCATCATGTTCAACGCAACAGACACCTCTTACCAACACAAGCGCTCGACGTCACAACCGCACTAAACCCCTGCGAGATACATGAGTTTCAAAGCATCAACCTCAACTAACATATTCCCTAGCCGTGCGCCCCCACCCACCGAAGTTGAATCCATAACCTCCGAATCTACCCACTCGCTCATCGACGTCGACACCCCACACGTCTCTACCGTCCCCTCAACCTTTTCATCCCAGGAAATCCAGACCGACACGCAAGCTGCTCGCATTGAGCGTGAAGAACAGGCAGCCGATGCACGCGCGAAGGCTCAGGCCGCAGCCGATAAAGCCAAGGCAAAGTCACGCCGCGCAGGTGGTATTTTGAGCAAGAACGCCGACAACCCGGTCGTGTTGGGCAACTTGGTGACGGCGGGCTTGCTGACGGGTGTGCTGGGCCTCGGTGCGTATAGAAAATATACTGCCGGCGAGTTGTCATGGAAGGTCGCGGGTGCATGGGCAGGTGCTGTTGGGCTATTTGCTGCGGCGGATTACTTTGTTTCGCAGTATGTTGTACCGGCCGATCGAGATGGAGAATGACTTTGCTAACTGATGAGTAGACGCTTGTTCCAGAAATACCCCCCCAAGAAGTAGATGCATTAGCTTCAATGGAAACGCGGTGTTATGAAGCCGCATATCGCACAACCTGTGCCATCCTCCCCCCTCTCCTGTATTTATCTCTGCATTCCCTTCTCTTTAGCTGCTCTGGGAGACGTTAATGGTCATGTCACAACAATGGCAAGGTGGTGTCACAGATGATCGTGATGCGGTAAATGATAATATTCTTTCGCTTGCTCTGAAAACGGACCCTGAACTGATAGTGATCATAAGTTGACATTTGGACAGTCTCCAGTCGAGCAGATCCGCAGGTGTGGTCCGTATGCACGTCTGGATACGGTCAAGCATGTCTTACTCCATGGAAATAGATGGAACGGCTCGATCTGGGCATAGAAAGAGATGTTTGAATCAATCATCAACACGCAACGTAGTCGTGAGATCTGCCAAGTGCATGACAACGTGACATCCAAAGGGTTCTTGACCTGCTTTTCAAGTGACCCGGCCTGAGAAGACTGTGTCAGAAGGCTACGTATATACACTCGCACGTTCAATGATACCTCACGTACTTCTACCAGGCCTCTAAAACGGTTGTGCCATGCAAGAGTTCTCCAAAGCTTGCGCCCAAGCTGAAATACATCCCCCACCAAAGCTTGCCGTTGCGGATCCATACGTCAGAAATAATGACTATTATAAGTGGTTAATAAGCGGAATACGCTCACGCTATATGCCTGGTTACGGTGGCATGAAACGCCGTCTATAGAATACAAAATCTGCGAACTCGTGATGAAACGTCTAAACATTCAAGCCTCGCGCTTCGAGAACGTGAGGTAGCAGTCATCCTGTTAGTGATTAGTAATGGTTATCAAGGGTTGGGAACTGGACTTACCATCGGAAAGATGGTTGCGAACACCTTGATCTCTTCCGACTTCTCTGTGACAGTATGTTTCCAGTCAAGAAACATACTCGCCATACCAATCATGGCCATGAGATTGTGTGTAGCGTAGACCTGGCCGAGACAGTAATGGGGTCCGGTTCCAAAAACAAGCCAGTTCTTGACTTGCTTCTCGGCATCGCCAGTGATCCATCGATCGGGATCAAATGTATCTGGGTTGGGGTAGACTTCCGGGTCGTGAAGCGCAGGGTAAGTCGTTGGAATTACCATGGAGCCCTTGGGCGCAGTATATGTGTCGGTGATGGGGAAAGCCTTCTTCGCAACGTAAGGTACCATGAGCACAGGTGGCCGGTAACGTAGAGTCTCCTTGACAACGGCGCGAGTAAATGTCATGTTTTCCAGCATATCCATGCTGAGGGGTGCATTACGGTCGCCGTTGCGTAGGCGCAAGTTCTCCTCGCGGACCCTTTCAAGATAGTGAGGCTGATCAGCCATGAGTTGGTACAACCAAGTGCAAGCGCTCGAAGTCGCGTCCTGAGATGCGAAAAGGAAGGTGAAAAGGGTCATGGAAATCTCGAAGTCGGTGAATTCGCGGATAAGCATTGATGGCTTCTCAGATTGCGGGACATCGATTCCTTGCGCGATCTTTTGACGGTATTTCTCACACTGGACCATCTGCAGTACCCAGGCATCTAGAATGCAGTTGGGTTCACCTCCCGCAGCGATTCTGACCTTGCTCTTTGCAGCGCACTTAGAGAACTCCTCAAGTACCATGTCCGCAGCCTTTTTACCCCAGTATGTCTTCGTAAAAGGAATGATGATAGGAAAGTTGACCAGTTCCAAAGCGGCAGTAATTAGATAGTAGTCGTCCGCAATCTTTTTCACCGATTCGTCGGGCATGTAGTGACCGACGAAGCTTCGCATGGATACGGCGCATTGCAGCTCCCGGAACTCGGGCATAAACTGCACAGGCTTTCCATTGGCCTCCTCGGTGACCTTAAGAAATCGCGCGAAGTACAGGTTGTAAATTTCCTCCTGTCCTGGCAGGTACATCTCAAGAGCCTGACGAGTGAACAGACCATTGAGACCCTTGCGATAATCAACGTGTGCCTTGCCATCGAGGAAAACCCAATTGTTTGGACGTAAGAGCTTGTGAGCAACATCAACCACGCAGGGTTTGACGAATGAGGGCGAATTGAAGACTTTGCGGGCCATGTCGCGAGTGGAGGCAATGACAACGAACCTGGGCTGATAAGTGATTGCGAAGTCAAACTCCGCAGAAGGGCTTACTTGTGAAAGACAGAAACGCAGCTCAACGGCCCGCTCATCCATTTGGCATAATATTTCTCGAATTTAGGATTAACAGATTCTAGGAATGGACCAATGAATGGTGCTTTCCACGCAGGCCCCTCGATTGAACCCTTATTCAAGATGTATTTGACTGTTGTTTGTCAGACGAATCTTCTCCTCTATCTGTTCCAGATTATCTCACACTGATCGTAAGCGATAGCGACCAGGATTATAGTCAAAAGGGCCGACCATCCGTTTATGTGCGCTAGGATTGAGAACGCGAGATTGTTCTTAACGAAGTCCGTTGAAGGCGCGAATTGAGCATCCGCAGTGGGCGACGCGAAGTTTGCGTTCACCGACATGGTGAGACCGTTGCTAGTGGACGTCCCAGCGATCCGAAAGGATTGAAAAGTAGTTCAAATAATCACGCTGCGAATCTGAGGACGCAATTGACGTAGACCACAGTGGTCGGGAGAAATAAGGAGAACAGTGAAGAGGAGAGGCTGAAAGGAAGGAACGGTCTTGCGTAAGAGACGAGAGTGAGGCAAGGGAGGTGGAGGTGAAGAGAAGGGGAGAAGGTGATAAGTGGTATTAATTTCCTGAACCCTTCTTTCTTCTTGCAGCGTCCAGCCGAGCGGAGTGGAGACAGACTGGAACAGGTAAAGATACGTGGGTAACGAATACTCAGCAGGCTTACTAATACTTGAGTACTCGCGAAGCTTGGATCATGTTATTGAAATCCAGCCGGCCAGAGAGCCCAGGCCAAGATTCTCTTTGTAACGTATAATGAGTCATTCATCATAAAGCGGTATACCAAGACTCATTCAGCGAGACTTAAACGACCCTAGCAACAGGCCCTCAAACGAACCATTACACACGCGATGGGTGGATACAATCGGCACAATCACAATGCGCCGGAATCTTAAAGTTCTTACCCCTGCGTGACGTGATATCGCATCAAGAATCGGCGAGGGACCCGTTATAACGAGATAAGGCTAGAATAGAATATCTGAGAGCACGTTTCTGAGGCCATGTTAGCACTTGAACACTCCCAGTATTACGTAACTACGTACAAGCCTCATGAACACTGCATAGACTACAATTAAAACATGGAGAAGGTCTCAATGTTTTCAGTATATTCCCAAAGCTATGATACTACTGTAATTAAGCGGCATATCCATGCGCTAGTGCTCGGCTATGGTCTCGGGAAGTTGTTGTCCGAGAGGAAATAACCTGCGCGACTGTGGCAATACCGCACCAACTCATCCACTACTCATTGTCCATGTCCAATGTCTGCCATTCCATTACCACCGCTATACACCATGAAACCACATAGATCATGGCGTTTGCCTTATCTGGCGTGTTTCCATCCATAGCTCAATAATACAGTGTTTCGATATGCACGTCTAGTGCACTTCAACATCCTACCAGAAATGTAGTCGTACATCGTTGATCCAACCATGGACCGCACACAAGATAACTCCTAGACAAGACTATGCCCTCAGCCCTTCTAGTAAAGCTCCTTCGCCCTTGCTCTCCACTGTCTTGAACACCTCGCCCTCAACATCCAGGCCTTTCTCAGCTCGGTCATACGCGTCCTCGCTTCTATCAAGTAGGATTTCCAGCTCCCTCCCTCCAAGGATGCCCTGATCCTTGCCTTCTTTATCCATGTCCCACCTTTGACCGTCTTCTCTCCTCAACAGGCGCTGCAGCTCCTCAAATTCCTCTTTCTGTTCTCGTTCCACCCTGGACTTGCTATTGCCGCCCGTCAATCCACCTTTGCGAATGACAAGCTTTTCCAGCCGTCTCTTAGAATTCGCTGATTCGAGGAGTTGTGATTCTATTGTGTTCCTCGTTGCAAACCTGTACACAATCACGTTGCGCGTCTGTCCGATGCGATGTGCTCGGTCTTGGGCCTGGAGATCTTGCTGCGGATTCCAATCGCTGTCGAAAAGTATTACTGTGTCTGCTGCAGCAAGGTTTATACCTTGTCCACCAGCCCTAGTGCTTAGTAGGAACAGATTGCGAATATCGTCAGCTTCTGTATCCTTAGTCGCAGGAGTGTTGAAAGCCTTGATTTGTGCATGCCGTTCCGACTGTGGTATACTACCGTCTATCCGACAGACAGGCCAACCTCGGAGGGCAGTGGCATACATTTCCAAGAGGTCGAGTTGGGTCTTGAACTGACTAAAGATCAAAACCTTGTGTCCCCGGTCAAATAGTGCTGTTAGAAGGCTGTCAAGTAGGTGCATTTTGCCCGAAGATGTGACTAAGCTTTCGTCCGGGACTATGTCTCCATCATCCGAAGCTCTCGCCAGAAATGGATTAAAGAAATTATAAGGGCTGTTGCAGCAAAGCCGTAATTGCATCACCGGGTTCTGCAGCTTTTTTAATGCTATCTGTCGCTTTGCCAACTGAAGATTCTCTGCCTGTATCCGTTCGTCTTCGTCCTGGGACTCCTCGGGATCAGACGCCGGGGTATCGTTGGCTTCGTCTTCGAGAGATGCGAAGTAGGCCCGGTCACTGACTTCTTCATAGCTCTTGCGTGCGGCTTTTCGACGACTGCGTGCACTCATGGTGGAGGCTGGCGTAGCTTCACGGCTTGACTTGACGCTCTTGCTTGGCGTATTAGCTCTACTGTCCCAAAGAGCTTTACGTTTTCGACTTGCGGTGCTCGTAGCACTCTGCGGAGTTGCAGTGCCACTGATGGACTCAAGAGCCTTTTCTTCGAGATATGAGCGTGTAGTACCATCAAGAATGGCCTGGTATAGTTCTCTCTGCATGGGCGAGAGAGGTGCAAACAAGACGTACTCCCGTTTCCTAGGCATCATGTTTTCGACATCAGTCTTTACGCGCCGTAGCAAGAACGGCTTCAAGATCGCATGTAGTGAGGAGACTAATTGCTGCTGGCGCTTCTCCGATAGAATTTCCTGGTAGCCATTACGTTCCTTGAGTGCAGAGAAATCAAACCAGCTCTCGAATGCCTCCAGTTTGTCGAAAATGTTGGGCATCAGGAAATGAAGGAGAGACCATAGCTCGGTCAAGTTATTCTGCAGGGGCGTTCCAGTAATCAGTAGTCTGTTGGCAGACTGGTAAGATTGGAGTTCTCTAATCAGTCGACAATTAAGATTCTTAATACGGTGTCCCTCGTCCTGATAAAGTTAGTTGACGCGCCTGTAACATAGATGGTTGACATACTATGATGATGAATTTCCAACCAAAGTTCGCCAGGTGTTTGCGATCATTCATGCAAATTTCATAGCTAGTCACCACTACTGGAAATTTATCCCCTCCTGGACTACTTAGTCGGGTCTTCCTTAGCTCTTCCCGCTCCTGTTTTGATCCATGATATAGCAACACAGGAATGTCTGGAGTGAACTTATTGAACTCATCGACCCAGTTGCTTGTAGTGCTCAGCGGTGCCGCAATTAAGAATGGCCCATAAGAATGTTTCTCTCTCAAAAAAGCTAGAAATGAGATGGTTTGTATTGTCTTCCCGAGGCCCATCTCATCAGCAAGAATGCCATTCAACCCGTTCTCGTAAAGGGATATAAGCCATTCTAGGCCTTCCAATTGGTAAGACCTCATGGTACCACCGGATACCAAAGCGGGCTGTCTGGCAGACCTGAGGTTCTGTATGCCTATATCGCTCGTCTTTACATCTGATTCAGCGGCCTGCTGAAGGGCTTCCTTAATATCTTTTTTGCCAGCTTTTGCCTCGACGTCTTCTCTTTTTAGATAGTCAGATATCTTTCCATAAGGCTTACCCTTTTTCCCAGATCGCCCGCGTTCCTTTGTCTTATTCAGTTTCGACTGCGCATTATTGTCAATTTGACTCTCGGGGTCTTCCTGTTTCAGATTGCTTCTGCCCGTTCGCGTTGACCGCCTCTGAGCAGCTGCAGCAATCTCCTCTGCTTTCTCTTCTCTCTTCTGCGCCCGTTTGCGACCCTTCTCGTCGTTTGCAATCTCCGTTTCTTCTTGCTGTTGCATCTGAGACAACATAATGGTGGAATAAAGCTAGAATTCTTTGTTAGTGTGTCTACATCGCACCAGTGATCTTTGGGGTTTTCTAGATCTGGACCGCGCACCTTGCTTTGGTTCAAGAGGTACTCCAATGCCTTGAACTTTTTATCGATTACTTCCTCTCCACCTTGCTTGTCTTCCAGTACTTTCATTTGCATCTTCTCTTCTCGCTTCCTGTCTTCATTCTCGCGACGCTCGCGCATTTCTTCCTCCTCTTTCACCATACTTTCTGAAATTTCTTTGAAACCCATCTCGAGTGACTCTAGGGCGGCGGCGACGATGCTGGGGTAGATTTGCGCGTGCTTGAATATGTAATTGAACTGGTAGGCATAACTCGTGTGATGCTTTATTCCAGATAGTATTACTGCTCAGGCCGCGTAGGCAAACAGTGCGCTTCTGAGAGCCCGGAAAGAGCTGTGAACGGATGCGCGAAACAATTGACCGTGTAGTCTGAGGTGCACTAGCCCGTCGCGTCGCGTCAAGTGGTGTCGTCATTGCGAGAGATCCATACATGAGCGCTAAGCGCGTCCACACTAACGCGCTACCGTGGACCCTTGCATTTGGATCTCGATTCTACAGAGTCAGACAGAGTGACGGCTATTTGCGTGGAGTGAGTGAGTGATCTTCGAACCCTGAATTAGCCATAAGCCAACGCTAATGATAGAAGCATTCATTATATTTGATTCAAATGGCATCACAATGCCCGTCCTTGCCACCTACCTCAATACACATGCATTATAGCTCAACCCACAAAATATGGTCAACATCAATGTCTAAGCGTACAGGACCTAACCATGGGGAAAGTTTGGTCGGTCTTCAAATCGCTGGTCGGAGCTATAGACTGCCTGTCAGGTAAATATCGAGTTTGCATGTTATAATAGTCCAGGAGAGCTGTGAAAGCGTGACTGTTCGAACCAGACACCAGACGCAATATGACTGACCATTCTAAAAGCAGAGAGAGTAGCCTGATGTGCTGACACCTGAGCAGTAAGCTTCAGCCTGGTTTTGAACAACTTATCTCCTACGTTTAGACTCTCAAAGCTTATTACCCAACACGCGTTATGAGCTCTGCTGCCTCGGATGGAAGAGCAAGAAAGTGTAGCACATTCTCTTCTGATCACATTTATAGCTCGATCATCTGTGCCACCCCAGCTACACCGGACAGATCCTTGCTGCAGACGTTCACAAGGAAGGTCGATGGCTTTCGCGACACCAGTGAGTCATGGCAGCGTGTAGCTACAATGAAGAGCGACTCAGAAATTGATGGGGAAAACGACGAGCGAGTAATACCTTTAGGACCCTCAGTATCCTCATCTATCCTCTCAGCATATTGTCGATAGTATCTGTGACTCATATCGGCGTGTTAAAAAAGGCCGCAGTTCGTCGTCAGACACTCCACCGACCTTCTTCAGCCGATCAAATCTATCATTCTATGACGCAAAGGCTTCTTCGAGAAGTTTTCTCAACCACATTCTACTTAGTAGATGCCTCGCCCTTAGAAATCAGGTTTTGAAGATCAGGTGAACTCAGAAGAAGTTTGTGGACTTGACAAGTTTAATGTTGCTATAATTATCACACTTGCGGCCCGTAGACAGGCATCTCCTGCAAGAAGGCTTTCCTATCACATTTAATACGTACACCTGTAAGATGCATGAGTGAACATCCAATGGGCGAACAGGCCTAGAGACTACATTGCACGACGGTCGTAAAGGGCCCCCGATCAATCCTTGCTAGGTTCCTTATCAGATTCAGACCATCCCCTTGTATGCCCATTATTGCTAGAGCAGAGGGCTGGGGCCACTTGGGGTCCATCAACGCTAGTGCACTCTTTTCCCATTGGTTTGTCCGTATACTCTTCTAAGCATAGCGTGATAATGGAATGCCTACTCGGTACAAAAGAAAACATTCCAACCAAAAGCACTAGCATGCCTTTGTGGTATTCAGTCCGTATGAGGTCTAACAAGGTCGATTCACTCCATAAAGCAGGAGTCCTCTTTGCTCATTCACGGTTATCATTATGACCTGTATATATGAATCGCAAGCCTGCTTGGCAAGTGATGTACAGTGCATGTTTCCTTATAATATGCAGAGCACAAGATTAAGGGAAGATCCCGATGCTGGTCTAGACTCTAGACCGCTGCCCGATAGCTTCCCCACAGGAGCATCTAAATATAGGATACCGTACGACCTGCCGGCCACCAGCGGAGACTGCGAATAAGGCTTAATTTCAACCTTAAATCTACTTCAAATGTCCTCTCTATTCAAAGAACCATGTCGTACAAGGTGCAAACACGTGGGAGATGTTCTTCAGCTTCATGATTAAGAGGCGGCACGGAACATCTCTCTCTGCTCCACATTGACGAGCTTTCACCCGACTTATTGCCTCGGGGCAGCTAGACTCTCTGCGGCCTGATCTGCGAAATCCAAACAAGTAACGACGCCGCAGAAACCGAGCTGTTACATCTAACGTCGAAATTCCTCGTATGAAGTCAAACAACGCAACATTGACGGTTTGCCATCGTTGCTTGTCAGCTGATCTCCTACATCCTCTCGGAGCTCGAGTCACGCATTCTCTAGCACACTCTGCGCGTGCGTGTGTGTCTGGTGCTCCGTGCACAGGTGGTGCTAATTACTTCTATCTATCCATTGCTGTTCTTCGTCAGCTACCACCAATCCCACGAACAAAGTTTACACCGCCCTCGACAACGTGCCCCTAGTCTTGTCTTGCGTCGCACTTCAAGGTTATGTTGCTGACTAACCACCGGACCAACTCTTTTCATGGTACCCAGGCGAACGCATAAGAAGTCGCGCAATGGATGCGTGCAATGCAAGCAGCGTAGGGTCAAGGTAAGTCTCTGTGAGGTCAGGCAACACCAGCTCTCTCATCGTCACCCCCTCAGATCAAAGCGCGTTTCTCACATTGCATGTAGTGTGACGAGAAAGGGCCCATTTGCCATAATTGCACAAAACGACAGTTACCATGCAGCTTCAAAGACGCGCCTCCAGAGTCGCCAGTTGACTCGCTATCTGAGAAGAGCGCTGATGTTTCCTCCACGGCCCGGGAGAATCAAGCTACCACTCGACGCTCAACCGTCTTGACAATCAATAAACGTCTAATCACCCCGAACGATGCCAACGCAAAACAGGTCCGGTCACTGGAACTGGGACTACTCCACCACTGGACCACCGTCACATATGCGACGCTCGCGCAGGACCGCTTCGAGCATGGACCCAACATAGAGTACAGACTCTGGCAAATTGACGTTCCCAGAGAGGCCATGAAGCATGAATACCTCCTGAACGCCATCCTCGCCGTCGCCGCCCTCCATGTGCTCTCCCTGCCTCCAGAAAAACAATACGTCCCCGTCACCCTCGCCCACGCCATCGAATACCACACCGCATCCTGCGCCACCCTGCGCTCCGAACTAGCCACCGTCAACGACAAGAACTGCCACGCCGTCTTCGCCTGCTCCATCCTCATGATCCTCTCCGTGCTAGCCCTTCCGCCGCCCGCCGACGAGCGCACGGGCCATACGTCCTCTCTATCCGCAATCTTCGCCTACACAGACATCCTTACCGGCACCCGTGATGTGCTCTACTCGCTGCAGGCGCAGCTCATCGAGGGTCCCTTTCGCCGCATGATGGACTACTGGCAGACCCGCTTCGAGTTCCACGCGCGCCCGGACACTAAGGCTGCGATTCAGATCTTGCGCGGGCTGAATCACGAGACACATGTCGAGAACAACCCCATCCAGTGCGCGACCAATGCCATGGCCATTGACATTCTCGAGACATGCTTTGCCGAGCTGGACAATCGTCCGGATTTCGGGGTTAGTATTGCTTGGCTTGGCAGTCTGGACGGGAGCGTGATTGCGAATTTGCAGCGGCATGAGCCGGTCGCGCTGGCCATGCTGATTTGCTGGGGCGTCATGTTGGAACAACCTAGTCCGATGTGGTTCGTTCATAGGCCCGGAAAAGCTCTTATACAGGAGATTCTCTCGCTGAAGCTACATGAGGAGAAGAAGTGGACGTTGCTAGTCGCGTGGGCGAAGGACAGAGCAGGCATGGAAACGTCTAGTATTCCGGTGACATGCGAAGCTTCATAAGTGAGGATGCCTTTGAATATTTTCTGCAGCTCATTTGTCCATAATAGCTGGCGTTTGGGTAATTTTTAACCAGATCGCATTGGCGTGGGTCACGGACGTCGTGTTTCCCTTGATAACGACAATGCAACTTATACTACGATACAGACGACACGTCAATATCGTGACATACAGCAACAAGTTCGTCTTGTTAGGATAGAGATCATAGGTAGACGAGCAACTTGTCATCATCTCCACATCCCGTGTCGATCCCTGCGCCACAGTCCCTCTCGCCGTTCCTCATCGTGAGTACAAGACTAGTGCTAAACTTCCATTTGAATGCTGAGTATCCTGTAACCAACATCCAAAACGACGCATATGCGTCTCCTCTTAACGTTCCATGCGAAGGACACACAACCACAACACATTCTAGTGTAAGACAACGTGAACCCCCACGGACAAAACAACGCTAATGGCGATGTGTGAAGAATGAAATGAGCCAAAGCAATGCGACCCTGAGATGATTGCGTGTCCGTCATGCCATTCGTGGAGTACAAGTGATAAATATATAGACAGTGAAAAGAATATGGTCAATCATGGTCAGTCAATAAGTGCGCTGCTCTCGATGACCTATGCGGCGGGATATATGTTAGCAAAAGTCTACTAAGGTCACTCGCCGCTGACCATTGCAGAAAGGTTTTTCCACCTCTGCTTTAAGGTTTCATTTTCAGCATCCGTCTGATGAAGTCGTTAGTAAATTACTGATAGTGGCGCTCATGGCTGACTTTACCTCAGCATTTCTCATTTTCGACTCAACGAGCGCTTTCTCTGTTTCTGCCAGCTGTTCTTCCAGCGAACGGTTGCTGTTCTGGACCTCCATGTTACGCGCCATGAGACTATCAAGTTGTGCCTTGAAGCGCTCTTCAACCTCTTGAGGCTGCTTGTCGACAATCTTCTTCAGCTCGTCGACTTGCCCTTGCAGACTTTCGTTCTCGTCTCGAAGGTTTTCATTCTCAACTTTAGTCCGTACAAGATCTGAAGCAACCTGCACGTGTTCAATGTCGGCGTTCTCGATTCGACCTTCCAAACTGCGTACGCGCTTCTGGAAATCCGCATTCGTCTGACGTAGGTTCTCTAGCTCAGACTCGCGTTCTTTCTCTATGCGCTGTTTCTCGTTCCATTCAGCTGTGTAGACCTTTAGCATCTCGGGTGTGATCTTGATAGCACATGCGTCCTGTACGAGCGTATCTGCTCTGTATACATCTTTGTCCACACCACCAGCACTGCCAAAGAACCCGGAGTCTAGTAATGAACCAGCATTAGGCGACTTGTCTATGTATATATCGAAGATGCGTTCTTTCAAGAAGACACTTAGTGAACTCATGTCTTTCATGCCAAGTAACGTTTCGGCATTCTTCTGCATCAGAACGATGCCGAATTTCAGGATAGCTCCCTCCAAGCCTTCGCTCAGAATCAAATCATAAATTCGCAAGACGAGTTGTAGTGGAAATCGATAAGCAAACAGAGTGAGAAACCATTGTGTTGCGTAGAGCTGTGGGCTGACACCGCGTCGATGCAGGTGGCAATAAAGTGCAGGCTCAAAATCTTCTAGCAGTCGTTCGAATTGATAGAGATGTAGGTGCAAGCCTGGCATATCCTGAATAAACATCTCCCGCAATCCGTACTTGTTCATGAGCTTGACGAGCAGGCAGAATGCTTCTTCCTCCGTCATATTAAATAAGAGTGGCATTGCAATGAAGTTCATGCCTTGTGCATAGCCAACAGCTTCGTCGAAGAGGGCATAGGCCTTACATACTCCAAAGAGACCTTCTTGAAGACCCGCAGACATGAGGTATTTCGAATAGCTCGTCCTCGCGCCAAGATCGCGTCGTATCACCTTCTCGAGTTTCATGATTGCAGCCTTGTCCTCCTTTTGTCTTTTAGACCTTTCTGCCTGTAGCTTTGCGATCGCATCCGCAGCCTGCCCGTCGCTTGAAGAGGGTGAAGCTAGAGGACTTCCTTGCGCTGTCGATGTCGTGGTGGCCGGAGTGGAATAGTTTGAGTGTATGCTTGAAGCAGACGATTTGATCGAGTCCCCTCGCTCCTTGATACTATGCGTTTGACCTGGCAAGCTAACTCTCTCTTTGTCCGTACCTCTAACCACCAGCTCTCTGTACATCGATTCGAGGTCGTCATTCTTGCTTTCAGCCAGCACTTGCCAGACCACACCCCGTATAGCCTGTGGAATCCCACTAGCAATGGCTTGGTTCAACTCTTCTGCGCTTGTACGTGCAACCGCCGCCGGGCCTTCGTAGACCACGGACTGCCATAAATCCCAGTCGACTGGGGTAGCTTTCCCGACTGTTGGCCCTACACCCATGCCTGCGGCGTTTCCTGGTGCTAGACCCTGTGTCATTGATACTTGTCTACTTGGGCTATGTGGTCCCGGACTCGATCGGACTCGATGCATCGGCGGAGGCGACCCTTGGTTTTCATCTGCCGTGTTGCCAGGACTTGCCATTCCGATTCCTACACTCATTGAGCGTCCAATAAGTCCAGCCAAGGCTCCACCATTCTTGTCTGACCCGTGGCCAAGCTCATCGTCCAAAGAGGTAATACCAGCTTCTTCTCTCATTCGGAGCAATTTAAAGCGGTCTTTCAAGCTATTGCGCCCAGAGCCTTTGGTTGAAGGACTTTCCGATCCTTCACCATCTAATCTGTTCACCATAAGCTCGGGATTACTGTTGATAGTATTGATTGACGTCACGGTGCCCGTTCTGTCTCGGGTCGCACTAGTGGGCTGCGTATTCTTGTCGACCTTTTCTGTACTGGCAGAGTTCCTTGTAAGCCATGAGAATGGACTTGTATATTTACGCGTTGTGGGAGGCGGAGCGATGTTCTCAGATTTAGCTGGCGCAAGAGGGAGAGGAGGGGGTGGAGGAAATTCATTGATTGGGACCTTCCCGGAGAGGCCTGTGGATGCAACATCCTTGTCGGCCTCCGTTCGAGGCGGCAATGGGGGTTTAGAGACATGTTCAGAAGTCGTAGGCGTCTTGTTAGAGTCTGTGAGATATAAGTACTCATCATCGCAAGGGGTGCGGCAGACACAGCTGTGCCGCTTACTATGCACTTACCTTCGAGATTCACTTCGTCCATACTCCCTACAGATATTCTTTTCGCAGAGCTCTGTGGGCTGGGAGGCGCTTGGCTTTCATGATTCTGCTCATCTACTCCATCTACGGCTGAGCCCGTAGTCTCACCATAGCTTGAAACAGCGTCCTCATTTTTTTCTTCTCTCGTTGCCGTATCTGCTGAGGTAGATCGACTCCTATTGGTGAGGGACCGGCCGGGACTTCGTGTCTGCGTAGAGTTACGATGGCTCATATCAGAGGCATCCTCGAAGTTGTCCTACCCAAGAGCGTATTAGCAAACAGACGAGTGACATGCAGCTGTCTGCAACATGAGGGTCAAAGTACCTCGCGATCAGAGCCAGGATCGCTTCGAGGCTCCATGGATATCGTGCGAGGGGACTATCTAGAAGTAAGGTCAATCGTCGGGTCGGATCTCCTTGCGCTGGTGACCGGACTTGGGACAAAGGAGCTGCACCGTGGCAGATACAGGACTGTGTGGGAGATATGCAGAGAGATTCTTAGAGAAGGTTAAGGTAGTTCAGGGAGCGACGGACATGCCAGAGGGGAGTGATATGAAGCGAAGAGAAGAGATAACTATGGAGCTGCACGCGAGTTTTTTAATTATTGCAGCGGTGGACACTTTTTCCCGGGATAGGGATATGGACGTCCTCTGATGGCACACAAAGCACAAAGCAACTCAAAGGAAGGGACGGGCCACGCAACACGCATGCTAAAGTTGGCTGGGTGCTGGCGCCTTTGGGGGGGCGGATGGGCATTCGGGAGGGGGTTGAACACCGGGCTGGGCTGGTGGTCTGGTGGGCTGGTGGGCAGGGAAGCCACCCGTTGCGTACCTTACTTGACCGCCACCACTAACACCCTCCTCAATAATAATACATGGCACATTCCTGAACAAAACACCACAATAGTCTGGTACTTATCTGGCGTTATGCGAAAGACACGGTGGGCCCAGATTGCGAGAGTAAACGCTGTAACCAGAGCGGTTCTGTTATTACATGACTTTTGCTTCAGACTCGTCCGACCTCGAGATCCTCTTTGGCCGCTTTGATATAATTATCTTGACAGCCAGAACTGCTCACTTGGTTGCAGCTTGCGATCCTGGATTGACCCTGGAAGCGGCAGGTTTACACCCCACTGTTTTGGCGGAGACGTTTCACCCTCCTTCTTTGCACCCACCAGTCACGCCTTGTCTCCAGCCACAACTTGCGACGAGCGTCCTGTCTGCCCGGCTGACTGCGGGCCTGTCCAGAATATACGGATTTATCTTGGAAAGCAATCTTTCGGCCTGTACCACCTCGCCTGCTTCATGTTATTTGTCCCATAATCCATGCTTCAAATGGGAACGATTACTTTATGCCGTGAAACAAAGGGGTTAAGGGGCACTACGCTTTTCTGGCGACGGAGCCCCTAGGGAATCCCAACTCCGCAAACGACAACACTTACCACATCCGGTCAAATTTTACTTTGGAAATCTTTCATTCACCATATGCATTGTGGTCAACTCCTCTAATTGACATGATCTAAGCCAAACAGACACGCCATGTCGACAAGAATTGCCTCAGAACCCAGGTCTGACCTTCTGTACCCGTTGCACTGGGCCTCCCTTTGCAAACATTCCTGGCATACCAGTCTCTTCTGGCAACGGGACATATGGCTCAGTATGAGTTGAGTTTGCACTGCCCTCCGAGCTCAGGTCGGCCGTCACCATCTCGTTGCCGTCTGCAATTGAGAAATGATTAATCGTTCTGTTGAACATGGCCAGACTGGCTTCAGGCTGGTAGTACGGTACAAGATGACCAGCTTCGTATATTCTCAGGAATGAGAAGTTACCGTACTGTCTGACTGCACCATATTCGACGCCATTGACAGTAAAAGGCTCGTATCCAGCCGCGGTGAATTGTTTACTGTGCGTGTAGTTCACGGCCAAGGATATTGCTTCTCCACCAAACCAGTTACAGATGTACTAATGGACAAGGTCAGACATATATTCAGGGAGCATGAAGAACTGCTTACATCAGCGTCACCGTAGTACAATGCTACGCGCACACCAGCATCGAGAAGCATCTCAAGGTCTTCAATGAAGTTTGGATAAACAAAATCTGCATCGTTGTGAGTAGAGCGCAAAGACAACTGTGCCCATAGAGTCTTACCTCCAGTCTGCTGGAAGGCCCAGTACACCTCGCTATTGCTAGATGTGTAGTTCAGATTGACTCCGAGTGCATCTTGGACTTCCGGCTGGTTCAAATACTCGGGGAAGTAGCCTGCGGGTTCAGGATCGTCAAGTGGATGACGAATGTCGTAGACACCCCGGTTTCCGACAGCATAGTACGGTCCCTCGACATTATCACGGCACATTGATTGCGCCTCACTGCAGATAGCCTGATCTGATAGCGTGGTGCGGTTGGTAGTTCTACAAGCCTTGACTTGGTCCAGACATCCCATTCCAGGCATATTCAGAGCAAACTTCATGTAATTATACACAGTGTCGTTGATGGCTTTGATTCCGTATGTATTGTTCGTGGCGAACTCTGGATAGTAGGGTGCTTGAATTAGCTCGTCAATTATACCGTTACCGATCTAGATCTCGATTAGCTGCCCGATTGTACGCTTCAACGTTTGAGACATACCCCAAGACTGTTCAGGTTCAGCTCGACGCCTTCTACGGTACCGTCGGAGATCAGCTGGTTCTGCTCGTAGAAGTAGTTGTAGAAAGCAGGTCTAGCAGACAGTCAGTAGTGTCAACAACATTCGTCAGGGCGTAGTGAAGCTCACCCATAGTGGCCACCATAAGACTCTGTCCAGAGATTGAACACTTTCGATGTGATTGTCGAGGCAAGTTGAGGCAGTCCGCTATAAAAACCCTGGAGAACATGATAGGCAGCCACGGCAGAGAGATCTGTGGTGTCGAGCAGTTGTGCGTCAATGACAGGATACCTTCCGGTGACATCCTGCACGGTAGAATTGACAAAAGCTCCAGTGAATTCATCATACGAGCCTGCTTCTGCTTCCGAGTACGAGTATCCTACACCCAGGGGCTGCGAAAGGAAGAGTAAGTTCGAAAATGCATTCCACGAGTAAGGATTCAAAGCTGTTTCGAGATCTTCTGTTACATTGCAAGGGCCAAGTTCTGTATAGCGTGTCAACGATATGCACCGCAGCCAGTGTTGATGAGACTATTCACCTTGAAAGAGCCCGATCAAAGAATCGCTTCCCGGTCCTCCGTTGAGCCAAAGAGTAATTGGATCGTTTGCGGGATCATTTCTGCTCTCGAAGAACCAAAAGAAGGTCTAGCACAGCGTCAGTCAAGTCCTAGCAGGGGATTGAACTCCATACGTGGGCATTAGGCGCAATGTCGATGTAACCAGCATATGAATTCACTCCTTGAATGAATGGGTAAGTATGTCACGGTCCCTTTGGTGCTCTTGCTGACCTTCAGTAGTCTCGCAAACACCAGCTTCTCCTGGATGTTTGTATCGTATTTGCACACCAGTGGGGGTAGTAATAGTCTTCACGCCAGTCGCATTTGCGGGTAGCTGTCTGGCACCGAGAGGAAGCTTGATGAACGCGTCGATTGGCGATGCCAGAAGCGCAAACACCGTAATACCAAGTTTCCCTAGCATATTTTCGACACAATCAGGCTCTTGTTGGAAGACACACCAAGCATTTAGACTCCGGCAATCGGCGACTGTTCATCCTTTTAAAGCTGGGTCCGCTGCTGTTCTACTATGTTGCCTCCGCACATCAATCCTGGTAGCAGAAAAGTTCCTGCATTTGGATCCTTTCAACAATTTGGGTAGCGTATCATAAGCCCAACCCACCAGCGGATATGCCATCCTAGACCAAGAATGTCAAGTGTCAAGGGCGCATCCAAGCATCAAATCCTGCAGGCCCTAGAAATGATAAGCTTCCTGCAAGGCCTTGGTGAACAGGAAGTGCTAGGCAAGGCCGAAAGAGGAAGGTGAAGTAGCCGACGGACAGGAAGAAGCTGCGGCGTAGGTTCCGGTTGGCGCGGATGCCAAGTCAAAGAGGCCGAGAACGGGTCGTAGATGTTGATTTTGACGTCGATGTGTTCTATCGATTACGGGGAGATTTGCGGTGTAATATCGCCATTGCGCCTATGAAATGCATCCCGCCATCCACGTTCCACGAGCCTTGGGAGGCGGGGGCAAGGCAAGCAAGGTAACTGTTTTGCGGGAGCTCTGTACGTAGTAACAGTACTTAAAGGCGGATGAGATGTTAGATCCTAGGTCTCAGTATTGTCGACATGATTGCTAGTCGCACTGAGCCCACGGTCGAAGACAAAGGTGATCATGCGAAGTCCTTGGAACTCCCTCTTTCTCCACGACTTTGTGCGAGTCCATCTAAAGAATGGAACTTGAGAGTTGCCTGTATGATAGATCTATCGATTCAATCCACATGTGCTGATGTCGAATGACATATCAAAATTTTAGATTAACATAATATAATAACAATAATTATTGAGCTTTCGACCCATCCATTTTTAGCTAGACTCGCCTCCTGTCTACTTCCGACGCTAGGTTCGCGGGCGGCTCTGCTATCAGTCTCCCAATACCACCAGTCAGTCGGACGGGGTAGTTCCAATGGTCCCTCAATATTACGACTTTTCATGTACGCGTTCTGAAATGAGGCTATGATGGTCTCGAGATTACAAACTAAGCTCACATCGGTCTATTGGTTCTTACCTCGCCATGTTCACTCGCAGACTCGTATTCATCCTGCCGCTGGCAGCATGTCTCGTCTTCTTCGGTTTTATTGCACAGCGCCTCCTCCTGGAAAGAGGAGCGGTACGATACCCATCAGTGGTGACCCCAGATCATCCTCCCGATTCATCAACATCATCCTGGCGCCCAGGAACCCCACGGAATGCGTGGGATACAGGCAAATATGAACTCATGAGACGGCCGAAAGATGCCTCTGCCCCATGGACGCATCGCGAATTAGTGTCGCTTACAACACCAGGTGGGGAATACATCATGATCAATTTCGGAGTCGTCGAAGGTGCCATCAATCCAAACATGTTACCACATCCTAAATTGAACGACACATGGATCCTCGTTGCACAACACGGTAAACTAAAAGGATTCCCGAATTTCTCTCCCGAGGAATCATTTTACTTTGATGAATTGACATGCCTGGCAAATTTCACGTCTCCGGGAACATTACAATGCATGACTCCGCCTCTGCTACTCCCGATAGCCAATGCACCAAACAGCCATGGGTGTGTAGGCAAGAGTATCTGGATTCTTTCTACCAATATTGGTCCTCATGATGCTCGAGTGGTCTATGGTCCGGAGTTTCCAATCATTGTATACGGAGAGAAATCACAATACACCTGCTTCAGTCTATGGATGCAAGATTTTCGCGTCCTTGTGGACTGGGAATACGACACATCTTGGGACAGAGTAACGGCAGTCAATACCTCTGGCTTACGGCATGCTGTCGAAATGCAGCGCCCGCCGCCTATTGGAATTGTAGAGAAGAACTATTTTCTTTTCTGGGATTTCGAAAACCAAATGTACGCTCATTTCGATATTGCACCTGAACGTGCTTTCGCAAAAATCGAGAACGACGGCTCTGTGGGCCCAAACCTCGCATCCGATGTGTCCATCACCGATCTGGAGTGTATGAACAAGTATATGCCCAAGACTGGTCCAGAATTGGAGGACATCCACCAAGCAACGAATTCTTTGTCCATCACCCTTTGTGACCGCGCGGATCCCAAATGTAGTCCAGACACTGAGAACACCTTCATAATGACAATATGGCAGTGGAAATCCTACCATTCCTTCCATGGTGCTTACGAGCCATATCTTGCACTTTTTAAGCGAATGGCACCCTTCGAGCTCTATGGCTTGACCACGAAACCTTTCTGGATGCGAGGCCGAGGCGGATTTGGCGAGGGAAGGCTGCCTGATCCAAACGCAAATGACCAGATAAAGGCTGAATGGAACCAGACCGAGATGCTCTACGTTACGAGTATGGCCTGGAAAGAACCTGGTCTTAGATATCATGGCTTCCTGGACGATATCATCTGGATTGGTTTTGGTATCGAGGACAACTACACCGCGGCTATGGACGTGAAAGCAAGAGATTTGTTTCCCGATCTGCAGCGATGCCAGTTGCCATGAGAGTGACAGCCAAACTTGTATTACTTTTATGAATCATGTAAAACCATGCGCTTGATGTAAATTGGATGATACCCTCATACATGATCGAGCTAAGATAGCGACGATTCGGAATAGATATCATTTACTACTATTTGTGCTTGTTACAGCAACATGTCGAGCCTTAGGCATCAACATCACCCGCGAAGCTACCACCGCGCGTTATCAACATCCCGCGACCCATCGTACCACTTGTAAATCCACGTCCTGTCGGCTCTCTGTACTATTGTAATACAATCGAATCACAATGTCTAGGCAATCGATGGCCCCGTCACGCAATCCTTCTCTGCTCGAAGAACTAGAGAAGCTTGAGCAATCTATAACTTTGACGCTTCAAGGTATGTACTATGTTGTTCCTCCAAGCGACAGGGTCTCACACCGTTCCCAGAAATCGATTCGAACTTTAGTCGCGCACACCGTATTGTAACCACATCGATTATACCAGTGGTACAAGAATATGCCAAACATTCTGAGGCCGTGTGGGAAGGTTCGAAGGTACATTTCGACCCCGCAGCACTTTTCTGCCAGCATAGACTGACGCTTTTATACACTCACAGTTTTGGAAACAATTCTTTGAATCCAGCGCGAATGTCTCTCTCGACGGATATGAAGTTGCGCCGCCAGAAGATTCCATCATTCCGGATGAGAACAACACCACTCAACAATCCTCTAGCTATGACACGAATGTCGATGAAGATACCATAACAGGCTCCTCCATAACCCCTCCCAAACCTGCTCCCACCGAAGCAGACGATGAACTCTCCACCGAAGTCCTCTCTTCTCCCTCCGCCGCGCACGCGCACAGTACACCCCGCCAACCAGGCGCTGCCGGCACATCATTCGCATCCTACGGCTCGCCGTACGAGTCCATGAAGCGCTCCATGGCCGGCCTATCCACACGCAGTCCCCCATCCTCTCCTATAATCGACCCCAGAACGCCCGCAGGCAACACCCGCGCCACGCTTCCAGATACCTCCATGACCCCTGAATCCTCCCCTTTCAATCCGCCCACATCCACAGCAACACGCACAAACGTCAATCAAGATCCGTTGCTCCACCAGATGTTGGACAAAACCTATCGTATTGCAGCGACACCTCATACTGCCCGCAAGCAAGCCCAGCCTCCAGCGTCCCGCACAGGCTTGGGCCCAAAGCAAAGAGCTCACAAGCCGTCCACGGGCTTGACGCCCTCAACGCGCGGCCATCAGTCTGCGCCATCAGCGCTCGATTCCTCGCCGTTTGGCTCGTCGCCTGAGATCGCGGCGCCGCAACTGCGTGCGGATATATTTTCTAGTCCCATAAAGGGCGGGTTCGGAGGCCCGCGAACACCGGGTGTGAGTGTGATGGCGTCGGCGCGGAAGAATATTGCGACTCCGGCGCAGAGGGAGGGTGTGGTTGGCGCCGGCGCGAATTTGTTTAGCCAAAACCGTACGGACCGTACGGGTGGTGGCTTTGGGGCCGAAAAGACTTTGGAATGGGATAGCGACGATGATTTCGAGGAAGAGCTGGGCTTCAGTCCACCTAAGACTATGCAGTTCCATGTACCGCAGAGCCGCCTTCTACAGACACCTGGTAAGTTCGTGTTATGCTGCGTATGTTACATTCTAACAGACATACAGCACGAGAGGCAAGCAAGAGAATTGTAGAGGACCTGCTACTGACCGCCGGAGCCGACTTCACAGACGAATTGGACTCAAAGCAAGAGGATGATAGTCCTAGCGTGGTGCGCAGGCACAATGAGATGGATGACACCTTTTGAGGAACAGAACAGTATACGTTCCAGAACTCCGACAATGCATTGTACGACGTGTACGTAAGACTACAAATTTCAGCGAGTGTAATACTCCTTAACGAAAATCCGCGAGGCCAAGATTTGCACCAGTATCTTCCAAACGCCAATTCATCATTCTGCGCCAAGTGTAATTTGGGTATAAAGCTGTCCCACGCGTTCAAACTATGATGCCTCTCATTGGCGGTGTTCTAAGTCCCATTCGCTCCCGGCTTCACTCCCAACATCTGTCCAGCTGGAGGGAGTATCTCGCCCGTGCCCAACCTCACTAAATTCACTCATGGCATCGTCATCATTGTGCAACGAGTGCAGGGAGGGTGACATAACGGCGATGTCATCAGCGTGTGTTCCGACAACGGAAGCACCAGTCGCAAACCCATCTGACGTCGGTGTAAGGATACCGGATGACATGGATGCGGCTCGGGAGTGGGGAGGAGAAACGAAGGAGTGGTAGGATTCTTCCGTGGAATAGACAGAGGCATCTTGAGAATGTATGGCAGTAGCCCCGGCATCGTGAGCAAGGCTCTGATCAGGAATCATCTTAGGTGTATCGGCTGCCAGAGTCGAGGGTGACTGCAGGGCTTCCTGTGTATGATCATCGGCCGTTCCAATCAAGCTTTCATCATGTAGACCATCCAACTCATCAGCGAAAGGATTCGCAAAGTGAGTACCACACTTCAAACCCGCTTCGGCACGTCCTCTAGCTTTGAGTCCACTGTGATCTTCGGTCGTCTCTCTTGCAGTTGTGGCGGCTTTGTCGGCTTTATTTCTCGCCCTTCGCTCCGACTTGAGCATGCCATCAGCACCAACAATGTCGTCGAAACTCTTGCCACTGTCAGCTCTCTTGACAGTGCGGTTCGTATGCCAGCCTTCGTCTTGGCCTACGCTTGCCAGCTCGTCCAAGTCAACAGCTACACCCTCGTCCCTCGCCTTACGAATTATAGCTGATCGTCGTCTTCGAATGAGCATCTCCTGTAGTCTGCGACGCTCTTCTTCCTCGGTCGTGCCACTGCTTGAATGTTGTGACCTTGCCGAACTATCGCCCTGGCCGTTCCAGGCTACGGCGATCTTTCGGCGGTTTTGTTCGAGCCATCGTCGAAATTCAGGGCTCTCGTAGATGGCGATTCCGGCGGCTATGATGATGCCGGACGCGAGGATGATGCCTGGGTGGCGAGTCAGCATTTTCAGGGTCTGAGGGGTCTGAAGAGGAGAATAAATGGTAGCGTAGAGTGTACAAGGCTTTTATGCAGGTTTCAGGATCGAAAGGCCTTGTCACACGACTTGATCTACTGTTGCGGCAGTGCTTCGCCACGGGCGGCGTCATTGGTGCGATGGAGGGGCAAATACCTTTGGCAAGTGGGGCAGGCATATCGACTGTTTCGTCCTCAAGACAGCAGTATCTGCGATGATAGATGTCTGAACTATATTCAGATTCAGTTCACTCACTCGCTCGGAGAAGGAGAAGAAGACGAAAGCAACCTCGAGTAAGCTGATGAGAGCGGCCAATGTGGCGGTTAAGTAGGCATTGTGCAGTGGCGGCCCAGAGCTATGGCCGCGTATCCACCTGCCCCAGCTCACAGAACCTTGGAACGGAGGTTGGTTCGAAGGTTCATAGTCGCGATGATTGGCTTGGTATTCGGACACTAGCCACAGTGCTTCCCAATTTTGATGTTGACGGTGACATCCTGTCTCAAAGTGTGACTTTCGTAGTGGAGTGACATGCAAGTGGACTGAATGCAAATTTGCCCAGATGTAGACCGTGAGCTTTTACTACCCTGTTACTGTAGCTTATTAGTTCACGAGAAGAGCCGTTTCACGCGAACATATCTAATTTTACAACAAATTATTGAGACAAGTACAAATCCTACAAATCCTATTCCGAAGCTCCGTATATATGCTATTTATTGAATCTACTAGATTGTTAGATGAACCCTTTGTTTGCCCACAATCTACTGTCATATATTTCTCTATTAGTAGGATCTCTTCTTTGGTGGCACATGCTGATGATAATTATCAGTACAAGAATTCACGATACTAAACAGGAGACTTGACTCACTTCGCACTCGCTCTGATCAAGCGTGTTCATCTGTACGGCTCTCGTCCCAAGTCGGACTTTGTCCGTGATGTCCTTTTGCCAACTCAAGCTGTGTTTCATCCACTTCTCATCTATCCGGTCAGGAAAGTCGTCTCGGGCGTGGCTTCCTCTGCTTTCCTGTCGCTCTAGAGCTGAGGACACAGTCTGTGCTGCATTAGTCAGGAGGTTCCGCGTTTCCAGTGTCTCGATCAAGTCCGAATTCCAGATTAGAGACTTGTCCCGAACGTTCACATCTTCAGAGAAATCGTGACAGATCTTTTCCAGCTTCTCAACGCCTGTGGCTAGTGATTCTTCTGTTCTGAAGACGGCTGCGTTAGCCTGCATGTTCGTTTGCATATCACCCCTGAGAGATGCGGTCAAGGTCTTGCCGTCAGCGTTCAGGAACTTTAGGACGTCCGTCAACGAATCATTTCCAATGTCCTTCGGTGCTGGTTCGTGCTTTTCACCCGGAGAGAATTTTGCTTGAATGTCCAATGCTGCGGCGCGCCCGAATACGACAATGTCTAACAGCGAATTTGCGCCTAGACGATTGGCACCATGAACACTAACGCAGGCGACTTCGCCAACTGCGTAGAGTCCCGGAACGGCATGTTCAGATCCGTCAGTTGAAACGTCGAGCACTTCGCCTTTGTAGTTTGTGGGAATACCACCCATGCAGTAATGCACGGTTGGTAGAATTGGAATCGGCTCTTACAGAGAGTCAGTTCTGACTCTCGTTTTGGGATTTCGTTACTCACGTTTTGTAATATCAACGCCCGCAAAGATAGCGGCTGTCTCCGCAATACCAGGCAGTCGTTCCATGATGATATCCTTAGGAAGATGGGATAGTTGCAAATGTATATGATCTTTATTTGGTCCAACGCCACGGCCTTGTAGAATCTCGAGGTTCTCAGATCGTGATACAACGTCTCGGGAGGCCAGATCTTTCGCCGTTGGAGCATATCGCTCCATGAACCGCTCTCCCTCGCTGTTTAGGAGGAAACCACCCTCACCTCGGGCGCCCTCTGTGATAAGCACACCGGCACCATAAATACCAGATGGATGGAACTGCACAAATTCCATGTCCTGGAGAGGTAAGCCTGCGCGTGCTGCCATAGCCGTGCCGTCTCCAGTTGAAGTATGCGCACTTGTGCAGCTAAAGTATGCCCGACCGTAACCTGAACGTTTGTTAGATAATCAAGATCGTATCGATTGCGACATTGTATTTTACCTCCGGCAGCCAGCACAGTATTCTTCGCGAAGATGCGATGGAAAGTCCCATCTTCCATCGACATTGCAGTCACACCAACACACTTGCCGTCAATCATCATCAGGTCCTGAGCGAAATACTCAATGAAGAACTTGCAATCATGCTTTAATGATTGACCGTATAGAGTGTGCAGCATAGCATGCCCTGTTCGGTCTGACACACATGCTGTTCGATAAGCCTGTCCTCCAGTCCCGAACTGTTGACTTTGTCCTCCAATAGCACGCTGATAGATCTTACCCTCTGACGTTCGTGAGAAAGGCATTCCATATCTCTCGAGTTCAATGATTGCTTCCTCTGCCTCGCGCGTCATGTAATGGATAGCATCTTGGTCGCCAAGCCAATCTGATCCTTTGACAGTATCGTACATATGCCATCGCCAATCGTCGTGATGGATATTTCCAAGCGCCGCGTTAATGCCTCCTTGCGCTGCTACAGTGTGTGATCTAGTTGGGAACTAGGTTCAGGTTAGAAGAGATGGACAAGTCTCGTGATCATGGCTCCCTACCAATTTTGTTATACATGCTGTATTCATGCCAGCTTCAACCAGACCCACAGCAGCCCTGAGGCCTGCACCACCAGCACCAATGACTATCGCGCTACAAAATGTCAGCTTCGTGCAACTTGTATAAAGAATGCCATACTCATAGTGATGGTCGACGACGGTGTAATCCTTGAGATTAATTGAGGTCGCATAAGTGTGTCTTGCGCCTGGTAATGTTTTCCATTGATGTGCTTTATATCTAAGAAGGCCACGTAACGTAGAGCTTGAGGTGCGCATGATGGAGAGTAGGCCCAAGTCTCACGCACACATGCTCATACTGTGAAGGTGAAAGAAGAACACCTTTTTGACACGATCCACTCCCATCGACATTGGTAACGCCCCGCGTGGCTCACCCAAAGTGCCGACGAAACCAAGGTAATTGAATGATCTCCCGGCTAATGGGTTGAATCGTAGGGCTAGTTATGTAGATTTAGTCTTGGTTTATTTCCTCCAATCAGCGCTCGTGCATTTTGAAGCTTAACGGAGACTTATAGTTAAACGCTTCGCGACATGAGTTTTATTTCCCATGATGCACATGTCTTGTCTAATTAGCCTTTGCGGGGAAACAGCTCTCGGGAATAAAATATACACCATTGTTATCTCCAGATATATGTGCCGAATCGAGACTAGCTCCACTCCTGAATTGAGAAACACCCAAAATGAGCACCACGTTTGAGCAGAGTATATCATCGCATTGATATTTCAGTCCAGAACCTGTCGCATGCTTTTTACCATATTGAAGTTTTGAAACATACATGCAGCCCATGAAACTTCTGGATAAACACCAGACTTCATCGTTAAGATTGAAAACCCACGCCAACGCTGCATCATGCGACTTCTCAGGCTCAGAGCAGCTATACGGGAGCCTCGGGAGCCTCAGGGGGTAATTCCATGTAAAGTGCAGAACACGGCCTGGAATAATAATCTAAGATGTATACTGATGGACATTCGATGACTCGAAAGCTAGAGCCTCAGGCTGCCTGGTCGTCGGTGCCTTAGCAAATTAGGTAAGCTTCGCACGCATCGCAGTCTATGTCTTTGGTATAATTAGAAGCATCAAGTAAATTGACCTATAGCATGCAAAGATAGTTTCGGATGGGATACGCTCAAGTTGACTGCAATTATAGCTTTGCTATGATTGCAGTCAGCAGTGACGGTGGAAACTATGCAAATGCTCTGTAGAATACAAAACAAAGGTTTGTTTTGCAATATAAATGCTGCGAATCTCTATGCACTGATTCTCGGGTAGCCGGCGAAGCTTTCAGCAATGTGTTCTCGGTTTTTTTATCCCAATTTACTGCTCAGCTCAGCACTCTTGGAGCGAAACAACTCCGTCGAGACCCAGACTTCTATTATCACTCAATATCCTTATGGCGCTCTTCTGTGTCCGCAGCGTACATGAACTTAAAGGGGTATAACAGGCAGTTTTCGAATCGGATACTAGTCACTAATTAACCTTCCGACGTGGATTCCGCACACTTTCTGCGCATTTCCTAGCCCGTCAACGCCCATACATAAAAACGAATATAAAAAGAATAATGAACATCAAGACAAGAGCTGATTGGCTCTTACATCTCCGGAAGGCTACATGCTGGAGCCTGGACGTATGCACGCAGCCCCCAGATCACCCGCTCAGCCTCAGCGGCCGCCCCCATTCTATATCGAGCTTCGCTAAAGGCCCCCAAACATATGCATGCATCCTCGGAGCCTTGTTTTCTCAGCCTTCATGTCCCCTTGGGATCCTGGCCTGTACCAGTGGCTTACTGGAGACAAATCAATTGACTTGCTTCATGTCACATCACATATTGGGCCATTCAGATGGCCGCACGTCCGGAGAGTCTCGCTTTAGCAGGCGTTAGCCCCAATGCATCAAGCTGCAGTTACAGTCATGATAGCGATGCGTCTCTACGACTTTCTCCTTTTTGTGGCCAAGATCGTCTCGACGTCGACTCTCGATGGATGATCGACTCAGCTGGACCACGACTCAGCTTCAGTGTGCACAAAATAGTACAACCGACACATTTCCCGGCAGCGATGAGGATCGTTGCCAGTTGTATGCGCGAACTCGTGAGGCAACTCACCAAACTGACCGGTCAGTACCCAATGCATATGCGCATCTATACATATCTGTCAGCCCCTCAATCTGGTTCTGTGATTGGAACGAAGATTTTATGCCAAGGAGTTATTACAGGGGTCTAGAGCTTCGCCAAAGTTGTATCGAGATAGGTAGTCATTTGGAGGCGTGTGGTTCCGTTTCTCCCAATGCTATGGAATCTCGCCTCCAACTGCAGCCAGCTTGAGGCGTTTGGGCTGGACGGAGTCGATCCTTTTCTAATGCTCTATTCGCCTATTTTGGCTAGATTCTCTCCCAAGATCTCGGTGGCTGAATTTCAGATCTGTTCATGGCTCTGCTTCTGGGGTTAGTTGGATGCATGCTTGTTGTTGGGCTTGATGGCCTTGACCGGGCATCTCAAGAATATAAGGCCCAGGCAAAAGCCCATTGGTAAGAGCAAGTACTGTCCAACACGGGAATCCTCACCTCATTCCTTCAATTCTGTTTCAATTCCTCTCTTGAACAGATCAAATGGCACACTCACACGAAGAGCATCATCATGAGGAGGAGGAGAAGCTCAGGTTCTTCTCCTCACCCCTGAAACATGAACCAGCTTCCTTGCCAAGGCATGAATCCAAGATCAGCGACGAGGAGAACAGGAAGGATGGTCCACATACAACGAACAATGAGATACCCTGGAATCGGGACGGCCAATTACACGAAAGCCCTGAGTTTCATCGTCACGAAGCAGCTCAGTCAATTGAGCTCTTCTATGACCTGTTCTTTGTTGCTAACCTTACGACTTTCACTGCGAATCACAACATCAATACAGTTCGAAGTGAGTTTTGCTTACGCTTTCATTCCAAAAAGGAGGCCTCGTTACTAATAATTGCTTAGCCTTGTCCTCATATGTCGGGTTTTTCTGTATTTTGTGGTTCACTTGGTACCAATCCACACTCTACGACGTTCGCTTCGCTGTCGATAATGTTGTGGAGCGTGTCTTCAAACTCGTAAACTTCGGTGTGATGATGGGACTTGCTGCCGTGGGATCCGGATTTGATCCCGACGATACGGCTAACAAGTGGAAGACATTCAGAGAATTGACTCTTATACTGATGGTTTCGAGACTGACGCTCGTTGCTCAGTACTCCTTCACGCTGTTTTGGACCAGAAAGTATCGGCAAATCGTACTCCCTCTTTTGATGGTCATCGCCATGAGCTTCATCGCGAGCATGGTATATCTTGGTCTGTACTTTGCTTTCCAGGAAGGCAAAGACACGAATGCTTATGTCGCCTGGTACATCGTTGCTGTACTCGAAACTGTCCTCACCACTTGCGTGTCTATGAAGTGGCGAGTCATCAGTTTCAAAGGTACCCATATTCAAGAGAGGTATGCGGCATTCTTGTGTTCATGGAATGAATCAGCACTGACCTTGCTTTAGACTGAGTTTACTGACCTTGATTATTCTTGGCGAGGGTATAATCCTTCTGTGCAAGAGTATATCATACATCATCAAGGGTTCGTGGGTCTTCACTTCCGATACCATTGGTAGCATCATAGCTGCTCTTTTGATCATATACGGTGAGTTCATCCCGAGTAGGCTCGCCAACAATCACTGACACCTACCACAGGCCTTTACCAGGTGTATTTTGATAGAGTAGTCGAACATCATTTCGGTACGATCAGGCAGCAAATATGGTCGTTCGCCCATTTCCCTATGCATATTGCGCTTGTACTGGCTCTCGAAGGTACCCGTCAATTTGTCATCTGGAGACAAGCGATTCCTATGGTGGATACAGTCTACGCCAATGTTTTTCAATGGGATTTTACAGTGCCTCAGGCACCAGAGGTCTTCGAATCCGCCATCACCACGATATGGGACTATGCCGTGTACTCTTTCTCGTTTGTGAAAGACGCGGATATCTCCAGCACGAACCAAACAGTCTACGATAGTCTGGCAACGATTGCAAACTTGACGAACACAGCTGACCTCGCCTGTAACGAGGATTTCACGGTCTGCACTGACGACGTGTACACTATCGACGGAGCTCTCTTCGACATATTTGTTGCGATTACGAAGTTCGAGTTCGACTTGCTCGGAATAAAGGCTCCTAAGCCAAAGGGCGACAAGAAGCCAACTCAATCAGACGTCATCACATCGTATAGCGCAATCTTCGACATGATCTTTACATATTTCTTCATCACGGCCGGTCTCACTCTCATCCTGATAGGTATGCTGCACTGGATAGCCACTCCGCCGAAGAAACTTGGCGACTACCTTCGTGGTGGTTCGAACTTTGTTATTGGTCTTGGTCTGTGTCTGCTTTCAACAATGTCACTAGCACGAAGTCCCGACACTTACGGCAGCGTGGACAAGTACCAATATGGGTCTTGGGTTCTATCAACATTCGTATTCGCGTTGTTCGCTAACGTTGTGCTAAACCATGTTCGCCGGCCTGCGTTCATGACGAAGACGCACAATTGAAGTTACGAGATCAAACGGCGCAAGATGAGAGAAGCTGTATGATTTATACCAGTTCCTTTCCTGCCCACAGGGTAATGGCGGTATTTCCTGTTGGATATTGTTGTCCTGTCACGGCATCTGATCCGATACTTGTTCTCATTTATAGAGTTTGTAGCGATTTTGTTAATGCCCTGCGACTGAATTAAGATACCACTTGCTTCGCCTGATTCATTGACGCTTCATCGGGTATGGGAATTTACTTATAAACCTCATATTTACTACATGTCATACAAAATGATCTGTCACGCACTCCTCATTACCTAAGTCCCATACGTGCAAGCTTCATGGATAAAAGTTTCACAGTTGGCATTTCCTCCCAGCGTAAGCTGTTCAGCGTCTGTATAGACAGGCTCCTCAGCTATCATAGATCCATAGTACATCTCAGGTGTATATAATTCCGCCATCCACTACCACCGTCTGTCCTGTCATGAAGTCGCTATCATCACTAGCCAGGAAGCCAACCACGTTGGCCACGTCCTCCGGCGTACTCGTCCTCCCCAGAGCCGTCAACTCCTCTACATACTTCTTAATTGTCTCGCCACGCTTGCGCCCATCCAGCTTCCCTAGCCCCTCATCGATCAAGTCCCACATCGCCGTGCCTACGATCCCCGGCGCATACGCATTGACAGTGATCTTATGCCGCGAGACTTCCATCGCAAAGGCCTGCGTAAGACCTCTCACTAACACACCGAGTCAGCCACAATTCACCATCGCTGTGCCTGTCAACAGGAAACGAAATACTAACCAGCCCACTTCGATGCGCTGTAATGGCTCAACATGGGAAACGGCTTAAACGCCACGATACTCGCCGCGCCCAGAATCTTCCCACCGCCTCCCTGTGCAATCATCTGCCGTGCTGCGCTCGCGTAACAGTTGTACACACCGAACACGTTGACCTCAAACATGCGGCGTAAATCCTGTTCGCTGAGATCGAGCAGTGGCTTGACCTGCGCGATGCCAGCGTTCGCGACCATGGTGGATAGGGGCCCGAGCGAGGATACCGAGTGCGCGACGAGTGCCTCGACTTCCGGGAGAACCGAAACATCGGCGGCATAGGTGGTTGTTTGCACAGAGTGGATGGACGAGAGAGAAGATGCGACCGAGGCGAGGTCGGCGGATAGGGCAGGTACATCATTTAGGCAGAGGGCGTAGCCATCAGATGCTAGACGTGTTGCAATTGCTTTACCTCTGTTGCGAGTGTCAGATGGTTCGAGATGAGGGTCGAGGGTGTAATGAGTCTTACATCCCTCGACTTGCGCCTGTCACGATAGCTGTCTTGTCACGACGCACTGAGGTGCTGAAAGCTGCACGAGAAAACCGAATATTGGCAGGTCGGAGGCTCGAACATCTTCGCACGAACAAGTGACGGCTCAGTGCCATATCTGTGAGTTAAACTATACGGAAGATTGGTCCGAGGCAGCTGCAAGCTTCCAGTGATCAGTAGTTGTGAAGTGAATGAAGTGCTGTGCCATGAATTTGAGTCGGGACATTAATGCTCCGCCGGCGGAGTGGAAGACGTATTGCCCCCCTGCAACCTGGTACTACCATCACCCCACAACGGACGACATTGAAGTTGCGATACCTGCAACATCATCTACTTTATATAGTAGGTACCCCGATCAGCTATTCCGGGGAACGTGTGACCGCTCGCCCTAGCCTTGTTCCGTCCTCGGTCGTGCTCCTCCTGAATCCGCTATAAAATCCAAAATCCCACTGCTCCTTCGTTTTCTATTCTGCTGTCTGCGTCCTTCCCTCCTCTACTCGATGCCATCAACTCGTTCGCCCTGTGACTCTCTAGGCTGCTCCGCCTCCTCATCGGTGATCCGCCTTCCGGATCATGTGCGTTGCACCACACCCCCTGGGGCCTAGAGTCTGAATCATAGCACTTCTGCTCTTACAAATTCTAATGTTTTCATCTTCGGTAACTTCATTAAACTCAAAGCTTCTCTAGCCTCCTCAAGCGACTTCGGTATGGTGTGAGCCGCAACAGCTGGACCCTTCCGGCTTGCTTTTGTTTCTGGCCAGATTATCCTGCTGTGGTCTCCCAAGCTCCACCAACCTTTCCCTCCCATCATATAGATTTTAGATCTAGCTTCCCATGACGCCTCCATTTCAGCGCGACGCTGGATACAAGCCCTCGAATCCTCTTCGTTAGGATATGGTGGCTCCCAACTGCTGTGGAATATGGCGCACTCCTCAAGTCGAGCGCGATCCCACATGACATATCCCCACTCTCGCAGAGTCTCCCGATTATTTTGATTGACGAAATGGGCCCAGGTCTCATCCTGGTGTGCCCACCGCCAGATATCATCAGGACCAGTATCTGCTTCAGCGACGAATGGCCGATTTATATGGGTTCGCTCGATGGTTGGGCTAAAGTCAGATAGGTAATTACCATCATCTCTCCTGTTCGCATGATTCAATGCTTCACAGAGGAAATTAAATCTGGTTTTTGGGTACACGCCCGAGTACAGACGCTCATACCGAGTTTCATACGATTTGGCCGCCATGATTCGTTGTAGCTTTTCTAAACCAAGCGAAAGGACATATTGGATGAAGGGAGAGTCCCGTTCATCGTCGTACTCAACCCTAAATTCGCCCCAGGCTATATCGTGTTCGGCTATGTCGTTGAATGCTTACTTAATTTAGCAACTTGCACATGTACAGTAAATATGCTCATACCGGGATAGACTGCCTGGGCAAAGTAGTCATGAACACAGGCGAGTTGCTCGTTCTCCCACGGAGAAAATTTCAAGAAGAAAGCGTCCCAAGTCTGTGTCGGAGCAGGGTTTTCAAAGCCGCGGAACAAGTTACAAAAGATTTCGAACCGATACATAGCCCGTTGGATTCGAGTTTCTTCCGTGCGCGTTGCAGGTCTGTAATTACAGCCAGGAAATTTCGTTGCGGCGGTGTTTATGAACTGCGATGCAAGCTCGCTCACACATACATGGACGTTGGCGACGGCTACCGCATCCTTGAGCGTCCAAGCTTTAGGGGGAAGCTGTCTGTTCTCGAGATGTGTTGTGATAAAGGCCTGGACTTGGTCTTCGGTACAAGGCTTCAAGCGCAAGGCCTCCTGCGCAATGTGGGCTTCGGGAAGCACGTCGTCCATCTGCTTGAATAGCACGGTCGTTGTCGTGAGTATTTCAGCGCCGCGAACAGCGGCTAAAAATCTACGGCAAACCAGCATCGACGATCGCAAAGATAAAACATCTGGCAGGTTGGATAGTATGATTTGTAACACTTCAACAGGAAGTTTTTCGAACGGAGATGAGAGTTGCTGGTCCATCGTAGTAGGTATTGTGGCTTTGAGAGCAGTGACTGGAGCGCGCATGGGCTGACGGCGGGTTGGTATCGTTGCCAAGTTATCGCGGTCTGCGGTTTGTGAAGGGGAAGCCTCTCCATAAGAAGCTGCTGATTTGTCATCATCAGGGCGGAGCTGCATATGGCTGCCTGGAATTTAGAAACGTAGAACGGACTTCACCAAGCCACCTCCCTGTCTGATATTAATAGTCTACCAAATACTAAGACTAGCGATACGCGCGGTAATCTGATACAGCGAGACGCTAGGCATAGCGCCCGAGCCCGTTCCCGTCCAGATTAGTGGTTTAGGGTTGCCCTGGTTGACGACTGGACATTGCTGCATGCGACATAATAATTATCCTGCAGTGCTGCCTACCTCATGATGATCTATATTTGCAGTTTGGGGCACGGTTACACAATCTTGATTGGCCATCGTTTCCTCTGGTTCTGCATCCCACAGTCGCTCCCAATCGTCTCTGGTCCTTGAGTTGATAATGAGGCTGTGAAGCGATGCGTCCCCGTCTTAGCCGGACTCATCGCTCCTGATAACGTCGCTGCTACTCATTAAGAGGATCTAGATTCTCAGACCGAGTTGTCGCACCCGATCGATCTAATATATGTGGTGGTGGAGGCACGTCTAATTGTTGAATAGTTTCAGCCAAGCCGAGCATGTTTGTCGCATTTGAAACTGTACACAAAGCCATCAACGTGGACTTAGGGAAGCTTCTGGCCGTTGATATACTGAATCACCTGTCCGGCACATCCCTCGGTCGCAATCTGGCTACCGTTCTTTATGATGTGAAGATATTGCAGCTTCCCCTAGAGGCAACGCCATTAATGTTTAAATATCGGAAGGAACTATGGAAGGAGGGCGGATGGGGAACCGAACCAGTTTAGGGCGAAAGATCCCTGGCGTTGCAGTATCACTCTGCTTTCTATGCTCCGCGGTGGTCATCCTGTCTCTCTTTTTCTAGCCGTTGCTGCACGGTACGCTGATGCCTCACACCCCACCAGGAAACCGCTATGCCCGCTATGCTCGCAAAGAATGTCAATATGTAAGCTTTCTTGAAGCATGCTAGACCATCTCCACACTCACGCTCGCCACCCGCCGCGACGGTCGAGTGATGGTCATAGATTACTCCGTAGAATAGATTGAAGATATTCCCGGATACAATCGGCGCCAAAGTGATGAAACCCCAATTCACTGACAAATTACTCCCACCGAAAGAATCCACCACTAGGGCAGGCATGACTCCAAATAAGAAGCCGTATGCCAGTCCAGTAAGACTGGATACTATCCACAGCTTGTGCGGGTTTTCGATGTTCATTGCTGCGACCTGTGCGAGGGCAAAAATAGTTCCAGCGGCAGTAGCACACCAGAACCGACTTGCATGCAGTCTCTTAACGAGTATGTCTGAGCTGACGCCGGACAAAAGACGCCCTGTGAATGACATGAACGATAACACCGAAACATGGAACGACTGCTGATTCATAATGGTGGCCTCAGGTACTGAAGTATCAAAGTGCCTCCAAAGGGCTTGAGTCTTGAATGACGTTAGTCTAAAGCCAGAAGCAGCTCTCCTTTCTTGCTTACATTGTTGCCAATATTGTTGATGGTCATGAGGCCTATACCAGATAGTAGACCCATTTGTAACCAAAGTTGCCAGAATTCTTGCTTCAATAGAAGGGCAAGTCCCGACATATCTACCCAACGTGAGCATTTGCTCCTCATATTCTGGACGGCGTCGTCCGGGATCGAGGCTACGGAAGCGATATCGTCATCTGCGGTGGACGCTGTGGCAAGACCGTCGTTTTCTGTTCATGATAGTCCGCAAGAGTCTCTCAGATTCACAAGGATATACATAGAGTGAAATGTAACCAATACAGACAGATAGAGCAGCCAGTCGCAGCAGGCCTCATCGAATCAGGAAATCACACGCGTAAGATGGACTGCTCTCCTGGCATGACCACCTTCATCTGTATCTGCACGATGTGGGACGGAGGGTCTCTTACCTGGTTCATTTAGCACGGGCTGGGTCGATCGGCTGGATGAAGTAGAGTGAGTGCGATATAGCTCGGTAGAGTCTACCCTTCGTCCCCCATCACTACTAGGTATTGCTGTATACGGAGAGTGCGCAGGTACGATGTGTAGAAAGAAGATAGAACCGAAGACAATAGCGGACGTGCCGATCGCTAAGAGTAGCAGGAAACCGGAAGTGTTATCAGGGAACACTATGCTGGAGATCGTTGAGAAGAAGAATGCGCTGAGACCGAACGCTGCGACTGGGAAAGCTGTTGCTGTCCCACGATGTTGTGGCCAGTTCAATGCAGCTACTAACTGTGAGCTCCAGTTTCTGAGCCAGCTGCCACTACCTACCAGTTTTCAGAGACGCCTGGAAAGAGCTGCAGCTGCCCATACCAGTCAAAAACGAGAAGAAGCACAACAACGAGGTGCTCATCCCGTCCATCCCTCTGTCATATGCTTGATGGATTGGGAAGTATCCTGCGGCGAGACAAAGGGCACCTATCAAAGCAGCTGCTCTTGGTCCTTTCTGGTCCACAAGTATTCCAAACGGTATTCCCGTGATGTACATGCCCAAGTTCCCAAATGTCCCCTGGTTGAACTCAGTATGTAGAGGCTTGGTTTGCGGCGAGGAGCACGTACGATAAGCTCACCTTCGGTGGCGGAGAGCTTCAAACGCTCAGCAAGCTGAGGCTCCCATGCTGAATATGCATACTGCTCATTGCTTTATCAGCATTAGGACACTATGGCAGCTATCGTACGTACGTTTGTCCCGCTTGCAAGTGATGCTGCAGTTGCTGCCACGAGGGAAACGATGCGTATGGTGTTCTGAGCTTTGATTGAACCCATGTCGCATCTAGACGCCTAGAAGATGCGCACGCCAGGACAATCACTCAGATCACCGAGAGCCCATAAGTGAAAGCTCAGTATGTATGTCGGCTGAGGAGGTCGCTACAAAAGTGGTAGAGAAGTCGCGACAAACACGTTTGCTTGACCGGACGCGCAGCTGAGAATGGCGAACCGGTGGTAGGAGGACAGACAATGGTTTTATAAGCGAGTGGTTCTGTCACCGGGAGTGTTTATCAGTTCCTAATGTTTATTCTTGACTAGCGGTATCTCCGACGATCACGTGTCAGAATCTAGCGTCGTATGTCATTTGGAACCTCTGCTGTGCACGAGGTCAACGCTGTTCAGGCTTCAACACACTCAACGTCGATATACCCTACCACGATCATGGGCGCGCTACTTTCTATACCGCTGCTTGCTGTGCCAAGTATTGGCACTGTATGTTATCACTTCAGGATGTTTCTTGCGACTTCAGAGACTAACGGTTGCTTAAACAGATCGGAACCTTTGCCGCTTCATGTTGCGGAGCCGCGACATGCTCTGCTGTCTTCAGCGCCTGTGGAAAATGTCAAAACAGGTATGCGGAAACTGCTTAGAGTATATTCGTTGCCCCAAATGTTTACGTAGAATAGCATGGCTACTCGTATCGCATACGCACTCATACTCCTCGTCAACTCAATCATATCTTGGCTTATGCTCACGGACTGGGCAATGAAGAAGTTGGAACACTTGACGCTTGACTACATGCACTTTTGCACCGGCGGAGATTGCTTTGGGTTCGTCGCAGTACATCGAATGAACTTTGCGTTAGGTATCTTTCATGCGATCATGGCTACAATGTTACTTGGCGTTCGCTCCTCGAAGGACGGTCGCGCGCCCATCCAAAACGGCTTCTGGGGCCCAAAGATACTGGCCTGGGTCGGTCTTATCGTCGTAAGCTTCTTCATACCGGAGACCTTCTTCGCGACGTGGGGCAAGAACCTAGCTTTAATCGGCGCCATCCTCTTTCTCTTCATCGGCCTAATACTACTCGTGGACCTCGCGCATAACTGGGCCGAATTTTGCCAGGAGAAGATCGAGACTGCCGAATCGAGAGTATGGACTGGTCTGCTTGTTGGAACTACGTTGTCCATGTACTTGGCTTCCTTTGCGATGACCATCGTCATGTATATTTTCTTCGCGAAGAGCGGATGTCAAATGAATCAGGCTGCAATCACGGTATGTAGCTTCGGCTCAGACACAAACATTTCTGACAGAATAACAGATCAATCTTCTCCTTGTATTCATTGCTTCGATTGTATCGATCCACCCAGTTGTTCAGAACTACAACACTCGCGCAGGTCTAGCCCAGTCGGCCATGGTTGCAGTGTATTGCACATACTTGACGATGTCTGCTGTAGGGATGGAGCCGGACGATCACCAATGCAACCCTCTTATCCGCGCTCGAGGCACACGTCGCGCTTCAATTGTTGTTGGAGCCATTGTGACTTTCGTAACTGTTGCATACACCACGACTCGGGCCGCCACTTATGGCTTGGCCCTAGGAAGCCAAGGCAACTCATACTCACAACTCGCAACCGAAGATTACGAGGCAGGCCCAATCTATACCCAACCCGAAAGCCGCCGTGAATTACGAACGGCTGCACTACGCGCTGCAGTCGAAAGTGGAAGTCTACCGGCCAGTGCTCTCGATGATGATTCTGACGACGAATCCGACGACGGCAAGAACCATCCACGAGACGATGAACGTAGCCAGACACAGTACAACTATGCCATGTTCCACATCATCTTCTTGCTCGCCTGTTGCTGGGTATCGACGTTGCTCACAATGAACTTCGACGAAACGAGTCACGACGACTTTGTTGCAGTCGGAAGGACTTATTGGGCAAGCTGGGCAAAGATCGTCAGTTCTTGGGCTTGCTATGGTATCTATATCTGGTCTCTGGTTGCGCCAGTGGTGGTGCCTGATCGATTCGATTATTAAATATTGTACGTCCGTCCAGGGAGCATTGTACTGTATAGTTTGTCATTGTCCTCTCGTATTCCTAAATCCCTACAACTACCAATTTACCTTGATGTCTTGGCTTTCACTGCACATGTCTAGGCTCTGTTTAAGTATTTATTAACCACGCAGTGATAACTGTCTGATATTCTGAGCTTGTTTGAGGTTTGAACAAGAATCTTGAAACAAACACACGTCTATCTCACCAAATCACTATTCTATCGATGCATGCGATGTGGCTTGGAGCTAGTAATAAAAGGGGAGTCGTGCTCTACGCTCCAACGCGGCTAGCTCACTACTTAGCAGAACTTCTGCTAATAGCTACGAGATCTGCCGCCAATTTGGGAGGACACAATTGTGTGTACACTTTTGGCTACGTGTCTAACCAGAAGACAGCATACAAGCACGATACGCAGACCCACCCACCCACTCATACAATCAAAACACTTTTCAACACGCCCAATGAAATACGAGAAGTAGATTTACATGCCCCCCGATGCCCCCCCTAACTGTCATATACATATGTAAATCCCCCCTCAAAGGAACACTAGCGTTAGCTAGTACCATTGAATATCCTGCATAGCGTTTCTGAGGACCTCTGTCCGTGTCTTTTGCATTTCCGGCGCGTTTGCACCAATCTGCTCCACGATCTCGAGCATGCGTCGTATATCGATGCGTACGAGCGCGTGCAGGGGATCCGAGACGAGAGGAGTGCCTGAGACGGCTTCCTGTTCGATAGCAAGGATACGCGCCATCATAAGCTTGGGAGAAAAGAATCACGTCAGCAATAGATTCGCGAGTTGGAGCAGGGTCGACCAGGGGAATAAAAGGATTCGGCGTGGAAGGATGCATAGTAGAGGAGATCGTGCGCTTACCGCTTCTTCGAACGCGCGGTGCTGAAACACCCACCATACCCCGGCGTCGACCTTCATGTACTCCCACATCTGGAAATACGTCTCGAGGCCCATGCGCGCAGCCTCGAGGGCGCCGCGCACATCACAGGCTACCCCAGCGGCCTCGTTTTCGTCGGCCTGTAGGATCATGTAGCAGTGCCAATACACACTGCGGCAGAGCATGTTCTGGCGGAAGCCGCGCGGGTCTGCCACGGCCAGACTGCTAATCGAGTCGCGGTCGCCCACGGTGAGATGCGAAGGAAACGAGGAAAATAGGTCCCGGAACGCGCCGCTCAGGTCCTCTTTCTCGCGCTGCGAGTTGCATAGGGGTCGTGTGAGGGACCGGGGCATGCAAATGATGCGCTGAACCAAGTTTCCCATGCGCCACATGCATCGTATGTATTCGCGATCGGAGAGCTCGTATGGAGGATAGGGATTCGACGGAGCGATATTGCTGATGCTCATAGGGTTGATGTTGATATCACTGTCACCGTTGATGGAAGAACTGGTGTTGAATGGCGAGTTGGAAAGATTATCGGTGAGGAATTCTACAGGTATATCCGAGAACGTGCCGGTGGGAGGAAGTTTAAGAAGGACGGTGAGGAAAGTATCTTGTACCATGACTGCCTGCCAGACCTTCAGCCGTGACAGTTTCTCTTGTGGTGTCCCTCTTGGCACAATGGTTTCGGGATCTCGATTAAGCCCCATGGCATAGGCCTGCCGCATGAGTACACCCCCAAAAGACCATGCGTCCGAAGCATGGTTATCGTTCATAAGGAAGTAGCAGTGGAGTATCATGGCTTGGATTGTTCGTATTGACACTCGACTGAGATAGCTGGATATGCGAAGAGCCTGGTGTGCAGCAGAGACATAAAATTCAGCCATTTGTGATCTTTCCTGCTCAGACGTGCCTGTCACGAAATGCAGCCCCATTGCGTACATGACTAGATGCAAGGATAGTAGAGCAGGATCTGCTGTGTGTTTTTCTTCCTGTGGCATCGCCCAGAAGTCTTCGTAGTCAACATAAAACGAATGACGTTCTATCATTGGATACACAGGGTCGACTGTGTCGAAATATGTCGAAATGAGAAAGTCTGCCTGGTCTTTACTAGGCAGTACGCCGATGACCTCGGAAAGACCCCCTTTACTTGTCCAGTAATTCGCAAATGGGTGTTCGGCACTGAAGCCGAAAACCGGAGACGGCGCATGCTTTGTGTTAGGAATGTTGGATAGGAGAAATGGTGACGAAGATGTTGAAGAAAGAGAATTCTGTCGGAACAGAGATCGTGGAAGGGGTATCTAGGCAACACTAGGGTTAGTACAGAGAGTACTTATAGGAGTTGGGTTACCGCTGCGACTTAAGACATCGAATTTTGCGAACCAATAAGAGGCCGAGGGGGTTAATCAAGGATTCAAATGAGAGTCTCTCGGCCGGGCAATGTGCAATAGACCGAAGGCACGGAAAAGCCCGTGAAGGTGTAGAGAGATTCGAGATCTTCAGATTGTGGAAGCACAACAAGGTACCCGCAAAACGGCGGCGCGAGATTGACGAATTGACATACCTCTGGCGGAACAGTCACATTTGTGGGATCTGGTGGAGGGAAGACGGACTCTTTCTTAGTTCTTTGGGGCACTCTGGGGGCTGATTTGCTGTATAGCGTGCATCAGCGAGGATCTTCCCGATAGTGAAAGTCGGGCTGCAGATCCGGGGATAAAGATGATGCCGAAGATCAGCAAACGGCTATAAGAGCGGGGACGTACTCTACGGATGCTATAGCATTGGCGACGTCTGAGTACTTGCATTCGGACATGCGCTTGATACATGCTAAACATTGTGGTCGAGCGCGATCGCACTATATGAGATTCGGTCAGTCTCAGTATGCCGACGACGATGAATTGCGACGTCTGATTGAGCGAGTAGAGAATGGGACGTCATGTATGTATATTGAGTGCTGAGTCGTGCCCCCACGTAATATTTGCTTGAGAAGCGCATTTGTATGTTGTTGCATATTGCTATAGTCGCCTATACCACAGAAGGCCGTAACCCCTTGTCGTGTGCTTGTGCAACACTTGTAGCAGACAACAGGGGATTAAATTAATGGGATCATAGTGACAAACCTTTGTCTTCCTTTCCACACATTCGGCACAGCTCAAGGTGGGTTTGTTACGCTTTTGCTTCTTCTTTGGCGGAACATCGCATTTCTTGGACCTGGATACCCCAGATTCCTGCGGAGATGCAGTACTTGGGCTGCTATGTGATGGCGCAGCAACCAGACCAACAACACTCAATGCTGATGACGGGGAAGGAGAGGGCTGATGCTCATGCTGATGGTGTTGGTTGATATTGGAGCCGGCTCCAGCGTTGTCAGCCATCTGGCTTATCTGACAGCCGCATTGGCATTGGAAATTGACTGTGCGTCTGCGGTGCAAGTGTGTCGCGTTGCGATTGAAGAGTTATTTCCGTCTGCTTCTGCTGGAAATAACTTGCGACGGTCACGCCGTATTCAAGGCCTGAAGCTTCCTGGAACGCAGAGCGGGGAAACAGAGACCCACTATTTCCTAACCGAATATTCCCAAGGACTGTCATTGGCCACATTCTTGAATCGATCCACTGCATTGTTCGTCTGTGATATATACATACCTATTACCTGGTAAATGAGAGCAAAGAAAGAAAATTTTGTCTGTCCTGACTTGCAATACAGCCTTACTGAGGACATCTGAACCAGGTTCCGGCTTGCGATCCGAGACTGTACACGGTCGGAGCATTGCCTTGCCCTGCAACGTAATTAAAGCAAAGGTTTCATGCAAATGGAGGTCCGATTATCATCTTGTTTTTTTCAGGCTTCTTTCAAGCATACCGTCGACAAGACAACCTCCCTATCAAAAGCAACGACGAGCTTTCTATCCGAATGTGAATTTATCTCATTTAATGTGATAGTGTTCGAACAACATCCCCGCCGTTGTTTCGTAATGTTGGTTCGCGAAGCTTCGCTCACATACTATGACATCGCGAAGTTGTCACTTCTGTCTGATATGAAACTCAGGTTCTCTCGGGTCGCAATTTGGTCTCTTGGGCTTTGGTTGCAGTATCAACCATTGGTGCTTTGGCGGCAAGGCTCTTGATAGGCCAACCATTATATGTCAAGCATATCTTCGTGTTCACGCATCCGCCTCCGTCTCCGCTCGCGCTTGAGGAATCACTGCTGCCATAGTTGAGTGACACTCCCATTCCCTGGAGTCCTATCCCGGTCGCCTTCCGATTCCAGTGAAATTGCTCTACCACACCATCCAAGCTAATTTTGAGAAATCCCATGGGCATCTCGCTTTTCTCAATTGCATCCCTGACACCGTTCGTGACGTTGCCTGGACTGGCGACCAAACCAAGGACGTCTTTTTTAAACCATGTCGGTATGCCTGTGAAGGCTCCAGCTAGCTCGCGAACATGGCTAGGGAAGAGACCAGAATTAAGTGCCTTACATTGTATGAAGATACGAAGAGGCTCTGCGGAACTAGGTACCGACCATCGGCCGATCAAGTCTATACCCAGATCTGACCGACGACCTGTCCGTGTCAGGTCGAAATGGTATCGCCGCAGTGTGTCGGCAACTGTGTACTCGTATTTTGTGCCGTTGAAGACGGTCGTTGACCGACCCAGATTCTCGCGTTGCGCATATTGTAAGAAGCTCTCGAGATCGTTATGGTGACTTGAACCAGCACTAAAGCGAGGTTCTGATGCCATTCGCATGTCGTCAAACCCTTGCACGACTTCATCCAGTGCAGTGGCGGAAGCAGTGCTGACTTCGTCCAAAATTTCAGTTTTGATGGGAGATTTGCTTCTGATATTCTTCTCTTTTCTGGGTCGACCTCGTTTCGGAGTATCGAGGATCAAGGTTGGCTGCGCCTTATTATCATTAATAGGGCGTTCGTGCAATCTTTGGGAAATGTCACGAGCTTCATCTGACATGAATCTAGCCGCACATGGCCCTCGCTGGAGAAGCCATCGCGAGCGTAAACGCGACGATGGCCTCGTTCGGGAATGTAATGTCCACGCAGCTTGTGCTCGAGAGACGGGAGAGACGGAAGTGAACATCCAGATCACAAGATGAAGTCTAGCAATGCATGATGCTGTTGGCAACTGGGTTGACGTCGAAACGCGCGTGCCCAGTAAAGTGTGGCGCCGGGGGCCCAGTAAAGTGTGGCGCCGGGGGCCCAGGCCGAAGCAAGCGCTTGACGCTTAACCTCACCTTAAAATCGCGATCACCAACTTGTTCATGAACTAACATCCTACGCAAAGCTGGACACCAAACAGCGCACTCACCGCTACGGTACTTTCAAACTTCGCCTACAGCTTGTCAAATCATTCGCTCAGACCACCTAGGCAAAGTTTTATTGACATGGCAGATCGATTATCGCAACTCCAGACCTGTCTGGACCAGGTACGGCTAGTATGACCTGGCAGTCGAAATTGCCCACTCTGACAATGCACATAGCTCACAATACAAATGTACTCTTCCCTTATGTATATTAACACACGTGCTCCGTACCGAGCGATAGATGGTCAGCCAGACTGGGATCCTCTGAAAGAAGACGAATATGCGAAACAAGACACCCAAACACAGTCTCAGACAAAGTTGTCCAAAGATCCGGACTCGGCAGAATATGATCCAGAGAAGCCGCACCCTCCAGAATACTTTTACGCTTCAATGCGAGAGCTGTCGAGAGATCTTGTTACGAAACAGCAGCAGATCGACTTTCTGATAGATGTGCTCCCTGGTATTGGACAGAGCGAGCAACAGCAGAAGAAGAGGCTTGAAGAATTGGAACAGCAGCTAGTAGCAATGGAAGAAGATCGGTTGGCATCTCTGAAAGAGAAGGATAGACTATTGGAGAAGCTGGATGAGGTTGTCTCCAAAGTCAAGCGGATCTGAGCTGTTGGGCGATACACGAGACGACCTAAACATTCTCGCCACGAGCCACAGCTGGGGTCTGGTGCTGGCACATGGCTCATTTGAGCAAGGAGAGATCTATACAATCTAGATACCCAGCAGGACTTTTCATTCTTCACAGGCGTCCCATCAGTCATTCTCCCCCTGGCAAGATTCTACCCTCGGCCTTGTCTGGAAATCCAAAGTTCACACCAAAAGCAGGGTACACATAGCGAGTAATGCCCTTCTCTTTGTGGATCTTCTCCAGCGATTCAAGCTCCTCCCCAGAAAGCACGATCAACTTCGTGTTTTCCTCGATTCGCGAAGGCGTTACCGATTTGGGAATGACGACGATGCCTCTCGCAATAGCATAGCTCAGGAGTACTGTGCCGGGCGATACTTTGTGTTCGTCTGCCACAGACTTGACGGCGACCTCATTGAATAATGGACTCCCGGTGCTGCCGAAAGGACTATAAGCTGTGACGAGAATGTTGTTCTGCCTGCATGTGTCGACGACCTCTTGCTGCGGAAGATACGGATGGTTTTCGATCTGGTTTACTGCGGGCACAGTCGTAGCATGCTTCAGGAGAATTTCGAGGTACTTCTTCGAATAGTTTGAGACTCCAATGGCACGGGTCTTCTCTTTGGGAATCTTCTCCATCCGTTTCCAGGTCTCGATGTGCGAGGTGGAGACGTCCAGGTCTCTGCTACCGTCCTCAAGCTTGGGAAACAAAGGATGGTTACCTGCACGTTCAGTTATTCCCACTTTGTGGCACGTAGGCCATGAATCTATTTACCTTTTGGATTCATGGGACAAGGCCAATGCATCAAGAACAAGTCGACATAATCTAAGCCCAAGTTCTTCAAGCTCTCGTCCAGACCCTCCTCAACGCGTGTGTGAAACGTGCACCACAACTTGGTTGTTACGAAGATGTCCTCCCGCTTCACAGCACCCGAGGCGATGGCGGCTTTGATGCCCTCACCAACCTCATTCTCATTCTGATAGCAGTATGCGGCATCGATGTGCCTGTAGCCACTTTTTAGAGCATGTTCGACGGCCTGCTTGACTTCGCCAGGCGATGATTGCCAGGTGCCTAACCCCAAAGCTGGGATAGTGGTGCCGTTGTTAAGGGTGAAGCGGGTGTTGATATCTGGACTTGGCGACATGACGTGTGATGATGTGATCTAAAGCAGGCGTCAGGTTGTCTTTCGCGAGCGAAGGTCACAGCCGGTCTTTTAGGATAAGATTCTTAACAGCACGACGACGGAGAAATATGCTTGCACAGTCGGCGACGCAGCTGCTACGGAATGTTTGCCGGGCTTCTAGCCGCATAGATCATCAAATTAAGGACAGTGGTCGGTGCTTTCAGCTCAGAAACCGACGACATTTCGCTGCTTGATTGCCCGAGATTCTTGGTGGCGGGGTAGCAGTACCTTAGCAGTCGAATATCTGCCTGAGGGCATTTAGGCTTTTATGCCTGAGGCTCAGATACTTAAAGATCAGCGCGGACAACTCACCTCATATATTGTTCTCTTATCCTCATCCTTCATCCGCACGCCGCTTACAGATTTCGAACATGTATAATACGCATTTCGAAGATCATCACGCATCATCATCCATGCGTGTGCAGAAGCCCGACATGTCACTACGTTCCCTGACCATGCCAATAGCCTTACCCCGCTGGCCAAGGAGGAAATTTTCGCCGCAAGGTCAAAACTTCAACCGCCAGACTTGCTCCACCTATATCCGCGCCTCATGCACGTTGAAACTTCTATGCTATGATACATGTGCCTCTTCGGGCGTTTTTCTACTTTTTTCAACTTATGGGAACGCGCGTGGTGCCTAGAGATTTGCCTCCCCATGGATCTGGTGGCTAGGCTAGCCGTCCACCCTGGAACAATATGGAGACTTGGAGCGTCACGACACGCAGCATGATCATGGCACGGTCTTTATCCCGGCCACTTTACATCTATCAATTTTCTCGAATGGCGTACATGGTAAGTGGGTTCTCGTCAGGTTTGTTCACCACTTTCGACTCGGCAGACGAGGTAATATCTTGGTGGTCAACACCATCTACTTTCCCTGCTCGTGCTGGCTCCACCTGGGGCTGCTAGGATGGATTGTCTGCGGATGTACGGGCTACATATACTCAATGCTACGTTCAAATCTATTGTTTCTCCCCAGACCATAGAATTCCCAGTCTCTGTCTCTCTCCGCAATTAAGCACCCAGAATTAGCAATCACTCTTCATATCTCGTGGGTTTGTTTTCTCGAAGTCCAAATAAATACATTGTCGCATACATACACACACATCTGCATCATGGCCCCTGGCGCTATATTCGAAGCTCCCAACGTTGCCGAGGATTTCAACAGCCATCGAGATGGCCTCGCGCTAGAGGCTACATCCGATGCCATTGACGAAGTCAACGTGCTCAAAGCTGCCATGAAAGTCAAGCAAGGCAGCGCCACCCAGAAAGAAAAGGACATCTACGAGCAATCCCAGTTCGATGCCGAGAAGGACAAGACGCAATTCCGACAGTACGAGGAGGCATGCGACCGGGTGAAGAACTTCTACCGTGAGCAACACGAGAAGCAGACCGTAGCATACAACCTCAAAGCCCGCAACGACTTCCGGAGCAAGACACGCGCCGAAATGACAATCTGGCAGGCAATGGAGAAGCTCAACACCCTCATCGACGAGTCCGACCCGGACACTTCCCTCTCCCAAATCGAACACCTCCTACAGGCCGCCGAAGCCATCCGTCGCGACGGCAAACCCCGCTGGATGCAACTCACAGGCTTGATCCACGATCTCGGCAAGCTGCTCTTCTTCTTTGGCGCCGAGGGCCAGTGGGACGTCGTTGGCGACACGTTCCCCGTCGGCTGTGCGTTCGACCGCAAGATCATCTACCCGGACACCTTCGCCGGCAACCCGGATTCTCGAGACTCGATCTACGCCACTGAGCATGGCATCTACACGCCTGGCTGCGGCCTCGACAATGTGATGCTGAGCTGGGGCCACGACGAGTATCTGTACCACATCGCAAAGGAGCAGAGCACGTTGCCGGACGAGGCGCTGGCCATGATCCGCTACCACTCCTTCTACCCGTGGCACAGCCAGGGCGCATATATGTGGATGATGAATGCGAAGGACAAGAGGATGCTGGAGGCTGTGCGGGCGTTCAACCCCTACGATCTGTACAGCAAGAGCGACGACGTGCCCAAGGCTGAGGAGTTGAAGCCCTACTACATGGAGCTGATTGACGAGTATTTCCCGAATAAGGTCATCAAGTGGTAGGAGACACACTGAGATACCGTTGTTTCTTGTATCTTGTAATTGTTCTTTATTGTCATTCTCCCTTTGGGTTTTTACTAGATAGAGCATAGGCTTGATTTGCCTGTGTCCGGAATACGGACAGGCTACGAATAATGACCATGACACTTCCTCCTTGACTATTGGACGCTGGTCTGTTTTGCAAATGGTGATTGAACCTATGTATGTGCATATCTGCCCAGCCACCTACACGCACGGCACTTGCGCCTTTTAAAAAAGACTGGAAATACAACATACATAGCGCTCCCTCCGCGCGGGGCCGCACGGCATTCACAATCGGTGTGCGGCGCTGAGAGGTACGCAGACCTTACTTCCCTGATGCATAATCTAGCGGCCAATGGAAGTCCGAGCACGGTAGCTACCGCCCACATCTACCAATGATGCAGCAAGCTTTGCAATCCTGTGCAGCCTCCGGTGGACACCGGTAGGGATGTCGACACGTTTTCTCATGGCACGAAGACTCATCATGGGGACGGAACCACTTGCCTGCGCAAGGAGAGACTGGCCAATCGAGGCCTTTTCCGGATGGATGTCCCTGCGGCTGATAGTCGGTGTGGACTATGGATTCCGGTACTACCTTGCCTACCTTAGCTTGCAGGAGCTGGAGGACTCTCCGGTGCGGAGACTCACGACGAACGGCTGTACTACTTGCCAGAAATAAGTCGAGACGACCAATGAGGGATTAGTCACACAGTATTCTCTTCGAAACACGAGCAAGTCTGGCAAAACAGAGCATCACGGCCGCCTCGGGCTGTTCCGACCTATCTCGCCATCCATCCCCCGTCAACAGTGAGAATCTCTCCTGTCACATACGCACTCGCTCTCCCTGCAAGAAACACCACCGCTCCCTTGAAGTCCTCCGGCCGTCCCCACCGCCCGGCCGGAATCCGCTCTAGAATCGACGCTGCCCTTTTCTCGTCGTTGATTAATGCTGTATTCATCTCCGTCGCAATGTAACCTGGCGCGATCGCATTCACATTGACCCCTTCTCCGGCCCACTGGTTCGACAGCGCCTTCGTAAGCTGCGCAATGCCACCCTTCGACGCAGCGTAGGCCGGGACGTTGATGCCGCCCTGGAAGGAGAGCAGAGAGGCGACGTTGATGATGGAACCGCGCTGGTTCGTGGTGTTAGGAAGCGGAGGTAGGGTACGCATGTGTGCGCCTACGTCGCGGCAGAGAACGAAGTTACTTGAGAGATTGACTTGCAAGACCTCGTCCCAGTCCTCAATCGGGAACTCGTGTGCTGGGTGGCGGCGCTGGATACCTGCGCAAGTGAGGAGGATGCGGATCTGTAGTTCTGGGCTTTGAGAGAGGAGAGTTGGGACGATGCTGGAGACGGCAGCGCGGTCGGAGAGCTCGGCGACGTGGATAGTGCATTTGCGACCGAGGGCTAAGATTTGGTGCTGGGTTTCAGTGTTGGATGTGTCGCGCTGGAGTAGATGTGAGTTGCTTGAATGATTAAAGACGAGAGAGGAACGGACCTGGATGAGGATAATGTCGGCGCCAGCTTCAGCTAAGGCTAGGGCCATTGCTTGCCCGATTCCTCGAGTTCCGCCTGTGACGAGGGCGGTTTGGCCCTCGAGAGAGAAGAGTTGCTGGATCGAGCCCATGATTGGGGTTGTGCTGTATTGCAAACTGATGCTGCCCTCAATACAATAATATGAGTAGAAAGGAAAGGGTGTGATATATCAGAATCTTCTAGACCCGATCGGCAAGACAAGCCGCCAAACTCAGGAGCTCAAGGAGGCTTCGTGGCGGGGTGTGAAGACTGCCCCGCCAAAATGAGGCCTCCGTCGGCGTTTGCTTCCCCGATTTCTGAGTCTCAATTGCCGACACAGCGGAGTCTTAGCCGCTTGTGTAGCCGCTTTTCCTCCCGATGACTGCAGGACGCAGTAACACATGTACGCGCCTTTGGAAATGCCTCTTCACATCAAGCATTTTTTATCTCTTGAGAAGCCTCCTCTCTACGATTGAAATATCGCATTGAGATTTACTGACAATGGCTCAAGCAAATGGATCTGGTGCAAATAGCAAGATCAATGCATCAGTGCTCCACGGGGCCAAGGACCTAAGAATTGTAAAGCGCCTCATTCGCAGCCTCCAAGCTCAAGGACTGACAGAGAACACAGGAGCAACGAGGAATCTTCCCTCCGGATCCACATGAGGTTCAAGTCTCTGTCCGCGCGACTGGGTTATGCGGCTCCGACCTCCACTATTACCGCCACGGTCGCAATGGAGATATCATCATGAAAGAGCCCATGTCGCTCGGACATGAATCTGCTGGAGTAGTGGTAGCTGTGGGATCAAAAGTGACGGACCTCAAGGTCGGAGATAAAGTGGCCATGGAGGTCGGACTCCCTTGCACACAATGCGAGAGATGCGCCGAAGGACGGTACAACATCTGCAAAGACATGCGCTTCGCTGCTTCGGCAAGAAACTTTCCACATACGCAGGGTACTCTAAGGGATAGGATGAATCATCCAGCGAAGATGTGCCACAAGTGAGTGCCCAAGCTTAGAGCTAGCAGGACATATTTGCTAACACTCAATCAGGCTTCCTGAAAATGTTTCCTTGGATCTGGGGGCACTACTAGAGCCACTAGGTGTTGCTATCCACGGCACGAGACGAGCTCAAATTAGCACAGGTTGCACAGCGGTGGTGTTCGGCGCTGGTGCTGTCGGCCTGCTTGTCGCAGCAATGACTAAGATCTCCGGTGCTGGCACCGTAGTCATTGCAGATATAGATCCAGGACGAGTGAACTTTGCAGTGCAGCACAATTTTGCGGACCATGGATACACTGTCCCCATGAAGAGGGGGAATACGATCGAGGAGCAGTTTGACATTGCTCGTGAGACGGCAGGCAACATTGGCAAGATCCAGCGCACAAGACCAGATACCCTCGTCGGAGAGGCTGATGTTTCATTCGAATGCACAGGTGTTGCGTCATGCCTGCAAGCAGCCATCTTCTCGACGCGACCGGGTGGAAGAGTCATGATGATCGGAATGGGCACGCCGATTCAGACTCTTCCAATCTCAGCTGCTGCTCTACGAGAAGTTGATCTCGTGGGCGTCTTCCGCTATGCGAACACGTATCCTACTGGGATTGAGGTTGTGTCGAAGACCGGTCCGAATTATCCTCAATTCTCCAAGATGATAACGCATCGTTACGCCGGATTAGACAACGTAGAGAAAGCATTCGAGATGGCAGCGAAAACGAAAGACGATAAAGGTGAACTGGTATTGAAAGTGATGATTGATATGGACGATAGTGACAAGGCTAGGCTTTGAAGTATCTGATTGTTTATGTCTTGCATATAATGGGGAGTATGGATCTAGGAGCTGCGTTAGTTGTCACAGAATACATACCATTGAGGACCCCGCGACATTCATGCGATCAGTCACCAACAGAACCAAGCGATGTTGTTCGAATGTCGATGTGTACAGTCAGCCTGGCGGAACATGTGTTCCGCCAAGGCAGGAGAGATCGACGAGTCGGCGAGAATTCCTTCATCCGCAAACCTCCATGACCCACAAATACCCGCCCAAAGCTTCGTCGCCGTGGCCCCTGAATGTGATGCTGTGAAATATGCCATAGAGCGCTGTGATTCGCTCTTTGATTGAGGGTCTGCCTCCGAAATGGCCCATCCACATCTGTCTTGTGGCATAATTACACAATCCGGGGTTTGTCAACAGATTCCTGTTCTGGTGCTGACGGCGCAAGTTGGAAGTCGTCGAGACAGAACTGCAGTGTACGTTTGCTAGACGCGTCCCAAGGTCTTCTTACATCATCACTATTTACAAATCACTGATACTCTCGTTGTAAAGGCCAACGTTCCCATCCACCACCATCTCGAAGTTTCACAGTCCACTCAATGGCACCTCGACGTCTCAAGGTTGCCTGCTCCGGCCTCGGCCGCATGGGTTCTCGCCATGCCCTCCATTTCCTCAATCGCACACCCCGAGCAGAGCTCGTAGCAGCCTGGACACCAGATGAGAAAGAGCTGGCATGGGCCAAGCAGAACCTTGAGCCCTATGGCACCACACTTTACACTAATTACGAAGAGATGCTCAAGCATCCAGGCCTTGAAGCTGTTGTGATTGCCACGGTGACTACTGCGCACGCTCAGCAAGCCATACAGGCCATCGAGGCAGAAAAGCATGTGCTTTGCGAGAAGCCGCTGAGTACGAGCGTCGAGATTGTAAGCCCTGAGACTTGAGGTGCCGGAACAGAGCAGGATGCTGACAAGGTGATCAGTCACAGACTGTTGTTGACGCTGCGGCTAAGAAGCCTCATCTGAAAGTCATGTGTGGCTTCTCCCGCCGCTTCGACGACTCCTACCGGGACGCCTTTGAGCGCATGGACTCGGGCGCCATCGGTCGCCCTACGATCGTCAGGTCGCAAACGTGCGACATGTACAATCCGACGCCGTTTTTTGTTGAGTACTCCCAGTTCTCAGGAGGTATCTTCGTGGACTGCAATGTGCACGATATTGACCTTGCATTATGGTTCTTCGGCCAGGACTCGCAAGTCAAGAGCGTCGCTGCGTTTGGTGTCACGGCTATCGAGCCCGACTTGAAGAAGTACGGAGACGTTGATAACGGTGTTGGTGTGGTGGAGTTCTATGGCGGCAAGATTGCGTACTTCTACTCATCGCGCATGAACGCGCCGGGCCAGCACGATGAGACGGAGATTATCGGCACCAAGGGGAAACTGGCTATCAATACGCGTCCGCAGAACAATTTGCTGGAGGTGCATGAGGCGAACGGTATCCGACGTGAGATTCCTTTGACATACTATGGTCGATTCGAGAATGCGTTTGTGAAGGAGGCAAATGAGTTCACGGCGGCATGTCTAGATAACAACAAGCTTCCATTTAAGCTGAGCGGAGCTGTACAGGCAGTCGTAATTGGATGTGCTCTTCAGGAGAGTCTGAGAAGTGGGAGGAAGATCTTTTTCGACGAGACTGGCAAGCAAGTGGAGCAGGCGAAGTTATAGATAATGGCAGACATGCTGGTCAATAGATGCATAGCAAGATAAGATAATGATAATACAAATTTTCAAGCTGCAGAAGTAATTCTGGTGGGCTCTCCATACGGTAGAGTAATGGTATGTCACTCACAACTGGTGGACACCGTGCGCTGTCCCGGCCTCAGTGCCTCTACTTACCGACTATAATTACTCTCCAAAGAAGCCTGAACGGTTTTGTGCCACCATCGCCAGCACAACGTCAACCTCACTCAGCATTCTCGCCAAAACGACCCAAACAACAACGGACGGATCCGCATCCAATAGACGCAAGGCCGATCCCCTAGCCGCAAAAAGCACAGCCAAGAATATTGGCTCGACGCCCGCGTAAGACCCTCCAGGGCTGAGCGAACCACGCGCCGCATCGGGACAATGATTTCATCGGGCGATGACGTCTATCCCCAACTTTTCTCCCGTCACCGCTTGCTGTTGTTCACAAAGGCTATTATCAGGTAGGAATGAACGGATACCACACCACCACACCACCATCACGATGCCCGTCCCCATCATACTACCGAATAATCCTGTGCCTTTGTGTAGCTGCGTGGCTATCCTTGTGCCGCAGAACCGGACGAGATGCGTCGTACGCACGTCCTTTTCGGGGCCGTTTTGCCATACACACACACACTACGTACAGACCGTTTTCTGGAGACGGGGTCCTCGCTATAGAAACTCTGGGAGCTAATTAGTGCGTTGATGTTGAGTGGCGCGGTCGGCCGATCCGTACCTATTGTCTGCACTGTGTGTCTACGACGCAATACTGTAACATCGTGACTCTGTGGTCGGCGTCTTTGTGGGCCATTCGTTATAGTTGTAGTGCGTGTGTGTGTGTGTGTGTGTGTGTATAAAGAGACGTCGAATACTTACACTCAGATACTCGAGCATCAGTATAAGCAAACTCGCATCTCAAGCCAACAGCCATCTACATTCTACACAAACACCACATCCACCCTCCCAAACCATCACAACAACCACCACAATGTCCCTCAAATCCACCATCCTCAGCCTCCTCCCCACCGCCCTCCTCCTCACCAGCAGCACAACCGCCGCCCCTCTCGCCCCACGCGCCGGCTGCCCAGGCGCAACAACATCCTTCTCCTTCGACGTCAAAAACTTCGACTACCACGACGGCACCACCTTCTCCACCCCCGCGCACCAAATCCCGGGTGGCTTCGTCGCCTTCAACCTGACCTCCGCCGCGGACGTGGTTCCACGCCAATGCAACGCCTACTCCACCCAGCTATCCGACTTCTACTACGGCACGCTGAACTACACGTGCACGACCACGACCGCGGACGGGGAGGTGGTGCAGACGGGCAGTCTGTTCACGTATGACACGCCGGGGGAGACGCTGGTGCTTGTGGAGCCGTTTGAGTGTGATGGGCAGAAGTACGTGGCCAAGGGGACGTATACGTTTGAGCCGCCGTTGCAGTGTGTGACGGAGGAGTATCAGAATGATGATTGGCAGCAGGGGGAGATTTATAGCTCGCGGAAGAGGACGTGTGAGGAGAGGGACTTTGCGTTCTTCGCGGAGGTGGAGAAGGTTGAGTAGGGTTGACTAAGGGGAGAGTGAAAGGGAGGAGAAAGGGGGCAATGAGGCAGTTTGCATGATGATGTTGATTGTTGTTGTTTATTTTGATTGCGATTGTAGTATACTAGCATGGTAGGTAGCATACAGAGCGAATATCAGTCTGCTTTTTAGACATTTTCAAAGACAAAGGTTGGGGTGCCGGGAATGCTGCCTTCGGCTTGCACCGGCAGGCTATCCCTCTTCTCGCCGTTCTTCGACTCCGGGAACACCACCGTTCCGCTCTTGCCTCCGTCGTCCACGCTGACAATCTCTACCTCCACTAGCTTGACGACGGGCAGCACAGGCACCATCTCCTTTAGCACAGCCAACTCGTCGAACGGCAACTTGCGGCCAAATACCGCCTCCGGCAGCTCGCCGCCCGTCAGACGCTTCGCCAAGCTCTGCACAAACGGCATCGCCTTCTTCATGTCTGGCTTGGGGATCTTGGCCGTCACGGCCTTCATGTTGATAGCCATGTCCTTGAACGCGTCCTGCACCATGGCGATGTACTGGTCCTGCCACGCGGGGAACTTCTGTGCCGCAAAGATGGTCAGCTTCTTGTCCTTCTTCGGGTCAAACACCATCTGCTTGCCCTTGGCGGCTTTCTTGACTTGCGCGCCCTCGGCTGATGTGATGTTGCCGCTGGTGGTGCGCACATAGGTGCGAGACGCGCTCAGTGTGGCGTCTGGAGCGGGCACCTCGGGGAAGGTGGCGCTTTGGATGGTGCTGGGCTTCTTGAGGACTTCCAGCCAGAGATATTCGGCAAAGTGGGGCGCGATAGGGGTGAGGAGGAGGGCTTGGAGCTCGATGTAGCGGAGGGTGAGGTCGCGGTGCATGCCTATGCTCTTGGTCGCCTCGCGGTACGAGTCGCGCGAGGATGTGAAGTCGTAGAAGCCGAACTTCAGGGCGAGCTTGTACATGGAGCTGATGATGTTAGTGAGAAGGGCTGGGCGGTGTTGATATTTGCCACTTACAGGTCGTATTGCTCGTAGGCGTCTTTCGCGATGACATTCATCTCATCTTCAAATAGATTGTCCCAGAAGTTGCGCTCGCCGGTGCGTTGCGCGTTGTCCTTGCCCGTTCCTGTGACGGCGCTCTCGCACCAGTTCTTCAGCTCATACAGCTTCAAGATGACGGCATTGGCTACGCTTTCCTCGAAGTTGGCATCTTCGAGCGCGTCGCCAGCATCAGCCAGGGCGATTCTCGTCGCATCCGAGCCAAACTTGGCTATCGCCGCGTTCAGGGTCAGGAAGTTACCTGTGCTCTTGCTCATCTTCTCGCCGTTCAACATTAAATGACCGTTGATGCGGATCGATTGTGGCCAGTTGTTCTTTGGAAAGAGAGCGGCGTGGATGTAAAGACAGAAACTCAAGTGGTTGTTCACCAGGTCCTTTCCGGAGATGCGGGAATCGAGAGGATACCAGTATTCGAAGCTGCGCTTCATGGTTTGCAAATGCTCATGGCTGATCTTCGTCTCGGGGAACGCAGCATCCTGCGGTGCGAACAGGTAGTCCCATACCTCATCGGTCATCTGGTCTGGAGTGATGGGGAATGCGCCAGGCTTGGTGCCATAAAGATCCGAGTGGAGGTAATGCGCGATCGTATAGTACGATTGGTAGATGGTCGAGTCAGAAAGAGACTCGACCATGACGGAAGGATCCCAAGGTAGTTTAGAGCCGAGACCATAGCTTCTTGCACAAGACCATTGGGCCAGCCAGTTTACAGTCCGGACGAAGGAATTCTTTGCTTCTGGGTAGTACGTGTTCAATCCGTCCTCAAGGTAGTCGAGGACTTGTTGACACCACTCTCCATCACCGCCATTCGCAGTAGTGCCGTAATTGAAGTACCATTGGTCGAGGAGGGCTGCTACGCATACGTCTGCTGATCTGGAAACGACCATACCATCTGGCTCGGCGTAATTGAATGCAAGTCCCGACTCAATGAGTTGTTTCTTCACCAAAGCCTTTGCTTCGGCGACAGGCTTGCCTTTGTGTTCACCTATAATCATCTTTCCTTGATAGAAGCCTTCCTTGTAGGCTAGATCCTTGGCTTCAGCCAATTTGGCGTCTTTGGAAGAGTTAATCTTCAGCTGCTCAACCAGGGTCTTCGCGGTCAAGTTGCCGTAAGTAGGGGTCTCGATGATTGGAATAATTTCAAGTTCGGCCCATTCCTTCTTTATGCCATAGAAATCAGCCTTCTTTTGTAGCTCGAGAGTGGTCGCGTAATCGTCGGGGCTGTCGCTAGGAACGCAAGTCACAACTGCCGTGCCTTTTGTATCCTTTACTGTATCCATGGGCAGAATTCTTACTCCTGACGTATGAACGGACATGGGTGCGTTGACCAAAGTGCCGACAACGTCTGAACCCCTAAATTCTGCAATCTTTGGGAAGTTGCCCCACGTCGGGAAGATCTCTTGGAATGCCATGTTCCGGGCAGCTCTCTCGCTGTTGAAAAAGTATTCATTGTCCTTCACATGGTAGATGCCATAGACTATATTAGGACCAACGAAGCAACACGTTTGACCGTACATAGTCTCTGGCCGGAGAGTTGCAGGGATGAAGTAGACTTTGGCGCCCTCTGGTAGTTTTCCTGCGAGAATCTCCTGGGCCTTCTCTGGCCATTCTTTGACCTCCAGCTTCAGCGCAGTATACTCCTGCACCGTCACACCTTCACCTGAGCTGCGATCATGATCCAAACAGGCTTGGCCATCCTTGGGACTGTATACAGTGTAACGTTTGCCGAACTTGATCTTGCCCATTTGCTTCAGGTGCACCATCTGCCACCTTATGAAAGTATCAAAGTAAGGGTTGGCGTCTGTGGTAACGAATTGCCTACGCCAGTCGATGCGGAAGCCGAAATCTGTCAGGTCCCTCTTTGCCAACGGCGGAAAGTACGTCAGCCACTTCTGTGGATCCGCAAAGGTGTGAATCTCCTCGAGTGGGATGCCTAGAGAAAGCATTATCTGGAATTGATAATTCGTCTTGACCGTTTTCGCAGCTGCTTTGCCCTTGCTTGCTTGAAATTTGGTTACATCTGCCCTGGTTTCTTGTGTCGGCGGAGGAGCAGCATCTTTGTCGTCCTTTTGTACATCTTCTAGGTTACACCTTTCGAAGTTCTTACCGAACAGCTCGACCTCACGTTCGAGCTTATCTGCACAGGCCTTTATGGGCATACCAGTACAGTGAAAGCCCAACGGGAAAAGAGTCCGCTTGCCTTGGAGACGGTTGAAGCCTGCTTGGAATTCTGCTTTACTAAAGGTGAAGGCGTGGCCCATGTGTAGAGTACCGTTCACTGCATATGTCAATACTGGTGATTGCAATAACCATGATGGTCCTTACTGTAGGGGAAGGCGACGGTGACCATGAACTTGGGATATTTCTCGTGCAGCTGCTTCTGTGTCATGGAGCCAAATGGTATCTCCTCCAGACTTGGGGCCTCGGGCTCGAAGACTTTGTCAGACTGCCACTTCTTCTGGTAACCTTGCTCAATGGAAATGAGAGCATCACGTTTTTCCGTCTAGAGCTGTCAGCTAGGAGAAATCCTTGGTGGGCGCAAACATACGTTTTCGATTTTCATGGTTTTGGTTGACGCATGGTCAGGATGCATTGCATCTAGGGTTGCCTTTGCGGCCGCCATGTCCGAAATACAGAGTCTCCTTTAATTCTTGCAGCTGCACAGTTGTTTGTTCTCGCGGTGGAGTCCGAATATCAACGAGGTCTTGGCGCGCGGGACATGCACTTTTTGCGTTGGCAGTTGACCGGTCGCGCGAGCTCTGACCAAGAATCGAAACAGAACGCAGTCTAGCAATTCTACTGGGGATATCACAAAGTTGAAGGAGTGGAAAGTTTTCAGACACAGTCAGTGTTTTGTTTGACCTGCGATACAAGTGACTCAACTCTGATACACCCTTGCTTTTCTTGTCCGCACGACCAAGCTAGGGCTAGCGAGATCACGTGCGACGTCATACCTGGCCATCATCTTTGCTTACCTAAGATATGCTTCAGTCTCAGTCTGAGGATTACTACAGGTCGACAGGCTTCTTTCCACGGCTTCTGTCAATTACAAGACACATTTGTGCAGCCCAATTCCGAACCGCGGGCGCAGTCTTTGCTCAAACATGTTATCTTTCCTGTTCCGAAAACCCTCTGCTGGACCTCCGTACGACATTACGAAAAATCCATGGCGCGCGAAACGGAAGTGGCCTCCTGATTTCGAACAGCTATCACAGAAAGAGCAATTCAAGTTCGAAAGGCGGTTCAGACGCAGACATAAGCTGAAATGGATGCGACCTGCATGGACGAAGGGTGTGAAGATCACGCAGTGGGGATCAATCACAGGTAGGGCTCATGATTTGTCGCTTGAGTAAAACTAGCTGATATGGCGCAGCGATACTGTTATATGCAGTCTTCGTCTACGAAGATCCGAAAGCGGGCTCCAGAGACCAACCATTTGCATTTGTGAGTGAACCATCGACGTCTGGCATAGGCAATTGCTTACGAACAGGCTCGTCAATGGTACAAGGAAAGCATACGACCGTTACTGCCCTTTGCGAAGAGCCACACCTCTTCGCCGCCACACCGAGGCGACCAAGTCAATAGCCAAACTTCATGATCAGCTTGGCAACGGATGGCTCATTGAGGGCCTTATATTCGGAGCAGACGGCCAGGCATGTGGAATAGCAGACAACAGGCTTGCGGACAAAGCCGAATGGACATGCTTCTGACTGCCAGTGCAGACGGACACATTACGTTCAGGCCACAATACCTCTGCTTAGCAGACTTGAAGCACTCGATCATATGATCAAATCAACGAGAAGCCTCGTTTCCTGCAAAGAACGGCACCAAGATGGACATCTGGCCTAGCCGACTCTACGACGTGTTTGACACACTGCTCCCGGATGAGTATATGTGTCGAATATTACACTCAAACCAGGCAAAGAGGGCGTCTGGACACCCGAAATGAATGGGCTTGCTTGATTCGACTCGTGCTTGGAGCCGGGCTCGCGTGATCTGTTTGGGTTTATTTACGTGGCTGCTCTGGGTATGGCCGGCAGATGGCAAGCTCAACGCATGAATCTCTGCGTACTGGGCCTGACACCATTTCTTGTGGCAGAGGACCTCGGGCTGCGTGCACTCACTCCAATACGCCAGCTAACATGGTTACCAAAGCCTTTATGACATTGATCGAAAGCTTTGAAATAATGTCTGTAGACTTCCTAAATAGTGGTATCGATGGCAAGAAACCAGATCAAGTGCAGTCTTCAAAGTCTGATGTGCAGCCAGCCACAAGCCTGATGGTATACAGGCTGAGGCTATTACCACCTGACTAGGCATGAAGTTACGTCGATAGGCTGACTCCGCTAATGTTTCGAATAGGAGGCATATCAAGGGTGTCAGGGGCGTGGATCTATGCAGACTGGACTTCCAACCAGGTGATATCACACTCCATGCTGCTATGCAGCATATGTGATATGAATAAATGATCCGCTATGGCGTACGGAAGCTCGTCTCTTCGTCCACGATGAAGCTAAACGCGTGTTTATCGCACACGTTGGAGTTGAAATGGACTTCATAGCCTCGTCAGGACGTGTAATGGAACATCCATATGCCTGCCTGTGCCCCTGTCAGCGTTCTTGGTCGTCGCCGGGCGGACGGACCGCGGTGCGGCCCCAGCTGAGGCACCCGCTACATACAGTAGCGAGGCAGCTTAGTAGCTAGCCTTACGCTCCTAACCTCGATCGGAATGTGACGTAACGATCCCTTGCAGCACTCAGCTGCCAAATGTATAGCCCACTGTAGCCAGGTCCCGTAGCCTCGTCTGTCTAACTGACTGCCTTTTCGCCTTTCGTCTGAGCCACACACTCTCTCTCACACTCTCTCGCTTCCCTCGATCGTTTATGCGCTGCTCAGCTAGATAAATGCCGAGACCTGTCGCTCGTTGATCTGCTTGATCTCTCGTTGTGAATAGTTACGCGAAGTAAGCTGCTCGATACGCGCGAGCGAGGGCTTGGGCGCAGAAGGCTCGTACGGCGAACAGACTCTACCGATCGCTTCCACGTATCCATACAGACATGGTAACAGCGTCTCAAAAGCCGATCATAGGGACAGGACATCACTAACAAAAACCACAAGGCCTCGATCCTCCGACAAATCGTCGCCGGGCCACGCGCACCCCACCCAGAAGCCGGCCTCGATCTCTGCTACGTGACAGACCGAAGCAAGTCTTCCCCTCCCACCAAACCCCTGAAAACAGCCAATCTAACCAGACCCTTTTCCCCCCTCCAGTCATCGCAACCTCCGGGCCCAGCGGCACCTACCCGCAGCGCGCATACCGCAACCCGCTCTCCTCGCTCGTCAAATTCCTCGACTACAAGCACACGACAAACTGGGCGATCTGGGAGTTCCGCGCCGAGGGCACCGGGTATCCGGATGAGGACGTGTACGGGCGGGTCTGGCACTACCCCTGGCCGGACCACCACCCGCCGCCGTTTGCGCTGATTCCGAACATCATGGCGAGCATGCGGAATTGGCTGCACGAGAGCGCAGACCGGGTAGTGGTGGTGCATTGCAAGGCTGGCAAGGGGCGCAGCGGGACGGTGAGCTGCGCGTATCTTGTGAGTGAGGAAGGGTGGGCGGTGGAGGATGCGATTGCGCGGTTTACGGAGCGGCGGATGAGGCCTGGGTTTGGGGCGGGCGTGTCGATTCCGAGCCAGTTGCGCTGGCTGTCGTATGTGGACAGGTGGACGAAGGGCGGGAAGAGGTATGTGGAGCGGCAGGTGGAGATTGTGGAGGTGAAGGTGTGGGGCCTGCGTGACGGGGTCAAGATTACGGTGGAGGGGTTCGTCGACGACGGCAAGCTGATTAAGAACTTCCATGTCTTTGGGCTGGAGGAGCGCGAGGTGACGCGCGGGAAGCTGAAGGACGGCACGGGGTTCGCGGGCGTGGTGGCAGACGTCATGGGCCGCAGCAACAGCGTCAAGAAGAAGGCATCACCATCAAACCCAGCCGCCGAGCTACAGAAAAGCACAAGCGCCACTGCATCCCTCAGTAACACCACCACTACTACAACCCCAGACCCATCAGCCACCGCAGAATACATCGGCGCAGACGCAACCTTCACGCCCACCACCCCCGTCGTCCTCCCGACAAACGACATCAACATCGACTTTGAGCGCCGCAGCACGGCCGCCTACGGCCTCACAATGGTCACGGCCGTGGCGCACGTCTGGCTCAACGCCTTCTTCGAAGGCCACGGCAGCGAACAAGCCGGCCGCGCCGACCCCGAGGGCGTCTTCGCGCTCGACTGGGACAAGATGGACGGCATCAAGGGCAGCAGTCGCAAGGGCGCGCAGGCATTCGACCGCTTCGAGGTGCGGTGGAAGGTGCACGATTTGGGTGGCGAGGTGGTGATTGATGAGCCTGCGGTGGGCGAGGAGGTCGGGCAGGCGGCGCCTGCGGACTGGCATGGGAATGCCCAGGCGGGCGAGGAGAATGAGAAGGATCTGGGGATTCGCACCACGTCGCCGACGGGGCGGGAGGGGACGGGCAGCACGACGACGATGAAGAAGGAGAATAACATGATAGTGAGTGTTCCGCAGACGGGGAGCACGGGCAGTGACGGCACCAAGGCGCATGGGGTGGTGGCAGATGTTGCGGGTGAGAGCACGCATGGAGATGGGGATGGAGACGGACATGGACATGGACATGGACATGATCATGTATCGACAACGGACTTGCCGGGCGGGAGGCCGGAGGCGGAGATGAAGACGGCCAAGGAGCATTCGCTGGGGCATCTCGGACGGGAGAAGAAGTGACATGGATGGACGGGGGATAGGATAGAACTGTGGCTGGAGCTGGGGCGTTGGATGTGGCTGTGGCTATGGCTGTGGCTGTGGCGGGTGGCGGTGCACCTGTTCGTCCAATTACCTAAGGCACAGAACAAAGCAGTCTGATAAGACAACATGATGCAAAATTCCAAGAATCCAAGAATCCGAGAATCCAAAAAATAAAATAAAAATAAAAATAAGAATAAAAATCCGAGAATCCAAAAATCCAAGAATTCCCCCCCCCCCCAAAAAAAAAAGAAAATCCGAAAAAAAGAAATATTGAAAAACAAAAAAAAATAACAAGAATTCCATGGATATATTCAGTTATAGTTATGCAAGAGTCTTCGTCACCGAGTAGTCGACCGGCGGCGCTGGTCGTCGCTCCATAAACTGCGACATGACTCGCGCCAGCTTTTTCTTAATGTCGTCCATGAAACGGCCTCCGCCCCATTGAAGAACGTTGTGCAGCAGAGACAGGAAATGCTCTGTCCGCTCGGGCTGTGTCGCGCTAACGACATCAAGCAGCCACATGTTGTATGTTCTGCACTCGTCTTCGACCAGTGACCAGTGTGCCCAGAGCTCGTGTAGTGGGCCCTCGGTACAGATGGAGAAGAATAAGGGGGTTGGAGGGGGTTGAGGAGCAGCGAGAGAGGCGGAAGGGGATGTGGTGGTGGTGGTGGTGGTGGTGGTGGTGGTGGTGGTGGTGGTGGTAGCTTCACCACTTTGCCCCGAAGAGGAAGAGGACGCTGTACTCGTACGTCGCGCAGCCAGTTCCTCCAGCCGGACTTGAAGATTCAGCGCACAGGCACCAGCAACGGCAGCCTGGTTCTCGGCGTCGGCGATGTGGGACCCTGTGGTGTAGGCCTTGCCCTCGACGACGGCAAAGGGGAAGACGAGATCGGAGGTGTCTGTGAGTGCACAGGCTAGAATGGGCTTGCCTTTGCAGGTGTCGGGTCTCTTTGGGATCTTTGGCTTCATTTGCAGCACGGTGAGAAAGCTCTCGGCCTTGAGCGTGCTCACGCCTTGACCGACGAGGGAGTGTTGCACGGCCTCTCTTTGCAGGCCTATGGATATGTCTGGTCGTGGGGTTTTGAGAGGAGAGTCTGTGGGCGTTGCGTATTGTCCTTCTGCAGAAGAATCGATGCGTTGTCGTTTCGAGAGCGAGTCTACAATATCCTCCGTCGTGATAGCATCGAGTGGAAAGAAGTCAAAGGTTGACGATGTAGGCTTCAGGTCTTCCGGCCAGTCTGCATTCTGACGCGTACAGATGGAGTCGGGTTTCAGGTCCTCGATAGCAATCGCCAAAGGACTCACGAAGTCAGCCTCTCGTACCGACGAACGCGATAGAGTGGTGCACTTGGCCGTGAATGCGCCGGCGACTCGCGACACGATATGTTTCCGATGCTCTGGTAGTGCTTGGTGTATGATTGCATTGACGGCCTCTCTCACACGATCAGGAGGAGATTGGTGAAGTCGAATTTGACAGTCCCTAAGAGATAGGTAGCGGTATGTGGAGGTGGAGGTGGATGTCGATATGGATGTGGAGTCGATAGTAGCAGACTCGGTCTCTCTACGACTACTACTACTACTACTACTACCACTGCCCTCAGAACGCGCCGACATGCGATCCAGCAGCCGTTTATTCTGCTCGGTGAGTTGGCCGCAGATGGGAGTGGGCGAGAGACAAGGTCGCTTTGCAGATTCGGGGGGACTGTCCTCTTTCTCTACCGACAGTGCTGGGCGCTTCCGCTTTGTGCTTGTGGTCATGATGCTTGAGAGGGTAGGAGTGAGGTCAAGAGTTGGTATAGAATGAATGGGTGGAAGTGGTAGCTTAGGTGTATACTAACAACTATTAATTAAGGTGGAGCCTGGAGTGGTGCGGGGGCCCGGGGGGCGTTGGGTGCCTCAGGCTGAGATGGAGCAGAGGGAACGAAAGGACTACTACTGTATTGCTGGTAATTACAGTACCTAGTCTAGTAGTAGCCAGGACACACACTACTGTAGCTGCTCTCATCGTCTCGTCTGTAACCCTACTCACCGCCCAGAGCCATCAACAGTTCATTAATCGTCCATTTCACAATTATTTTATTTTATTTTGACCATCCTCTTTCAATTTAATCCCTTAGTGACTGAGTGTGTAGTGTATAAAGTAATTATACGAAACCAACAAACGGTGTGCTGGTGCGGTTGGAGGGTGCATGAGCGTGTGTGCATATGTATGTGCAGATGGGATGGGGATGCATAATTATATAGACATGTCAAGTGCCGAACAGGGCAGGCATACGCACACAAGGCACCAGGCATAAGGCGTAGGGATGGAGGTATATTAGTGGAGTGGAGTGTACAGTAGTGGAGTGGAAGGGATCAAGGATTGTGTGGGTCGTCGTGTGGATGGATGGATCGGTGGATGATTATGCATTGGTGGGATCGCGGATCGTGCATTAATGGAGATGTACAGGATCGCGGATTGTGGGCTTGTGGGCTTTGGGGCATCGTGGGCATTGTTGGACTGGACTGGCCGAGTTTGGGTGGGTTGGCGGCCGCTTTTTGCTGACTTGCGGGCGGGCGGACGGGCTGACTGGCTGGCTGTTGGCTGACTGACTGAACGTTTTTGGGGGGCTTGACCGGGCTTGGGGCAGCTGTTTTGCAGTGTTTTGGCGGTGCTGGCGGTGCTGGCAGGGGGCAGTTTTGGGGGAGTTTGGGGAGTTTGGGGGGGTTTGGGGCAAACTGTGGGGGCGGAGAGTGGCTGCTGGGAGTCTGGGACTGACTGGCGGTGGTCAACTACTACTGCTGCTACTACTACTACTCCTACTCCTACTAATTACTGTAGGTAAAGTGTAGCGCCCACACAGTCGGGTTGGCAGTAAGTATAGTAATATATTGGATGACTTGTAATAATAGCACGAGAATACCCTTGAATTCACTACATTCTACTCAGTCGTCAGTAGTGCTTCGCCTCACTTCCTCTCTACATTCCTCCTTCATCCATTCATCCTCCATCATCACCACCTTTGCATCACTCTTCTTCTTCTTCACTCTACCTACCATCCATCCATCCACCATTCAACGCGCTGCTCCTGTACACAACTGTCAATCCCCAACCTCAACCTCAACCTCAGCCGCTAATTGTCCCTTCCACCATCGCCATCTTCTCTTGCACATCTTGCATCGTGCATAATCCCTCGTGCATCGTGCATCTTGCTTCTCGCTTCTCGCTTCTTGCATTCTTCATCCTTCCTTGCTTAATCCTTCTTACTTCTTCTGAATCTTCTTCTTCTTCTTCTTCTTCCTCTTCCTCCTCCTCCTCCTCCTCCTCCTTCTCCTCCTTCTCCTCCTTCTCTGCAACACTCTCACACACACCACCACCACCACTACTAATCATCATCGTCATCACCGTCATCACCGTCATCACCGTCATCCCCAGCATCACATACCACCACCAATCCCGCCGATCCTGCTGCCTTCCACGCCAACTACCACACCACCGATACCCCGTCCGCCATCCGCCAGACGCCAGACGCCAGAGAACCCGCTCTCAACGTGTCACTCTCCCACTCCAGCCACGCATCTACTCTCCCCCCTGCCTTGCATATTCGCAAGCCTCGTCCGCCGCGCGCTTGTCACTTTACTCCCGACACTCCTCTCCCTCTAATTACTCCACTGTTCATTCATCCCCCTTCACTATTCTTCATTATCGCAATTGTCTGGCTGGCTGTCTGTCTGTCTGTCCGTCTGTCTTGTCTCTCTGACTGTTCGACTGCCTGACTGTCTGCCTGATTTGACTACCGGTCTGCTGCCTGCTGTCTGCCTACTGCCTGCCTACAAATACTACTTCTGCTCCCCCGCCACACACCTAATTACCTTGCCTGTCTCACTCTCTCTCTCTCTCGTCTCAATCTTCGGCACCCTTTCCTGCCTACCTGCTCTTACTTTCTCCGCTCCATGCTCCCGCCTCTATCCCACCCTCCAGTCCACCGTCTTGATTTGTCTGCCCTCCCCTGCCTGCTATCGTCAACATGGATACCGCAAGGACCGATCAGCCGGCCAAGGATGAAGTCCTGCTGAAGCCCGAAGACGATCAGAGTAGTGCCGCCACCGCTCAAAATACCACTGCCGACCCCAACAACCCTTCGCCAAACGCCGACGACCACAAGCCCGCCAAGAAGTCGCCCTCTCAAAAAAAGAAAAAGACCTCCAAGTGCAAAAAGTACGTCTCCGTCAAGTCAAAGAAGGCTGCTCGCCGGAAGGCAAAGGCCAAGCGCGATTCTTCAGACAGCAGCGACTCTTCCAGCGATTCTTCAGACGACTCGGATTCCGACGACGACGACGACGACGATGATGACGACAAGGATGCTGCTGGGACGTCCAGCTCCGAGGAGGAGGATCGGAAGAAACGCAAAGAGCGCAAGAAGAAGAAGGCTGCAAAGCGTGCCTTGAAGGCAAAGAAGCAGAAACGCCCCTCGAAGCGTCGTAATTCCTCCGACGACTCCTCCGACGACTCCTCAGACTCCTCCAGCTCAGACTCTGACAGTGATTCCTCCGACTCGGACTCGGACCTGGACGACAAGCGCTCGCGCAGGCGCAAGAAGAACAAGAAGAACAACAAGCGCCGCCGCGCCTCTGAAACTGACGGCACCGCCACCGACGCCTCGCTTGACAGCCCCGACCCCGAAGAGCCAAATCCCTTTGCCGCCAGCATGGCTGCTCTCGAGGCGCAGTTCGCTGCCCAGATAAACGCTCTCAAGATCTCCATGCTGTCGCAGCAGGCTGCCAGCGGTACCGCCAAGAAATCGCGAGATGCGCCTGCCGATTCGGGAAAGAGCAAGAAGCGGTCAAAGAAGCAGCACAAGAGTAGTAGTAGTAGTAGTGGTGGTAGTAGTGGCAAGAAAAAGGGCAAAAAGGGCAGCACGCTCGAGTTCAAGCGCGTCGACCAGCTCTGGGACACCACCATCCACAACTACAAGCTGACCGAGAGCGCCGAGGACCAGGTCGACGAGTTTGACGAGTACGTCTTCACGGTCCGGAGAAAGTTTGACTGGGAGAACAAGTACCGCAACACCGTCGTCGACATCAAGTCAAAGGTCCTGCGCGACGCCCTCAAGGAGATTATGAAGGAGGTCAAGAGCGTCTCCCTGGTCGAGGACGAGCCCTGCATCGACCCCAACATGCTCTTCCTCTACCTCGAAGAGATGCGCGTCCATCGCAAGAAGACGCTCAAGCCGCGCCTCAAGAAGGAGAAGAAGAAGAAGCTCAAGCGCCGTCTCAAGATGCAGATTTCCCACCTCAAAGTCCTCGAGTCCTACCTCGACGAGGACTACGCCGACACCAAGAAGACGCTCTATCCCATGCTCGAGGCCGGCAACATCACCTTTGACCTGCTCTGGGCCCTCTTCAAGCCAAACACCATTGCCTTCTGCGCCACCTACGGCTCCAAGGACGATCCGCGATGCTTCAAGGTCGACTACGCCAACAAGGAGTCCTCCTTTCTCAAGGGCGAGTGGTACAGCATCGAGGGCCGCTATCTCGAGTATGACGGCAAGAATTTCGGGCACGGCGAGTTTGAGCAAACCGTCGAGTCGTTCAAGGGCCCGCGCAAAATCACCTCGCTGGCCGTCTATCCGCTCAGCTACCACAAAGACCCCGATGGGATGAAGAAGACGCTGGTCGAGCGCGGCCAGAAGTTTGTCACCCTCCAGGGCATGAACTACAAATTCCTCAACGGCCTCGGCTTCCAGAAGAAGAAGAAGACCGTTGCCAAGGTCAACATCAAGGGCCGCGTCATGATTGACCCGGCCATCTTCCGCCGCATCAACCCCAACTACCACATCTCCGTCGTGCGGAACCGTGCGGGTGATGATTTTTTGTCGGATGACGAGGATAATAGTGACTGCTCCGACTGCTGCTGTTCCGACTCGGACGACAACAACTCTGCCTCTGCCCCGGTCGCCCCTGAAGACGGCGGCGAGGGCCCGAGTCTGCCCACCGACGCCGACGAGGAGGTCGAGCGGTTCAAGTACACGGTCGTCAAGGACCGCGACCAGACCTATCGCGTCGTCCGCGTGCCCGTCGATGCAAACGGCCGCGCCCTGCAGGTCGAGCGTCTCGAGACGCTCGCCACGCCCTCGTCCTCGGACGGCACATCCCCCTCCGACCCCGTGCCCGACGAGACGCCCCCCTACACCCCGACCTCTTTCAGCCCCGAGGACCTCTTGATCGCATCGCCTGTCGTGCTCGGCTTCGCCTTTAGCGAGAAGCTCTGGCTCGAGCTCAGCCTCAACGGCATCAGCGAGATCTCCTGGAATACCGAGGCCTTTTCCTCCCTCGTCCTGCCGCCCGCCCAGAAGTCGATTGTCAAGGGCATGGTCAGCTCCCACAAGTTCCACGCCGCCCAACGCATCGACGATGTCGTGCAGGGCAAGGGTCGTGGCCTCGTCTTTGTGCTGCACGGCCCGCCCGGTGTCGGCAAGACGCTGACGGCAGAGGGCATTGCCGAGTACCTGCACGTGCCGCTCTACTCGGTCAGCGCCGGCGAGCTGGGCACGCAGAGCAGTCAGCTGGAGCACGAGCTGCAGAAGATTATGGACATTGCCCACTCCTGGGGCGCCGTGCTGCTGCTCGACGAGGCCGACGTCTTTTTGGAGAAGCGCGAGGTGCACGACATTCACCGCAACGCCCTCGTCTCCATCTTTTTGCGCCTGCTCGAGTACTTTCAGGGCATCCTCTTCTTGACCACGAACCGCGTCGAGACGTTTGACGACGCCTTCCAGAGCCGCATCCACATGCCGCTGCGCTACGGCGAGCTGAGCGTCAAGGCCCGCAAGGAGATTTGGCGCGGCTTCGTCGAGCGCGTGCGCGAGGGCGGCATGCGCGTCGCCGAGTTTGGCGACAAGGAGCTGTCCGAGCTGGCCAGGGGCGGCTTGAACGGGCGCCAGGTAGGCCGCTTCCCCTCTCTTTTCCCACGTGATGATGCGTCGTCATGGACTTGTGGGTATTTGTGTATATATATGCTAACGTGTGTGTGTGCTCAACAGATCAAGAACGCCGTCCGCACCGCACAGTCGCTCGCGCTGTCGGAGAATGAGGAGTTTACAATCGACCATATCAAGAAGGTGCTAGCCGTGACCGAGGACTTTGACCACGACATGAAGGGCGGCACCGGCTATCTGGACGCGATGCGCAGCTACACCTGACCTGGCTCGTCGGTCGTCGTCGGTCGTGCGGCTGTGTGGGTTGTCTTGTGTCTATATACATCTCTCTCTTTGTGTGTATACGTGTGTGTTTGTCACAAGCCGGGTTGTATGTATGTATTTCATGTATGCATCAGCAGAAGAAGGCGTTTTTGGTGTGTGTGTGTGTGTGTGTGTCTTATGGTTTTCTTGGAGGTTATCTATGTAGGTATATATGTTTTTAACATGCATTTTGAATCGGGATTGGGGGGAGGGGGGCGTTGATGAATGAAAGGCGTCTCCTCTCTCAGCTCTCAGCTCTCAGCTCTCAGCTCTTATTCTTGTCTCTTGTGTTACTTGCTCGTACTATTGTTTCTTTTCTGCGAGTAGTTTATATTCTACATCTTATATATATATATATATATATATATTTCGGATTAGAGAATCGAGTTGATTGGCTTGGCTTGGTTTGACTGGACTTATGATTGAGTTTGTTTGATTGACTTGGACTGTTTGAATCTGAGACTTGACTATGCCAGAGACTCAGCTATGAGACTTTGGACCGATCGACTTGGATTTTGGATTGGACTACTAATAACTTGTGGTGAGTCAGACTGACTTGCGTTAAAACTGACTTGGACTTGACTTGACCCGGACGCCAAATGACTTTCAATTTGATTTCTTCGAATTGACTTGGGACTGACTAACTTTTACCGCGATGACAACCATACAATCAAACACCCAAACACCCAAACATCCACATAAACAAACCACAAACAACAAACACTTAAGGCAAGTAACATGACAAAACAAACACGTAAACAAAAGAACAACACACACACACAACAAAACGAAGGAACGACTATAATGGAACATACAAACCGGGGGGGGTTTTTTTTTTCGGGTACTTTGGACGGTTTTAAAGATCCTCTTTTTTTTAAATATAAAAAGTACGTTCTAAAGAGAGAGAGAGAGAGAGAGAGAGAGAGAGAGAGAGAGAGAGAAGTTATATTATACTCACTACATGACGAGG